GCCCCGCCCATCTCTAAACCTTTATAAACAACTTGCCCTCAGAGGCTAACCTCCCTGTTCCTGATGACGACCGCTTGTGTCGCGATCTAAACGTCGTGATATTTGTATTCACTTTATTTTTTCTATCTACGTGACTTTACCAAAAGAACCATATAATATAATAGTAGTGTATAGTCATGTATAATGTAGTAGCGTTCATTAAATGTAGTAGTGTAGTGTATAGAAGCTCCTTCGCGGGTTCCATTTTCTAGATGATTTATTTCACAACATTTACAAGGCGAGAGTACGACGAACACGTTTCACAAGGCTATGACTATCTGCAGCCTCGGTGGGTTCCACTAGACTAATCTCGAACAGTCTTTCTTGATGGTTTCCACCATGTAGATCTCATAGTCTTTCTTGATGGTTACCACCATGTAGATCTCGGACAGTCCTTCTTGATGGCTTCCACCATGTAGATCTCAGATAGTCCTTCTTGATGGTTTCCACCATGTAGATCTCGGACAGTCTTTCTTGATGGTTTCCACCATGTAGATCTCAGTCCTTCTTGATGGTTTCCATCATGTAGATCTCAGACTTTCTTGATGGTTTCCACCATGTTGATCTCAGTCTTTCTTGATGGTTTCCACCATGTTGATCTCAGTCTTTCTTGATGGTTTCCACTATGTTGATCTCAGTCTTTCTTGATGGTTTCCACCATGTAGATCTCAGTCTTTCTTGATGGTTTCCACCATGTAGATCTCGGACAGTCTTTCTTGATGGCTTCCACCATGTAGATCTCAGTCTTTCTTGGTTTCCACCATGTAGATCTGTCTTTCTTGATGGTTTCCACCATGTAGATCTCAGTCTTTCTTGATGGTTTCCACCATGTAGATCTCAGTATTTCTTGATGGCTTCCACCATGTAGATCTCAGTCTTTCTTGATGGTTTCCACCATGTAGATCTCAATTTTTCTTGATGGTTTCCACCATGTAGATCTCATACGGTCTTTCTTGATGGCTTCCACCATGTAGATCTGTCTTTCTTGATGGTTTCCACCATGTAGATCTCAGTCTTTCTTCATGGTTTCCACCATGTAGATCTTGGACAGTCTTTCTTGATGGTTTCCACTATGTAGATCTCAGTCTTTCTTGATGGTTTCCACCATGTAGATCTCAGTCTTTCTTGATGGTTTCCACTATGTAGATCTCAGACAGTCTTTCTTGATGGTTTCCACCATGTAGATCTCACTCTTTCTTGATGGTTTCCACCATGTAGATCTCGGACAGTCCTTCTTGATGGCTTCCACCATGTAGATCTCAGTCTTTCTTGATGGTTTCCACCATGTAGATCTTGGACAGTCTTTCTTGATGGTTTCCACCATGTAGATCTCAGAAGTCTTTCTTGATGGTTTCCACCATGTAGATCTCAGTCTTTCTTGATGGTTTCCAACATGTAGATCTCAGTCTTTCTTGATGGTTTCCAACATGTAGATCTCAGTCTTTCTTGATGGTTTCCAACATGTAGATCTCATAGTCTTTCTTGATGGCTTCCACCATGTAGATCTTGGACAGTCCTTCTTGATGGCTTCCACCATGTAGATCTGTCTTTCTTGATGGTTTCCACCATGTAGATCTCAGTCTTTCTTGATGGTTTCCACCATGTAGATCTCGGACAGTCTTTCTTGATGGCTTCCACCATGTAGATCTCAGTCTTTTTTTATGGTTTCCACCATGTAGATCTCAGTCTTTCTTGATGTTTTCCACCATGTAGATCTCAGTCTTTCTTGATGGTTTCCACCATGTAGATCTGTCTTTCTTGATGGTTTCCACCATGTAGATCTCGGACAGTCCTTCTTGATGGCTTCCACCATGTAGATCTCAGATAGTCCTTCTTGATGGTTTCCACCATGTAGATCTCGGACAGTCTTTCTTGATGGTTTCCACCATGTAGATCTCAGTCCTTCTTGATGGTTTCCATCATGTAGATCTCAGTCTTTCTTGATGGTTTCCACTATGTTGATCTCAGTCTTTCTTGATGGTTTCCACCATGTAGATCTCAGTCTTTCTTGATGGTTTCCACCATGTAGATCTCGGACAGTCTTTCTTGATGGCTTCCACCATGTAGATCTCAGTCTTTCTTGATGGTTTCCACCATGTAGATCTCAGTCTTTCTTGATGGTTTCCACCATGTAGATCTCAGTCTTTCTTGATGGTTTCCACCATGTAGATCTCAGTATTTCTTGATGGCTTCCACCATGTAGATCTCAGTCTTTCTTGATGGTTTCCACCATGTAGATCTCAATTTTTCTTGGTTTCCACCATGTAGATCTCATACGGTCTTTCTTGATGGCTTCCACCATGTAGATCTGTCTTTCTTGATGGTTTCCACCATGTAGATCTCAGTCTTTCTTCATGGTTTCCACCATGTAGATCTCGGACAGTCTTTCTTGATGGTTTCCACTATGTAGATCTCAGTCTTTCTTGATGGTTTCCACCATGTAGATCTCAGTCTTTCTTGATGGTTTCCACCATGTAGATCTCAGTCTTTCTTGATGGTTTCCACCATGTAGATCTCACTCTTTCTTGATGGTTTCCACCATGTAGATCTGTCTTTCTTGATGGTTTCCACCATGTAGATCTCGGATAGTCCTTCTTGATGGTTTCCACCATGTAGATCTCAGTCTTTCTTGATGGTTTCCACCATGTAGATCTCGAACAGTCCTTCTTGATGGCTTCCACCATGTAGATCTCAGTCTTTCTTGATGGTTTCCACCATGTAGATCTTGGACAGTCTTTCTTGATGGTTTCCACCATGTAGATCTCAGAAGTCTTTCTTGATGGTTTCCACCATGTAGATCTCAGAAGTCTTTCTTGATGGTTTCCACCATGTAGATCTCAGTCTTTCTTGATGGTTTCCAACATGTAGATCTCAGTCTTTCTTGATGGTTTCCAACATGTAGATCTCATAGTCTTTCTTGATGGCTTCCACCATGTAGATCTTGGACAGTCCTTCTTGATGGCTTCCACCATGTAGATCTGTCTTTCTTGATGGTTTCCACCATGTAGATCTCAGTCTTTCTTGATGGTTTCCACCATGTAGATCTCGGACAGTCTTTCTTGATGGCTTCCACCATGTAGATCTCAGTCTTTTTTTATGGTTTCCACCATGTAGATCTCAGTCTTTCTTGATGTTTTCCACCATGTAGATCTCAGTCTTTCTTGATGGTTTCCACCATGTAGATCTGTCTTTCTTGATGGTTTCCACCATGTAGATCTCATACAGTCTTTCTTGATGGTTTCCACCATGTAGATCTCAGTCTTTCTTGATGGTTTCCACCATGTAGATCTCAGACAGTCTTTCTTGATGGCTTCCACCATGTAGATCTCAGTCTTTCGTGATGGTTTCCACCATGTAGATCTGTCTTTCTTGATGGTTTCCACCATGTAGATCTCAGACAGTCTTGATGGCTTCCACCATGTAGATCTCAGACAGTATTTCTTGATGGCTTCCACCATGTAGATCTGTCTTTTTTGATGGTTTCCACCATGTAGTAGATCTCGAACAGTTGGCCTGATAGTTTCCACGATGTCGATCTCCAACAGTAGGCCCCGATGTCGTCCACCTGCAGTCGTCCTTCAATCCCCGAGCCGGCGACCCCGATCACGGGCCTCGATCCTCCTTGTATACCCGCTCGGCCACGCCCTGGCAACTTCCAGCACCCTCCCCCCCCACCCCCCGTAGATTCTTCCAGCAGACTCTACCGTCTTCTACTTCCCTTCGAGCCTTCCCTCGCACAGTACCCTGCACCTGTTTCAACCCATCTCCACGAATCCCACGAACACATTCCTGCAGAGGGAGCTGGTAGGAACGTTGGGTTGCTCGGTCAATGACCAGGGTCAACGTCGGCGTGGTGTAGTCCGCAAATATGCCCGACGATGAGGGCGGGCACAAGCCGGCCCCAGTAGGTTAAACGTTGGGTTTTATAAGGGCACCACGGGGTGACCAGTGTACTCGGAGGAGCAAGGCGAGCACTTCCACCAGGATATACTGGACTTTGAATGCCGCTACCAAGGACAGTATATCGAGAACATGAAAGGAGACTACATTTGGGGGCTGATTCGTTAGTGATTTACAGTATAATCGTAAATCTCAAAAAACTACTCGCTTCTAAATCTTTTGTAGTAATTTTTGTATTACTTTAGAACAAATACATGTTCATTTTGATTCATGTTTTTTTTCTGATTTTGTGAACGAAAAGACAAATGCGCCCGTTTTCTCATTGAAAATAGGAAAATTTCTAAATATCACTGTAATGGTCACAAAACACAAAGTTTGTGGGGAATAATAGCCACTTTCTACACTTTTTAGGCATAAGCAATTACGAAATAACCTTACCCAGGAACAAAAATTGTGTTACATAGTGTAATCACAGGTGTGCTCACACCAGCCACAGGTTACATTCTGAGCAGGCTGTTTAATGCAAGTGATGTTATTAAGGCCTGCCACAGCACGCAAGGACACTGTGTGGTCAGCTGCCCATCTCCCCTTGCTGACATTGACACCCAGTACGAATTTAAGGCTGAATCGACCTAGGGGAGGCCCAGAACACTCTTGTATAGCTCGCCAATGTTGTTGGCCCGGAGAACTTGGGTAACCATGTTTCTTCACAGCACAAACCACTGCATCAATGCTCCCCGTACACAAAGATTCCCCATGTGGCCTTCAACAGACAACAGCAAGTGCTGTTAGCGAGCAGCACCTATGAAGGCGGAAGACTGGCACGGTACACGAGTGGGGTGGGTGGCCAGCACCACGCCCTTGGCTCCCCAGTGCTGATACACATCGCACCAGGTATACTAATATAAGATTGAGTCGACCTTGGGGAGGCCCAGGATAGGTTCAAATAATCGTCACTGGTGTTGGCCGTGAGCGAGAATCGGACTCTGGCCACCGGGTTCATAGCACAGTCCACTAACCATTACACCTCAACTCCCCACGTACAGACACCCGACAGCAAAAACAAACGACAAAGCTTTATTTCCCCCACAATAACTACAATACACTGCAGCACGACATGATCCACGATTCAATGCGTAAAAAAGAGAGAAAGGTGGCATCTCACAACCTCCCCGACTTAAAAAATCGATAGGAATGGAGGAAGGCGATGGCCCAGACAACCATGGAGGGGACCACGTGGCACACAAACAACCTGAGATTGGTCGGGGTTCCCACACCCACCGGGGTCAAACGTGGCCCGGCAGCGCCGGCACTGACCTCTGAGTCGGCCTCCCCCCCAACCCCCCGCGGGGCATTTGGCCCACGCCTCCTTCGGCCCATGCCTCCTTCGGCCCACGCCATAAGTGTTTCCGCCAACACTTTAACCTCCGTTTGTTAACATGCGACCGACAGCGACGCCCGCCATATCAACAGTGACGGCGGTGGACAAAGCAGCAGGATTGAAGCTGTTGGGGCTAAGGGTTCAGTGGAATTGCCACGGGCTGCCAAGATTGCTTTCTGAACTACAAGAACCCCCACCGCCACGTTCCGGTGAGAACCCGACCCCTGGTGGACCGCTTCCCCATTCCCTCAATCTACATCACCCCCCCCCCCCCCACGCATGGATCCAGGCGACCGGATAGTGACCAACAAGGAACTTACCAACAAACGCCGGCAACTACTGCGACTGACCAACTATGGCAAAGCCTACACACGCGCGCGCAAAACGAGTCAAAGTGGAGGGGTTTATTTAACGTTCGACTCAAAACTCTGGGTCACGTCCGCAGTGACATCGTGAAGGAGAGACAGCCTCCAATAAACACCAGCATGGGCGCCAATGATCAAGTAAAAAACAAACCGCAACAACCTACAAAGCAGCCGAGTGTGAAGTGGAGAGCATGAGGGAAACTCTCCCCCACCGTCACACGCTCTCAACCTCGGCATCGGCCATCACCCTACCGAACGCCCTCCCGGCCTGGCAATTGGCAAAGATGCTCCTGGCTCCGATCTTCTTGAAAAGGAGAGCTCATGTGGGTTGACCTCAGCGGCACAAACAATTCACCGGCAACTGCCGGTGCTCGACTCAGCAATGGTGCAGCGGCCACAGCTCCTGGGTCGACCCTGGGAGGGACGGCGCAGCCAGCACTGACCTAGCGCACGGACTGAAAGGGCGAGGAAAGTCTCAAGAGGTGGTGAGGTGGGGGGGGGACTACGCCGGGCACGATGCTCTCGGGAGGGGTGTCCATCACGGTGAACAAAGGGGGGGGGGGCCCACGGGCAGTGCTTCTGCCGTCCTCCATCAAGGAACCCACTGCCCACAGTGAGCCCCGCTAGGAACCGGTTCCATGCCAGAGGCTGGCACTAGCAGTAGGGCCCGATCACGTTGTCCTTCGGGAACGAGTCGTGTGGAGTCGCCTGATGGCGCCGTGCTGGGGAGGAGCGTGATGAGCTGGTGTTGAGGCTGGAAGCCTTGGGCCGCGACACGATGCGGCTGGGCAGGGGGCCCAAACGCTCCGCGTGTTCATTTCCGCGTTGCCGCCATTGCCGGCCTTCCGTGGCTGTGAGATTCGCGGAAACTGGGCGAGGCAAGGGGTAGGTGTGGATGGCTGAAATTGCCGAGCTGGCTCTTGGAGCCGGCGGGTGGGCTATTGTCCCCGCCTCACTTGCGGCGCCGCTTGTTCTTGCTACTCGATTCGCGGCCGCCGGAGCTCTTGCGCTTGCGAGAAGTTGGCGCCGTCCGCTGGTCCTCCTCCTCCTTCTCCAGGATCTGCTTGTCGGCTGTGGAGACACGCGTCGGCGCAGCAGGACGAGGGGGGTCACAGGGTCACTCGCCCGTTGGCAAAGGGACAGAATCACGGGCACGTGCGGACGCAGGCACAAGGGAATACACAGAGACACGGGAAGCACAGGGCACACGGGGGCAGGAAAAAGGAACAGGAGGACACCGATATGGGGACAGAGGAAGACTCGGCACCAAACCCTGGGACTTATAGACATAGGAACGAGAACACGGGAGACGTGGGGAAATAGGGATATGGAGAGACAAGAGACAGAGGGACATAGACACATGAAGACATGGAGACAACAGGACACAGGGAGGGGGACAGAAGGTGAATGTGAGAACACACAGGGACACGTGTCCCCTGAGAACACTGGGACATGAGGAAACAAGAAGAGAGAACACGAGACTACAAGGGCACACGCAAACACGCGCGTTACCACCGCCACCACACTCACCTCGTCGCGCCTCCTCCTCCAGCTCATCCCAGTCCTTACCGCTCTCCTCTTCGCTGCCAATCGAGAACTCCGAGCCTGAGCCAAGAAACCAGCCGGACGGGGTAACGGCGTTAGCGCCAACCGCTCACGGCGGCCGGGAGGGGTAACTGGGAGAACGAGGCGCACATCGTCTCCGCCTGTGAAGTCCGTCAGGGCACGCCTGGGCGGACTTGTTGCCATGTATGTATGTATGTAGAACTTCTTTCGCACAGTACGTAGCCAACCGTGCCAATCAGAGGTGTGGCCGCGTGGGCTGACATCCACTCGCGTATAACGTCGACATACATATGCATTCAGTTAATTCGTTATTTCCCTCGTGGATCTGGTGCTCCAACTGTGTAAAAGTCACGTGTAAAAGCATTCGCTTAAATAAACAGCGGCCAGGCGCTTGCGTTAACAAGGGCCGAGCTTGGCACTGCCACACGGCGCCGTGCGCAGAGGGGGGGCGCGGACGGGGGGGAAGAGGCGGGGGGGGGAGGGGAATGCGCAGCGTCTGACCAGATTCCTCGATCTCCGACGAGTAGTCCTCGTCGCTGTCGTCGACCTCCTCTTCATCGTCATCTTCGACCTCGGAGGGGTTGAAGGTCTCGTCCTCCGCCTCCTCGTCAGAATCCTGGTCCGAGCCACCGCCGCTGCCCTGCAGATGTTCCCGCACGGCCGCCCTCCTCGCGTTACAACAGCGGTAGCCAATCCACCATCACTGCGATCCACTCTGCAGGAACTCAACGGGCTCCAGCAGTGGATTCGTCAACACGGCAATGACCAACAATTACCTGGATAGACAATCTACCAAGCACTCGTGCCATCTCGATATTATTTCTTAGGCACGAATTATTAGGTTGGGGATTTTTATTATTGCCATCAGCTGGAACGAAAATATTCTTGGGCTCACGTGTTCCTTCCAATTTTTCCCAATATCCGCAAACAAATCTTTCGCGGTTCACGTATCGACCACGGCTCCGTTACAAACTCCACGCCGGCACAACCGAGGGGGGCGTTAAAACCGCACCAACATCCTACAGAGTGGCTCAATGTGAAGACAGAAGCTTCAGCAGCAACCAAAAACGCAGCTGGACGATTCTAGCAAACGATCAAGCTACTTAAGCGGAACAAAAAAAGTGAAAAATTGCACGCTCTGACCACTGCACCACCTGGCCAACGTCTTGACAGGAATGAGCAGCTTAAACAGCTAAAGGGTTATGACACCAGGAGAGAGAGAGGGTCGGCGGATGGAAGGGGAGGGGGGGTTGTGGGGTAAGGTACCCCCCACCCCCACCACCCACCCCACAGTGTGCGGCTGACACGGCCACTCACATCGCTCTCGGGGTCCAGGAAGGACCAGCCGCCCTGGTCAAAGAATCCCTCGGGGTCATCCGTGATGGTCTTCATGATCTTGGTCCAGTTGAGGGACTGCACGCCCTCCGTGTACTTGATATCGCACGAGCTGTCGGGACACACACGCGCGCACCACGACCGGCCCCCCCCACATCGGTCAAAAAATAAACCTCCACGTGCAGGCCACTGCCACGCCAACAAAATCCTTACCCCCCACCCCCCACCACCACTTTTCTCTGTATCGCCGTTAACACACTGCTGTTGGCGAGCTGGCCAACGGCTTCACGCACTTGAGCCACTCCTTGATGGGGTCGAGCGAGTTGGTGGGGATGGCGTTGACCATGGTGACCTTGTGGCTGTAGTCCTTGTACACGATGACCATGTCGAAGTTCTTGAGGTGGAACTGCACGCGCTCAAAGTGCACGAGCTCCAGCTCGTCCAGCGTCACCACAAACGGGGGCTGCGCGCCGCCAAGCAGTTGAGAGGGGGGGGGGGAGGGAGGGAGGGAGGGGGGGGAGTACAACAAGGTCCGTCAAAGAGACAGAAGCTTCAGCAACAGCCAAAAAACAGACGGGTAATTATAACGATCGATCAAGCTACCATGATTTGCAAAGCATATAATCAGCGTGTTAAACACAAATTCAAGACATACGTGTACGTCATCAGTTTTTCTTCCGGAATCGGATTTAAAGAGCCATGAAGGGAGGGGCGCGTGGCACAGTTTGGCACCAGCTATCGTAGACTGCGGCGATCGTGTCGCATCGGTTCTCTGTGGCGAGTAATGCCGTATTTAAAAATAAGCGGCGCTACGCCTCTCTAAATAACGTTAACGCAAACCACTTCCGCGTTTCGAGATTCAACGGAGAACGGGACCGCCCGCCCTACAGTGAACGGGACACCCACCCTGCAACTTGCAGAAGTCACGCACGGTACATGTATGCATGTATGCTGAACATATTTCGCTCCGTACGTAGCCGACCGGCGCGATCCGAGGGTACAGCACGATGGGTGCGGTGCAGTGCGGACGCATGCGGTGCAGGGGCTTACCCATTCGGTGACGTTCACCAGGGAGCTGCTCGTCGGCTGCAGCAGGGTGGTGCTGCGGTAGGGGGCGCCTTGGAACCTGCATGTGGACAGGGCACACAATCCTCCGTTGCGGATACCAACAACAACACACTCACGGCTACCGCCACCAAAAACACACACACACACGGCTACCGCCACCAACACACTCACGGTTACCGCCACCAACAACACACACACGGTTACCGCCACCAACAACACACACACCCACGGTTACCGCCACCAACAACACACACACTCACGGTTACCGCCACCAACAACACACACACACACGGCTACCGCCACCAACAACACACACTCACACACGGTTACCGCCACCAACAACACGCACTCACACACGGCTACCGCCACTAACAACACACACGGCTACCGCCACCAACAACACACACTCACACACAACTACCGCCACCAAAAATACTCACACACGTCTACCACCACCAACAACACACACACACGGCTACCGCCACCAACAACACACACTCACACGGCTCCCGCCACCAACAACACACTCACGGCTACCGCCACCAACAACACACACACTCACGGCTACCGCCACCAACAACACACTCACGGTCACCGCCACCAACAACACACACTCACACACGGCTACCGCCACCAACAAAACGCGCACACTCACGGTTACCGCCACCAACAACACGCACTCACACACGGCTACCGCCACCAACACACTCACGGTTACCGCCACCAACAACACACACACGGTTACCGCCACCAACAACACACACACCCACGGTTACCGCCACCAACAACACACACACTCAAGGTTACCGCCACCAACAACACACACACACACGGCTACCGCCACCAACAACACACACTCACACACGGTTACCGCCACCAACAACACGCACTCACACACGGCTACCGCCACTAACAACACACACGGCTACCGCCACCAACAACACACACTCACACACAACTACCGCCACCAAAAATACTCACACACGTCTACCACCACCAACAACACACACACATGGCTACCGCCACCAACAACACACACTCACACGGCTCCCGCCACCAACAACACACTCACGGCTACCGCCACCAACAACACACACACTCACGGCTACCGCCACCAACAACACACTCACGGTCACCGCCACCAACAACACACACTCACACACGGCTACCGCCACCAACAAAACGCGCACACTCACGGTTACCGCCACCAACAACACGCACTCACACACGGCTACCGCCACCAACAACACACTCAGGGTTACCGCCACCAACAACACACTCACGGTTACCGCCACCAACAACACACTCACGGTTACCGTCACCAACACACTCACGGTTACCGCCACCAACAACACACTCACGGTTACCGCCACCAACAACACACTCACGGCTCCCGCCACCAACAACACACTCACGGTTACCGCCACCAACAACACACACACTCACGGTTACCGCCACCAACAACACACTCACGGTTACCGCCACCAACACACCCACGGTTACCGCCACCAACAACACACACACTCACGGTTACCGCCACCAACAACACACTCACGGTTACCGCCACCAACACACTCACGGTTACCGCCACCAACAACACACTCACGGTTACCGCCACCAACAACACACTCACGGCTCCCGCCACCAACAACACACTCACGGTTACCGCCACCAACAACACACACTCACGGTTACCGCCACCAACAACACACTCACGGTTACCGCCACCAACACACCCACGGTTACCGCCACCAACAACACACACACTCACGGTTACCGCCACCAACAACACACTCACGGTTACCGCCACCAACAACACACTCACGGTTACCGCCACCAACAACACACTCACGGTTACCGCCACCAACAACACACACACTCACGGCTCCCGCCACCAACAACAACACACTCACGGTTACCGCCACCAACAACACACTCACGGTTACCGCCACCAACAACACACTCACGGTTACCGCCACCAACAACACACTCACGGTTACCGCCACCAACACACCCACGGTTACCGCCACCAACAACACACACACTCACAGTTACCGCCACCAACAACACACTCACGGTTACCGCCACCAACAACACACTCACAGTTACCGCCACCAACAACACACTCACGGTTACCGCCACCAACACACTCACTCACGGTTACCGCCACCAACAACACACACTCACGGTTACCGCCACCAACAACACACCCACGGTTACCGCCACCAACAACACACTCACGGTTACCGCCACCAACAACACACTCATGGTTACCGCCACCAACAACACACACACTCACGGTTACCGCCACCAACAACACACTCACGGTTACCGCCACCAACAACACACTCACGGTTACCGCCACCAACAACACACTCACGGCTCCCGCCACCAACAACAACACACTCACGGTTACCGCCACCAACAACACACTCACGGTTACCGCGACCAACAACACACTCACAGTTACCGCGACCAACAACACACTCACAGTTACCGCGACCAACAACACACTCACGGTTACCGCCACCAACAACACACTCACAGTTACCGCCACCAACAACACACTCACGGTTACCGCCACCAACAACACACTCACAGTTACCGCGACCAACAACACACTCACGGTTACCGCCACCAACAACACACTCACGGTTACCGCCACCAACAACACACTCACAGTTACCGCGACCAACAACACACTCACGGTTACCGCCACCAACAACACACCCACGGTTACCGCCACCAACAACACACTCACAGTTACCGCGACCAACAACACACTCACGGTTACCGCCACCAACAACACACACGGCTACCGCCACCAACACACCCACGGTTACCGCGACCAACAACACATGATTCATTATTCATTTTTCGAGTCAGATCGCACGAGTAATGTGCATGTGTCATACAGCCTCCTTCACCCGACACAGCCGGATAAATACAGTCGTCACTTGAACAGTCACTTGAACAAACACACCGATGTATTATAACAATGATTATCATTAGCAGAGACACAGCAACCAAAAACACACACGGCTAAGAGTGAGACACATAAGATAAAGATCCCCCGTATAGCCATAAGACTGTAGAGGAGCAAGTGCTGTTAGTGAGAACCTATGAAGTTCGGCACAGCACACGGGGGAGTCAATGGCCAGCACCTCCCTAGGGGCAATGCTTACAAGTACTCATTTGATGCCGAGTCGACTTGCGTGTACATTTCTGAAAACACTACACGGGGGGTAGCGCGGCACGAGACACACACACACACGCAGCTACCTACACTCACTCGCATAGCTAGCACCAAGCCACAGCTACCACACAAACACCACAGCGACCAGGTGGTGGGGGGGGGGGGGTGTGCATCCACTGACCCGAGTTCCCGGAAGGGCACCTCAAATTCCAGGCTCTCTTTAGTGATGTTTTCCACCTTCTCGATGAAGCTCTTGAACGCCGTCTTGAGCTTGTGGCGCAGCTCGCGCTCCATCTGAGCGGCGCACATGCCCCCGCGGCGCCCGCGTTAGCGCAAGCGCGACGGAGCGGAAGAGGGGGCGAGGGGGCGAGGGAGCGAGGGACCGAGCGAGCCAGCAAGCTCCACCCCGGCAGGCCGTCAGAGCGCAAGGGGAGGAGAGCGTGCGATGGTCTCACCTGCTCGGCGTAGAGGTCGTCGCGGTCGTGCATATGGTGGTGCTTGCCCAGGTCCGTGGTGACCTCTCCCACCTCCGTGTAGAACTGCACATCAGTGTGCCGCTTCTTGCCGAACATGATGGCGTTCTGCGCAAACACGAGGGGTGACGGTAGGCTCGAGCAACGAGCGACAATAACGCGAAGACGATAATGACTACCCGCTACGTTGGGGTGGGGGGAGGTGAGGTGGTAACGACGGTGGAAAGTATGTATGTGGAACTTCCTTCGCACCATGCATAGCCAACCGTGTTAATCGGAGTTGCGGGGGAAAGGACAAGAAATTTAATACGGAATTTATACATTTTCAATCCAGTGGCTTCCTAATACCGGAAGGCAGAGCGTTTCAGATGGCTGGAGAAGCGCATCTGAAAGCACGTGATGCAGTGAAGGAAGTGGTAGCAAGTGTAGAGGTGGCGAGTGTAGAGGAGATGGTGGCGAGGGCGGTGAACAGTAAATGCGGTGGTAACGTGTGTCGTGAGTGGTAGTGTGGCGAGTATGGCAAGTGGTAACGCTCGTGATATGGGGGGGGGAGAGACCGAGGCCTCGGTGCCCCGAGTGGGTCATGGGGGTCAGCACCTTGAGGTGGAAGTGCAGCACGATGATCATCTCGCCGTCGCACGGCTGGAAGAGCGCGTGCTTGATGTTGTTGTAGAGGATGTCCACCTTGTCACCGCGCACCGACGTGTACCGGAACCCTGCTCACACACACAAAGATCCACCCCCAAACGTCCTTTAACGCATTGTTGGGGTGTAGTTAGCACAGCCTTGGGGTCTCCCCAATGCAGATGATTTACACACCAAATAAGGTCCTCATTTAAAGCCGAGGTAACCTCGGGGAGGGCCTAGGACCGGTTCAGAAATTGGTCACCAACATTGGCTGCGACGCTCGCTCACATCCATCAGCACGAAAATGCTGAATTGCAAATGATTGTCTACTAAGCAAATCATCAACAATGTTGCATGATCGCATCTCGGATGGCCCGCAACTGAATGATTGCTTGCAACGGGCGACCGCGGCGCACAACAGAAGTGTACTAGGCAGTCCAGTAAAGGGCATTGTTGAACCGTACTTATATACTCCCGCGTTCGCGCTCCCCGTGTTCGCCAACCCTCGCTGACCAGCGTGGCGAAGTATGGTAAAATAACTACTTTCCGCGCAGTGTCGGGAGGCGCCCATCCAGCGTTGGGCTGACAAGGTGGCCGTACGTTTGTGCAACACACGCAGGCTCGTGGCACAATGAGAGAAAACAAGAGGGATTAAGACAGAGCCATATTTCCCATCTCACACCGTATGATGAACTATTTATTTTCATCTTACCAGGTAAGGCGCACTGAGCTATACAGGCAGTCCCCCGGGGGCTTATGGATGGGTTAGGTTACCTGGGAAATATCCGCAACCCTAATTTTGCATATGTCGGAAACTGAACAATTTCCCCCCAAAATCAACGATAAAATAACCATTGGGAAATGGTTGTGCCTCCCCTACCATTTTCTCTCAGTACTGTATGGCGATTTCATCCGTTTTTATTGCGACCTGTATCGTGTTCGCTGTGCATACGCGCTCTGCACTTGCTCCGATTCTTTAATTTGATGGAATATCTACCCTAACACGACTCATAATTCAACTAACGGAACATATACTGTACTGTAGAATCGTTTATAAATACCACGTAGCATAGAAAATAAAACAATTACATCATGCTACAAAAGGAAAAGAGACGATGTGGCGATTAGAGCATACTCAGGGTAACAATGTAGCAGTGTGACGCCTTAAGGAATATGCGGCCTCGCTTGCTCCACTGTATTCATCCGCAACCTCACCACGCTACATTACTTGCGCTTACGTAACTAATGCAAACATTTACTCGTACGGTACTGTGTCGATCTTTTGTTTTCACATTATTTACGGGAGCATTTCCATAAAGTGGTATTTCCCTAAGTGTGGTCTTCCGTAACATGGGGGACTGCCCATACAGGTCTTTTTGCAGAAGCAACCTGGCTAAATATGATGGCTCAACCACGTCGCTTATTGCTTGGAAATGTTTAGCAGCCAAATACTCAAAAGGTACGTTTCTAAATGTGGAGGGAAAAACCGGAGAACTCGGAGAAAAATCCAAGCGACCACGGGAAGGGAGAGACATGCAAACTCCAAATATACAGGCGTCAGGGTCGGGATCGGACCCACGACCCCCTGCATACCAGGTGAGGGAGATAACATCCATAGACCCACCAACTCCCACCCCACCTCCTCTCACCGTTGACGTGCGCCTCCAGGAATCCCTGCATGCGTTTCTGCGCGATGTTGGGCCGGATGTAGAGGTCCTTGAGCTTGGGGTTGCTGCGGTTGGGGTTGATGACCAGCGTGTCCTGCTTCACTATGCCCTGGTGACCACGAACAGCAGGGTCAGCCGCAACACGCACAACGGGTGCGCACGGAGTCAGGGGGTCACGATCGCACGCGGCACACGTGCAGCGACGACGCAAACCGAGCGACGCGACGCGACGTGACGCAATGTGCAACGCGACGACGCCGCCGCGACAGCGCCACCCTACCTCCATCTCCTTCTCCTCGGCCTCGCGAGTCTTGTAGCGCTTCTGGACCTCCTTGATGATGCGGAAGGCGTTCTGCAGGTTCATAGAGGGCACCACCACCTCGCCGGGGTTCTTCAGGTTTGACGCCCGATACGTGCTGCCAGGAACAAAGACCGCCCCCCCCATATAGCCTTGGACTGCTGGGGCAAGTGCTGTTAGCGAGCACCTATGAAGGCCACAACGGCACACGAGGGGGTGGGTGGCCAGCACCACGCCCGGCCGCCTTCGTCTCCCCGGTGGCGATGTTAACACACCGCACCAAGTTCTCATTTGAGGCTGAGTCGATCTAGGGGAGGCCCAGGACCAATACAAATAATCGTCACTGGTGTTGGCCGTGAGCGGGAACCGAACTCGGGTCGCTGGGTTCGCAGCACAGCACGCTAACCGCTCCGCTACCGCTCCCAGGAACACACACACACACGCGTGCATGTACAAGCCAAAGCATTACATACTAACACATTACAGAGCACACGATACACCATGCCTGCAAGTTGACGCGTTACACAAAAGCGTTGCTCTGTGCATGCAAGCGAACACATTGCATAAAGGGCACAACGGCAACACATTACGCACAGAGGACATGTTGTACTATGCATACACGCTAACACACAACAGACAGCACCCGCCAACAAACCACAAACAGAATCCCCGTGCTAACAAACCACACGCACAACTCCGACGTCAACACACCACACGCGGTGCGCGAATGCTACGCAGCTGTAGCAGCCATGCAGGGGTAGGGCGCCCGTCGTTCGCACACAAGTCCCACTCGCTCGCTCGCTCTCTCACATCTCCTTGAGGAAGGTGGCGTCGGGGTTCAGGAAGACGCTGCCCTCGTTGCGACCCAGGGCGCTGCCCGGGCAGAAGAAGTTGATCCTTAGGTAGGTGTAGTCGCCCTCCACCGATGTGCTGATGTTCTGTTGGTGGCGCGAGGTGTGCGCAAGCGGGGCGGGCGATGTGTGTTTGTGTGCGCGCGAGCGTGGTTAGTGTGGGGTGAGCAGTATTGTGGCGTTGTGTTTGTAAATAATGTTGGTGAGAGGGGTGCGTGTGAGCAGTGGGGAGTGGGGGGGGGACGGGGTAGCGGTAAGGCAGTGGTTAGCGTGCTGCGCGACAAACTTGGAAACCAGAGTGCGACCCCCCCACTCTCAGCCAAGAACCGTTGCGAATATCTGAACCAGTCCTGGGCCTCCCCCCCCATAGGTGGAGTACCGAGTGTGGTGTGTAAACATCATAACTCGGGAGACATGCAGCCGGGCATGGTGTTTTCGCCACCCACCCACTCGTATGCCATACCGGCCTTAACAAGTGCATGCTAAAAACAGCGTGGCAGTCGCGCGCGTGTGTGTGTTGGTGCTTTCGAATCGGGGATCGAAGCCAGGCTGTCACTGCTGCGAGGCACAAGTGTTACAACTGCACCACCTTGACGCGCAGGCGCGTGCGCGGGTGTAGTGCCGCGCCCCGTAGCCGCGCACCTTGACGGTAGAGATGTGGAAGGGCGTCGCGATGCCGAACACCGGCAGGATGACCGTCTCGTACTTCTTGTCGATGTAGATTTTGTTTTCCCGGATCTCGGGCTCCTTGGGCACCAGGGACGCGTTCTTGTACGACACGTTCGACTTGCGAGCCCTGCGGGAAGCGGAGCGTGCATACCAGGCTCAGCGGGCCATTCATGGAGAGGTCGCCACGGTGGCTAGATGTTAACTACCTCGCCCGGTATGCAGGAGGTCGTGGGTTCAATCCTGACGCCTGTATGTTTGGAGTCACTTCGTTGAGCTATCATGTGTGATTGACAGGTCGCTTCTGATAAAAAGCTATACACAGCTCAATGGACCTTACCTGGTAAAATAAAAATTGATTACTTTATATATTCTTGGTTCTTTCGGTAAAGTCATGTGACTTTACCGAAAGAACCAAGAATATGAATCCCTGCAGTCACGAAAGCTTTAAATCAAAATTTATATTACTTTATAGTTTAGTTTGAGATCGATATTTGAACCTTATGGCGGGCCCCCGGGGTGCCATAAGCCCCCGGGATCTCGCATAAACTGCGTTGCGACGTCATTTTATGTCCGTTGAAGGCGAACGACATGGCAATCTATTCCTCTCGACGAGCTCTACGGTTCATTTAAAGCGATGACAATAAAGGACGATCGAGTTTGACGGTGTCCTGCTCTGCCCGAGTTGTGCATGGATTATTTGGCGAGTGACACCGATTGCACAGCCGGGAATAAACAATCGATTAATCAGTAAATTTGAGAAAAGATACAGGCACATTGAAAAAAAAATGTCATTACAGTCACTTTTCAGCATTCACCATATAGTTTTTGTTAGCGCAACGCGTGCCCCCACACAACACGGTGAATGCGTGCGTACCACACATACATGTGCGTGTGTACTCACTTCTGCGTGTGCATACTCACTTCTGCGTGTGCATATTCACTTCTGCGTGTGCATACTCACTTCTGAGTGTGCGTGCCGCCCTTCTGCTCCGTGAGCCGGCGTTTCGCCTCCTCGTTGACCTGCGCTGCCAGCTCCTTTTGGTGGGCTCGCCGCTTCTCCTCAGCCGTCATCTCATTCTGTACACACACACAGGTGCGCGCGCACACACACACACGTGCACAAAGACACACACACACACACGTGCACACAGACACACACGCACACGTGCACGCTAATCAGAGACAGCGTCAACATTCTAAACTGTAAACTATTTTTTATTTTCCCAGGTAAGGCCCACTGGAGCTATGTAGCTCTTAATCAGACGCAACCTGGCCACCAACGATAGCGCAACGAAGTGGCTTATCATCGTGCAGAAATGTGAAGCAGCCAAATGCTAGAAACGCGTGATGTTAATTCTAAATGTGGAGAGACGCGGACTCCAAATATAAGCAGGTGTCAGGGTCGGGATCGAATCCACGACCTCCTGTATATTAGGCAAGGTAGTTAACATCTCAGAGCCACCGTGATGATGATGAGAGAGAGAGAAGCATGCAAACTCCAATTCTACAGCAGGTGTCAGGGTCGGGATCGAACCCACGACCTCCTGTATATTAGGCAAGGTAGTTAACATCTCGCCACTATTCACCACGGCCATAGGAAAGACACTTTCACTCTGTACCCGCAGTGCCCACGCAGTCTCAACAGCGCGCGTTTGCAATTTACTTTGCTCAGTCGGTATTAGCCACTGAGGTCATGACAAGTATGGATGTGTACAGGTGCGGGTATGTACGGGTGAGGTATATACAGGTGTGCGCATTCGTAGAGATCAAGATGTGTACAGGTGCGGGTGTGTGTACAGGTGTGATGGCGATGAGGCCTGTGTACCCGCGTGCGCTCCTGCAGAAGATTTGCCGTCCGCACGCCTCGCCCCAGCAGGTCCTTGGCCTCGTTCTTATCATCGTCGTCATCCACCTCGTCCTCATTCTGGAGTGAGCCCCAACACATGGTCACACGCTCGGGTCATCATCAGCAGCAGCGTCATCGGTCACCATCATTGTCATCAGCGGCGTCATCACCGTCATCTTCTCAATCGGGATTACACATAGCAATCATCGCGCCCCCCCGCCCCCAACGCCCCCCCAGCTACTTAGTGTCCGGGTTTGGCCAGCTGCCGAAGAGACAGCTGCCACTGTGGGAGGGGGTGGCCTTTCAAATATGTTGCAAGTCATTTGTCGCGTGTAACTGCTCCGAGACCCGCCGGCGTAAAGGAGGGCGCATTTGTCAAATATGAATCGCTGTCGAGAGCATGGCAGCCAAGGTTGTGGGCCGGAAGCCTGAGGGAGCGTTCGCTCGGTCACTCGTGTGGGCGGCCGGAAGAACCTCACCTTAAGGAAGACGCCCACATTCTTCACCTTCTTCTTCACGGGCGTTAGCACCGTGGCCGGGCCCTCCTGCGTGCCGTCAAGTGGGGGCGAGGAGGAGCAGGGAGCAAAGCGTTAGATTGAGACGGAGGGCGTTAAACGGCGACACCCGCGACAAACGTCTTACACCGGGGGATGAGCAGCCTAGGGACGGCCGCACGAGCACCATAGGGGCAAGCGAACATTCGGCGAACGTTGCTGGTGGGCCCGTTCCACCGCGAAACATGCTATCCACACGCCCGCTTTAGTCGACAAAACACATGACCGGTCAGGGACGCGATGCTCGCCATGTTTGCACGTGGCCCTGTCGGCCTGCGGCGGGAAGCTGGGTAAGATTCCCAACGTGCGTTTCCATTATTTGGCTGCTATAAATTTCCACGTGATACGCAACTTCGTTGAGCTGCCATCTATGGCCAACTATCTTCTGAAAAAGAGCTACGTAAGCTCAGCGGGCCTTACCTAGTCAAATAAAAAAAATTGCTTATTTTTTAGTTTGCTACGCGCTACGTCAAGACGCGGCGTCGTAACGAAGACGCGCCGTTCGACCGAGACCCCCCGTCAGGCCGAGGACGCTCGCCGCGCGATTGCGACGAAAGTGCAGCATGGGCCGAGGCCGCATGGCGTGCGCCGCACACCTCGTTGATCTGCACGGTGTCGGCGATGAACAGCGAGTAGGCCTTGTCCCGGTCCGATTTGCTCTCCTTGTTGGGCACGTTGCACAAGCCCAGGTTGATGTTAAACACCATCCCTGCACGACGACACGGGCGGCACAGCTCAATCACCGGCACAGCCACGCTCGCCTCCACCGCCGCCGGTGAACAACCGACGGGGCAGGCAGGCTACGTGAAAAGTCACATTTTCCTATTGCATGAGGTCGGCTGTTCGGATTTTCATTCTCTGCATGCTTCAATACTGCTCGTATCTCCCTCGACTCCTGCCCTGCACCAGTGGCATCTCCACAGCCCTCATGCTTTGAAGCTTCTACGACAAATGTCTACAAGCTTCTGGGGTTAAATGCTTGGGCGATTGTTGCCACCGGTTTAGGCTGCCTTGCTCCCCTGTCTAGGCTTTTCCGTGCCTTCCAATCCTCACGGATCTGTGCCTTTTTTTTTTTAAACGTTCATCAACTATGCTACCCGCCGTCACCAGCCTGCACTGGCCCAGCATGGTGAAACATGGTCAAATAGCACCCCACGGAAACACAAGCGGTGGTCAGGAGGCCCTCATCCAGCAGTGCATTGACAAAAGGCTTACACGCGTACAGAACACATTTCACTCTATCACTGCGAGGTGCCAGAGGGTTAGTTGCATCGCGAGGTGAGCGAGGGTCACAGTGGGTAAAGAGTCCGCTCCGCTGGGCGAAGTTCGCCAGGGGTGCCCGAAGCATTTGCTCGCAACCGCTCCGCGAGCAGAGCTCATCGGTCACGAACCTTTTCTGAGTTTCGTCTGGTTCTTGCCGTTGATAACCAGAGACCCCTCCCGGAACTCTATCCCCATCCCGAACCTGCGGGGCACGCACAGACGCAAACAGCAGATCACTCGCAGAACACGTGACGTGCCCACAGAAACCTCCTTTTTAAAATCCACCATGCTTGCATCATCAAACAACAACAACCGCCATTCGCCACTTAGTGGTGGTGGTGCCGTCACCACGGCACTTGTGCCAGGCTAGGTGCACTTTAAGGCAACGTGAAGTGTCGAACGCCCGCTGGCAGGTCACAGAACAGACCCAGTTGGCATGGGTTGGACTGAGATGACTAGCAGATGCACCACCTGTGCCCCCCCCCTACTGTGCCAACAACATCCACACACACTCAAAAGCATCTCCAATGACACCACGTCTAGGCTAATTTCAATGACACCTAATATCACACGGCAGTTTTTTGCTCCAATTCCTATTTGCTTTACTGCTGTAATGCATTTTTTATTTATGTTTGTTTCTGCCAATTTGGTGACCCAAGGTCACTCTCGCGGATGAAATCCATCCTGGTGTCTTGAGTCCTCACCTGGTTAAGCCAAATAAACCTGAATGTTTAAAAGTTACATCCAACCAAAATAATCTCCTCTCCTGCACGCAGAGACCTCAAAGCTCAGGCTCGTGGAGATGCTGTGGGTTCAATGGGTATATCTGCATGCAAGACCCAGGGCCCTCCCGAGGTCACACTCACCCGAGGTTTTTGGAAAAGGCGTTGGTCAGGTCGGAGCGCTCCTTCTTGACGAAGTCCAGCGTCGCCTGGTAGACTTCACACAGTGCCGCACCTGCTCCCGCGCAAATAAAAACGACAAAGATCCCCCACATAGCCTAAGCAGACTGTCCAGAAGTGCTGTTAGCGAGTAGCACCTATGAAGGTCAGTACGGCACACAAGGGGGTGGGGGGTGGCCAAAGCGACGCCCGATCGCTTTTTGTTTCCCTTGTGGTGATGTTTACACACCGCACCAGGTACGAGTCTAAGGGAGAACCAGGACTGGTTCAGATAATCGTCACTGGTGCTGGCCGTCAACGAGAATCGAACTTGGGTCGCCGGGTTTGCACCAAAGTGCGTTCACCACTGCACCAAAGCTCTGCACAACACCCACACCGCAACACACACTCACACATACCACACCCCAACACTCTGCTACACGGCCAGAACACACCCACACAACACACCACCACACGCCCATACCACAACACACGCCCATAACCACAATCCAACCACCCTACACGGCACACAGCTACACCACAACAAACCCCCAAACACACAACACACCACCACACGCCCATACCCCAACACACACCTACACCACAAATCCCACAACAAACCCAGACACACACGGATGACAAGCACCCCTCCACGCGCACCGTCGCCGCTGTCCCCACTCCCAGCTGCACGCACCTTGCTTGAGCTGCGCCAGCATGTGCTCCTGCACGCCGAGCAGGAAGGTGTAGGTGTCCTGCATGGTCTGCGTGGGGTCCACCATGAGGGTGCGCACCACGTTGGCGCAGTACGACTTGTAGCGCACGCCCAGCGCGCACACGATGGCACCGAAGTGCATGTGGTTCTTGTCGCTGCGGAGGGGCAGGGGGGGGTCAGAATCAGGAATGTTTGTTTAGACTGGAGGAATCCGATGGGGCTGTGAAGCTCTTTTTTCACAGGTGTCAAGTATGGGGCAGATCGGGGAGGTCACAGGGACGAAGGGGGTTACACGGGTGAGCGGACAAACCCACGGCCGACGCTACCACGCGCACGCACACAGTGCCACACACGGTCACACCTCCACACACAAGAAGCTATGAAGAGGTACCACTTTTGCTTTCCCACCTGATGAAGGACGCTCGTGTTGCGCCCGAAACGTCGTGATTTTTTATTTTATACCTACGTGACTTTACCGAAAGAACCGAAGAGTATGAATTCCTGCGGTCACGAAAGCTTCAAATCAAGATTAGGTGCCACAAAGATAAAGATCCCCCATATAGCCTTAGCAGACTGTTGGGGCAAGTGCTGTGAGCGGGCACCTATGAAGGCCGGCACGGCACACGAGGTGGGTGGCCAGCACCACGCCTCACCGCCTTTGTCTCCCCAGTGGCGATACTTACACACTGCACCAGGTACTCATTTGAGGCCGAGTCTAACTAGGACTGGTTCAGATAATTGTCACCAGTGTTGGCCATGAGGAGGACTAGAACTTGGGTCACTGGGTTTGTGGCCACACACAGAAGTGCACACACCCAAAACACAGTCCTACCACTGCGCACACAGCCACGCCACCACATCCAGCCACGCAGATACATAGACCGCATAAGTGCCACACACATACAAGCACAGTACCACCACCATGCACACACAGCACACACAGCACACACTGGCGCATGGGATTAATAATTTCACGGAAGCTCCCGCTACACGTATGACCTCGGTGACCCTCTGGTGCCTCCTCGTATACACGACGGGCTCTCCATCCCTTGTGTGAGCCACTGGATCACGGGGATTTGGGGTGGGGAGGAGGGGACAGCCACTGCTGCCGGCGGCGCTCCCAGCCAGGCATCGCCCTCACCTGACGGCGCTGTACTTGAAGTTGCAGCTGGCCCCGCTCTGGATGATAGGCGGGTAACACATCTCCACGGAGGAGGGGTCGGCTCCCGCCAGGTACTTCTTGTCCTCGATGGCTTTCTCCACGCCCTCCGCCAGCTTGCTGTGACGCACCTTCTGCTCACCAGTGACGCCAGGCACGGGCGCACACACCCCGACAACGAGCAGACACACGTGGACATCTCTTGTGACAGGTTTTTCACATCGTAAAACCCTCTTCATATGAGGCTGATGATGACCACTGCATCGAGTCCTAATAAGGGTGAAGCCGGTCAAGAGTGTGTATTCGTCTCACTATTTGCCTGTCAGTTGTCCACATTATCTCAATGTATTGACAGTGGGCTAAGCCAAAATGATAAAAATGCAGTTCTTCTGAACCGGTGGTTTCACAGAATGCGTAAAGCAGAGAGGTTTTGTACGCGCAATGGATATCTTTGTGTGTTTTTATAGAAAAGTGGCTCTCTGCTGCTGGTGCTTTCCCGGGCAACCCTCGTAATGATTGTGATAATTATAATGACCGATAAACTTTTGAATGAGGGCCTACCCAAGCGGTCACCGTCTCCCATGATCCTGCGATGCAACAAATCAACCCCTAGCTTCGCCAATTCACGCCAGTGCGGTGAAGCATGTCCGTGTTCACGAGTGCGCCCACAACTGCCGTGTTCTCACGCGCGCATGTCCGTATTCATACATGCTCGTCTGTGTTCACACGCATGCTGTCCGTACCTGGTCCATGTCCACCACCTCCATCACCTTCTCCTTGAGGTACTTGCTGTAAACCTCTGAAGTGATGAGCGCCGCTTTCTTGATCAGAGCCAGCTCCCCCTCCTCCTTCACGGCGATCATCAGCGCCACCACGCTGCTCACGTCCACCTGTAACGGACAACGGAGAACAATCACGCACGCGTGCAGATTCTTTCACGAACCGCTCTTCCAACATGTTTTTGTCCTCGGAAGTGTTAAATTGGCGGTAATGATGTCATCTTCCATGCCGCACGAGGAGGCGACGTCACACGGCACGCGACGTCCTGGGGAGGCGAGGTGTAGGGCATGGCGTGTGATGTCATCGCCTTGGCTGAATAGTTTTATCGAGTTACAGTACTGTTTTTTTTAGTTTTTGGTAGCCCTTTGATCGATTATGCATGTATTCTACTGATTAAGTCTCGTTATTGGTTGCATATGGTGAGAAACAAGTTCAACATACATACATACATAGTAACACAACTGCATACTAAACATTTAATTTACAAAGGATTTTTATGGAAATTATTCCCATGTTACGGATTCAATCCACAGATGAATTCCATCTACAATCGTGGCCACTGATCGTGACAATTAATCAAACTGAGGAATTGTTACACACCTAAAAACATCTTCATCTGATCTCCCATCGAGTATAAAAATAAACAATAGAAAGTGGAATATCCGCATCAACTGGGACTGTGGTTAATTTACATTTTAGGGGTGTCCTAGAAAATCTTGACACACTACAATTTCATCTCTCGCCGTGCATAAAAAGGTAGGAGGCTTTTGTTGCTTGGAGGTGGATTCAGTGGATGAAAACAGGGATTAGGTTAATTTTGCGGTCATAAGCGTGGAGATGATACAATCAAAAGTCGATTGCGAATAAGTCCAATTAAGCTGGCAGGGTTTTACCTTAATATATATACATTGGGGTTATCAACTTTTTTTCCAGAAACGACCCCCAATTCTGAACACTTCACATCCATTGTTACGACTGGTGCTGGTCGGCGCGCCCCGGGGGCATCTCGGGACCGAGAAGGCCGCCAGTCGCAGCGCTGACGCAGCAGGTTTGCGACGCCGGGATTCACCATGCCGCGCTGTGCCACGCGGGCCCGACAGCGATTGCGCCACACGCACGCACCTTGTCGAAGCCGCCCTTGGAGAGCGAGTCGTGCCAGCTTGTCATGAAGCTGCCGGGGTAGCCGTCCTTGGAGAACACGCCAATCGTCTTGCCCTCCTTGCTGGACCTGATCTCCTCCAGCAGCTTGTCAAAGTTCTCCTTGTTCTCACTCTGGAAGGCACGGCCATCATGGTCAAAATCGTCACAATCGTTACAATTGTAAAAAATATATATTTGCCATCCCTCCCCCCCCCATTCCAGTTGCGCGATTTTGGCATCATGTCATCTCACGAGGTGGAGACATTTTAACTGCACTCTCACAGAGAGCAGGCTCCACTATTTACACTGGTGGCACACCTTTACAATGGCTTGCAACAATTGGTCGTGGCTTGTCAATGAAAAGCACATTTTATAAAGCAGGAATTGAATCAATTAAGTAAAAAAATTTACACGATGGTTGTTGTGTGTTTAATGGGAGACCAGGCTGAGACCATAAACTCACTGCGCTTGAGAACTCGGTCAAAATTCACAGCTGGCTGAAACCCGGATTAAAAACGGGTTTCTCAGTGGTGCAGGCTCCATGTCTCTCACTTCCGAGCCACTCGGTGACCTCACCAAGCGAAAATTTCAGTCTGAAATCTCAAGAGCGACAACCGTGGCTACCAGGGCCCCAATGGCGCCACCCACCTTGTCCCGCACGAGCAGCGTGACGGGCGGTGCACCGCTCGAGTTCTCGCTGCCTTTGCCGCTGGCGAGCTGGCGCAAGAAGTCCACCTTCTTCTTGCTCGCCATCAGCACAATCTTCTCGTCGCACAGCACCATGACTGTGTCCGTCAGCTCGTAGCCAAACAGCCATGTCTGGGTAACAAAGACAAAGATCCCCCGTATCGAATTAAAAGTGCTCTTCGCAAGCACCTATAGAAGCCGGCACGGCACCCAAGGGGATGGATGGCCAGCACCAGTGGCGATTATTTACACATTCCACCAGGTACTTATTCAAGGGTGAGTCAATCTAGGGGAGGCCCAGGACTGGTTCAGATAACCATCAGCGGTGTTGGCCGTGAGCGCTAAACAAAACTCAGGTTTCTGGGTTCGAAGCGCAGCACGTTAACCACTACAATACCACTCCCCAAATTGCACAGGCTCACAAACACGAGCACAGACAAGCACACTTACGCAAGACACGCGCACGCACACACAGCATGTTGTAGGGATTGTTAGAACTGTAATGATACACTGCCACACTGAACTGGAGAGACACTTCTTTCATACTGATGATGTATACCAACAATTAGATGTTCAAACCGAGGTTGTTGAGCCACCGAGCAGCGTCTTCCCGAGCATTGTGGAACACTGGCGTGCCCTCCTTCACGCTTGTGTTGAGGGCAGCGCGGCTTCGCCTTGCGAGAGAGACGCACAGCCCCGACGCAGAGGACAGGTACCTGTAACGCGGTGGACTTAGAGTAGACCGTCTCCTCGTCAACCCCGACTGACACCACGATGGCGTCCACCTTGCCAAACTCATCCTCCCCTTTCTGTGGAGAGATGCGTGACACAAGAGAGGAATGGTCACATCAAAGTGCCGATAAATCACAGCGACGATACATCCGCTGCTCCAAGTCTGCCTCTCCTCAGCGGCTCCACAGCCTCAAGTAAAGCGCCCGGCAAAGACTGAAATTGGGCCAAAGATGCTTTTTATGGAAAACCAGTTCACATTACGAAGTGTGCGCAGGGTAATACAATTCCCACAAAACCCTGCTAACTTGTAGATGCTCCGTTACTATGGGCTTATTCTAACAGCGAACGGACCAGTAGTCATCTGCGCACGTAGGAGCATTCTCTGGGTGCTCAGGTTTCCTCCCACATGCAGAGCAAACACTCATTAGCTCGCCCGATAACATGTTATAAAACTGAAACCCAACGCAGGACCCTTCTGAAATAGTCCCACAACTCGGGTGTGGCTGGATATGTAAATTACGATTACTATAATTGACCTCACGATGATGCGTCGATTAAAAACGATTCTTACGCTGAACAAATCGTGCACAATTGTGTTTTTTTTATTCAAGTGGTACGGGGCAGAGTTAAGAGATCGTGGTTTATATTCTTAGCTCTTTCGGTAAAGTCACGTTGAAGGGAAACAATAAAATAATAAAGAATATATAAAACAATAAAAATTCTCACGTCGTTTCGACCATAACACAAACGGTCATGATCAGGTGTGAAAACCCAACGGCAATAAACATTTGAAAGAGGTGGCGGTTTGCATTTATTATTATTCACACCTGATGATAACCGTTTGTGTTATGGTCGAAACGTCGTGAGAATTTTTTATTGTTTTATATACATTTTATTGTTTCCCTTCAACGTGACTTTACCGAAAGAGCTAAGAATATGAATTACTGCAGTCACGAAAGCTTTAAATCAAAATTTAGATCGTGGTTTGATTACTACAAAATATCCCCCGTATAGCCTGTAGCAGACTGTAGGGGCAAGTGCTGTTAGCGAGCACCTATGAAGGCCGGAACTGCACACGAGGGGGGTGAATGGCCAACATCACGCCCGACCGCCTTTGTCTCCCCAGCGGTGAGGTTTACACACCGCACCAGCTACTCATTTGAGGCCGAGTCGACCTAGGGGAGGCCCAGTACCGGTTCGGATAATCGTCAGTGGTGTTGGCCGTGAGCGAGAATCGAACTTGGGTCGCCGGATTCGAAGTGCGGCACGCCAACCAACTCCTCGACCGCTCACTACAACACACGTAAGGATACCCAAGTTTGATTCCTGGCAAGGGCTTATAATAATTACACTAAGACGATTGTTGTTCCTGGATAGTTTTATTTTCCAATTGCTTATGCCTCAAAAGTATATAAAATGGCTATTATTCCCCCACCAGGTCAGGAGGGGAGTCCTTAATGTAGCAGTGGATTGACAAAAGAGCCAGACAATATAAGCTTACACTTTCCATTGGCACGGAACATTTACCGTGGCTTTGTTAATGATTCCGAAATCATCTGGAGCGGATCTCTCTCGCTCTCTCCACCAGGGGCGTAAGGATGAATGCATGAATATCAAATTCTCACGATACACCAATTTTTTGTTTATTTAGCGTATTAGCAGCTTTAACCAAATGCTTAGTAAAAATAATGGACGTTGAGAAATGAAGCGTGGAGAGCGGGGGGAATTACACCGAGACGGGAAGACGAACACGTGGAGCGGATTCTAGATTTGAAGCTTTCGTGACTGCAAGGATCCACACTCTTTGGTTCTATTCGGTAAAGTCACGTACCTACGTGACTTTACCGAATAGAACCAAAGAGTACGTGGAACGGAGACTATTTGTCGGGCAGGTTGAGACATCTTCACTTCGACGAGTGGCCCTGTTGGGAGGGTACGTCCCTCGAAAGCATTGAGAGACTAATGACGGACTAGCAGCCAAAGGAGGGGAAAGACGGCCCGAGGTTTCGTTCGCCATCGAGACGGAACAATGATCAGCAGTTGCGTGACCGGCAGTCAATTCCGATTGTTGCATCCTCTAAACAAGAGGGATGGCAAGGCCTTCATGTCGCCTCCCCCCCCTTCCCCCGTATAGACGGAGAAGATTTTAGGGGCAAGTGATGTTTGCGAGCACCTATAAAGGCCGCAGCGGCACACGAGAAGGTGGGTGGGCCGCCTCTGTCTCCGCAGTGGCGATGTTTAACACGCCGTACCAGGAACTCATTTGAGGGCAGAGTCGTCCTAGGCGAGGCCTAGGACCGGTTCAGATTAATCATCACTGCTGGTGGTCCGTGAGTGGGAATCGAACTATGGTAGCTGGGTTCGTAGCGTCGCGCGTTAACCGCGACACTATCGCTCCTCATTACCGCTTCATCTCGCACCCCACACCCATCACCACCAGTCCCCATCAGCACCGTCAACCCCTTGGTCCCCTTCATTCTCCCCACCACCACTACCACCACGGGCCTAATCACCTAGCCTCATTACCACCACCACCACTGCACCCATCACTACTAACCCTACCACTGCCCCCCCCCCCATCACTGTCCCCATCACCACCACGAGTGCGGCCTAAGTTAGCCTTGTGGACTTCCCAGCCACCCTCACCCCACCAGGGCCCTCAGCGTTGTGCACCCCCCCACCCCGTGAGCGAGCGAGCGAGGGAGCCTGCGGTCTTGCGCGCCCGGCTCGCCCCAGCGCGATCAGCGTGCGGGTGAGGCGAGCGGGCTCCGGCGCGTCTCGACCCCCCCCCGCCCGCCCGCCGCCCGCCGCCCGTCGCCCTGATGCAAGGTAGGCCGCTTGAAAGCGGCGGTGTTTAGCGGTGGCGGTTACTCGCCCGCCATGTGTTGTAGAGGCGCTTGACGCGACGATAGTAAGCCTCCTTGTCCAGCTGCACGGCCATGGCGTAACCCACCGTGTGCGGCGACGAAATGGCGCCACTTTTAATGGCGGACGTGACGTCACTACGGCGCGCGCCAAAATCGAAGTGGAACTCGGAAGGTTGCCGGGCGGGAGAATTTCGCGCTGCCGGCGGAGTGACGTCACCGCCGGGGGCTGGGGGGGGGAGGGCGATGATGAAGGCTTCGAGCGGTGTGATGACGTCACGCAAAAGTGGAACACGGCGAGGAGCGCGCGCGCGCTTCTGACGCGATGACGTCACTGATATATTTTTTTAAGGCCCCCGACCGGGGCGGCGACGTCACGCAAAAAGGACTGGTAAGAATCCCGCTTCCCGCGCGATGACGTCACTGGGGGGGATTTAAATGTTCGCGATCGGCGCGATGACGTCACGATATCGGATTGGTGTTGGCATACGGCACGATGACGTCACGACAGGACTGGCGGGAACGTTTCCTGCGTAGTCACGAGCGAGCAGGCGAACTGTCGAGATGACGTCATCCAATTGGATTGGCTGGAACGCGAGCTGGCAGAAATTACCACCGACAGCGGATTGGAGGGTTCGCGCCCAACGCTGTGATGTCACACTGTAAACCTGTCGACCGGCGGGACAGTCACTCGAGGGCGACAAGGCCGTGGTTACCTTGGTTACTCATGACGTGGCCAGCCTGGTTACCTTGGTTAGGGGCCGTCCATAAATGACGTCACGCGATTTTGGACGATTTTTTTACCCCCCCCGTCACAAAAAGTCAGACCCCACCTCAAATATGACGTCACAAAGCTCTGCCCCCCCCCCCTCCCAAAAATAAAACATGCTTCAAATCGTATTCTTGGTTCTTTCGGTAAAGTCACGTAGCAGGGAAACAATAAAATAATATAAATATAAAACAATAAAATTCTCACGTTTCGACTGCAACACAACAGGTGTGAAAACCAAATCGCTTTAAACTATTGGCATTGTAGTGTGTATTTAATGTGGCTCTGCACTCTGATGTTTTTTTTATACTGGTAGGAACGAAGTTGTAAACTGAGTGTACCAGCCTGCAATAGATTAATGTGTCCGTCCGTCCGTCCCCTTTCAATACTTTAACGAAGTGAAATCTTGTGCTGTTGGGGTGTAAAATCAGCAATAGACAGCGCAGACTTGTCCTACCAGCCCACCCTGGGTAAGGCCCACTGAGCTATACAGCTCGTTTTCAGAAGCGAGTTGGCCACAAATTGGCAGCTCAACGAAGTTGCGTATCACGTGGAAATTTATAGCAGTCGAATACGTACTCTCTCAAAGCACGTTTCCTAAATGTAGGGGGGGGGGGGGGAAACCAGAGCACCCAGTGAAAAATCCGTGCGAACACGGGGAAGTCATGCAAACAAACTCCCAATATACAGCAGGCGTCAGGGTCGAACCCACGACCTACCAGGCGAGGTTGTGAATTTGTGTGGATGTGCCGCTTACTCTCCCTTCATCCCTGCCCCCACGATCGTTTCCACCAGCCTTGGCATGCGAACGGTCCCAAGCCTCACTTGTTTCAGGTCCACCGGTTTCAACTGCAGTTGTGGTTAGTGGGAGTCTATGGGGCACGTGGAAGAACAGCCTATTCGAGATCGTTTTCCCACCCAATCTCCACGAACTTAAAACTTCCATGGGTGTCAATTCAAAATCTCACACAATTATTTTTTTTAAACGTTCCAGTTCTTTTTCAAGCTACCCCCTGTGACAACTGTAATCCCCAAACTCCATCTCTACATTCTCGTGAATCTGAAGAGCCATTTCGCTTGGAATGTTCACGCGTACGTGCACAGTAGTTGTAACACTACAGGAAGAAAAACCGTGCAGCTGAACCTCGCTGCCTCAGGCTGAGGAATTGTGACCTGTGACCCGTGATGGACCTCTTGGGAGACAAGGTGGCGTGTGGTCTTCCGCAGCGGCAGCGTGATCATCGCGAGCAGGACGGTTACAATGCATGGGAGCAATCTCACGTTCAACCGTGAATGGTCGGGCCACAGAGGAGCAATCGTCGAACTGTACGTCAATAAATTTGGTGCAAAACCGCGCTGGTTTACTGTGTCAAATTGATTGGTTTATTTTTTTTAAAGAAAAAGACAAAAACGCTATACAAACCAAATACACAAAATCAAAGGAGTTGATGCAAACACTAAGTCAAAGCAGAACAGTAAGCACTGGTCTAGATGCCTGGCAGTTAACGGGGGTTTCGCCAGGCGAATGGAGGACACGCGCACGCTTGCACAGCGAGTCCCGCGGCGCTGCTCGCCGCGAGCCCGGACCACGTGTGCACCGCCAAGACGCAGCGACCGCGGGGCAATGTCGCTCGCCATGGCGCCCGGGTGCGCGCCTACAAAACATCCACGCGCACAACTAAGGGCTTCAACGAAACAAAACAAAAAAAACAACAAGGCTTTAATGGCCCTAATCGGTACAAAAAAAAAAACACCCCACACCGTGTTTCAAAAAGTGTTGCCTATGACTGGAACTTGACTTCAGGCGGGAGTGACAGCACTGAACACTGCTTGCGAAAACTCAACTACAATATATAAAATAATGGAACTTACAACACACACCTCTTTAGCACGGCACTTCGCCCCCCACCCCCGCTCCCCGCTGCCACGCGGCTCTCCGATTGCCCTCACGCCCAGCACCGAGTACGACGGGACCCGACCGAGCACTGCAAACCGCACCGATCACCGAAGCCTCGTGCTGTTCGAATCACTTTGCCGCAAACACCGCGGCGCGCGTGCTGACGGGAGTTGCACGCAACCAGAGCCGCCGCGGCTCAGCGCAGTGTCTGCTATAGTTCAAAAGTTTATAGAACAATACATTATCAAAAGCCTCGTTTCTATAGCACGAACGCAGGACGAAAGATCATGGCCCTGCGCCGGACTCTAAGCTATGCCCGCCCAAGGGTTGGGGTCGGGTTCGTGGAAGGGGGCTAAGTGAGACCCTTCAAGGCTGCCGTTTGGCCTGAAGCTCTGCGTTGTGTAACGAGAGAGGCGAAGGGGCTCAAGCAGTCTCCCTGCGGCACAGGCCTGTGGATTAAACCAGCACAAGTGCCCTGCAGGGAATGCACCAGTAACGGCCTCCCCGCTACGGGCATGCTGGGCTTGAGTCCCTTCTCTCTTGTCACTTATCCCCAAACAAACAGGGAAGATCAGGGCTCAGGGTGAACACGGTGACAGCCTTGGCGTCCTGTCAACAAGGACGCCTCTGCCCACAGCGCACACGACCAACTCTCTTCACAACGCCCCTCTACAATGTGAAACCTGACAAGACAAGCTGCTGTTGCTCTCCACGTGCATCCAACCTTCATGGAGGCGTCTCGGCTGCTGGAGACAAACATTTCAAACTGCGCTACCGTTTGTGCTCACGCACGGGCGTCGCATCTCTTACTGCTGGGTCAACCGTGACTTCTTCCGAGGCCTAAGAACGCAGCAATCGCGACTCACGACAGGAAATACCATTCACTGGAGACCAAGCCTCCCACAAACAGCCCCACCACCCCCCTTGAGAAAGATCAATCTGTACAAGCAGAAATTAAAAGTCCATGAAAAATAAAAACCCTCGTCAACAGGACACGAACATAGCATTGGCAAGGCATCAGTCAACACGGCTTAAAAGCTATGGTTATACTCTGGCCTATGGGAAACCGAGTCGGTCCGACTGTACAGTCGCGCGCTACATTACAGGAACAATTCATACAAACAATAGCGGAGGATACTGTAAAACCACTCTCTCAGCAATGCCCGCGGCTTGCTAATGCGTCCACACGTTCAGGCACTACAAAGGTTATTGCAAATTTAAGTATTTAATGATAGATTTTTGGAAAACATACTAAATTCAGACCAATGAACTGTCGCACAAAGCATAACACAGCGTTGTACGTGCTTGTAGAAGGTTTCCGTAGAAATTAATGACGATGATGATGGATCACAGACGCGAGCGCTTTTCACAGTTGGAAGAAATGATTCGCTCGCGCTCGCACGGAAGATGGGCCGACGAGAGGCATGCCCGCCGCTCTGCGCACACTCACACCAAAACAGCCTGAACGTCAGCGAGAGAGAGAGCAGGCGGACAGACGGCTGGTGGTTTTACAGTATCGCCTGACACCCCCCCCCCCCTATTAAGATGAGAAAAATAGCATAAATCTCTTCTATGCCGCCCACCCGCCCCCATGGGTACCGGCCCTATGGCCTGCGCCGCTCCCTGTCATCCCCCTCTCGGCTGCGAGCGTTGCTGCGCTCCTGGCTTTGCTCCCGCTCCCCGCTGCGGCCCTTGCTGCGTTCCCTGCTGCGATCTTTGCTGCGATCTTTGCTGCGATCTTTGCTGCGATCTTTGCTGCGCTCACGGCCCTTGCTATTCTCCCTGCTGCGCTCGCGACCCTTGCTGTGCTCTTTGCTGGGCTCGCGATCCTTGCTCCGCTCCCTGCTGCTGCGCTCGCGGGCCTTTCCGCGCTCCTCCTGGCTGCGTTTCCGTTCGCGACTCCGCTCCCTGCTGCCGCCGCCGCCGCCGCCGCCGCCGCCACCGCCGCGTTGCTCCCTGTCCCGGCTACGGTCACGGTCGCGCTCCCGCCGACGCTGCGTCTCGCGCTCCCGCTCCTCCTGTCGCTCCTTGAGACGCTGGCGCTCCCGCTCGGCGACGCGCTCCTCTGCCACGCGCTGGTCCTTCTGCTCCTGTTCCTTGCGCCGCCGTTCGCGCTCCTTCGCCCGCTCCGCTCGCTCCGCCACCTTCAGCGCTATCTGCAAGTCAATAAACCCACAAGATGATGCCAATGCTACCGATGTGGACCACATCGTCCATTACGATCGCTGCGAGCTCTGTTGACGCGAGCTGAACCTCGTCGCAAGTGCTCGCACACACACATTCAACGGCGTCAGTAGCAGCAGCAGCATCAACGCGTGCTCCCGTGCACAAATCATCAGTGCAAGAGCTTTGCACAATTGCCCCGGAGAACACCCATCTCCCCTCTGAAGCATTAAGACAGGAGCGCTCGATAAACACCAAATGCACACGAGGTCCCGACAATTGGTGAGGACACGGTGACGCACCTGCTCCTCAGTCAGAGGCAGCCAGTAGATGCAGGGAGTGGCCTTGGTCTTCATGAAGAGGTCATCCAGCAACTTGGCAGGGGGCTCCTCCTGGGGCTTTTCTGCTTAGAAAGGCGAGCACACAAGCAGGCACGAGCAGATAAGAGACGCAAGAAACAATCACGGATTGACGTGCACAGCTGAGAGCACAAGCGTTGACCGATTATAATTCCAACTTGTAATGCGCAGCACAGAGAGAGGGGGGGAACGACTCGGAAGGCAGGAGGAATCATCGGCAAGCAGGAAAGCAGCCAGGCGGTGAACCGACGCCAACAATTGCCCAAGATCTGCGGTCCCTTATATATTAAGGTGTTATCGATCAATTAATGTTTACATGCGGGAGGAAACCTAAGCATCTGGAGAAAACCCACGCAAGCGAGGTGGGGGGGTAAAGCCTCTACCCCAGAGGGAACAACTTTGTCCACATTTTTGTGGTACCTCCTCGACGCCCGCGAGAAGAGAGTTTCACAACATCTGTGCGATCCAACAACCCCTGGCTACTGCCTCCACAGTGCTGGATTTACAGCGCCCATGTGCTGTATATCATAACCACCGCCTGATCACAACCTGGCTGGCAAAGCCACCAGTCCATGCCATGAGCGCAGTTGCAGCAGGCGCGCCTGCAACGAGCGCGCCAGCAACGGTGGCGCTGGCGAACGAGCGCTCCGGCAACTAGCGTGCCGGCGGGAGGTTAACCGCACCTTTCTTCTCGGCCTTCTTCTCCTCCTTGGAGCGTGCCCTCTCGCGGCGGCGGCGCTCCCGTGACGGCGTGCGCGACCGCGGCTTGGCGCCCTCCTCGGCGAACTCGCGGACCTTGCCGCGGTCCCACTCGCGCTCGGCGCGCGCCCGCTCGCGCCGCGCCATCTCTCGCTCGCGGTCCACGCGCAGGTCCTGGACGATGCGCTCGGGCTCGCCGCCTTTCCTCTCGCGAGGCTCGCGGGATTCGCGCGGCTCGCGCCGAGCAGGCGCCGGCTCCGGCTTCTGGTCGACCGTGGAGGCTGATACCGGCATGTGAGGCGTCAGCCCCCGGTGGAAGTCCAGCTGCGCGGGGGGAAAGGGCACGGGTGTTCGCGATGAGTACGGTTTGATACTGCGCTCGTAGCATTAACAGGGGCGGCCTGCCGGATTCCAACCGCGAACACCTCTACAACAAGGCGCGACTACTGGCCCACGTCCAGGAGCCCCCCAATGAAAATTCGTATTTACGACAACAATCTACCCACTGGCTAATGAGACAGAGAAACAGCTGCAACCTCCATCTGCAATTACAGCAATGTGCAAATGCCCATCTGGGCCTAATGGCCTATGTGCAGTGTAAAGACTCTCTGGGTTCTTTAAGAGACGATATATGAAGAGGGCACTGGTCCTGCAGCTGCACACAGCTGATCGGACACTGGTCTAAAGAACGCATCTTCTGGCTCACACCGATCAAAGCAATCCAAACCCAGTCCCTCACCTCATCCTGGTCAGCGAAGTCGACCGAGAGAAACTTAGGGTTGGAGGTCGGCCACTTCACGCCGTGGAGCACCGCGCGTGTCGCCTCTGCCTCCTCCACTGACGAGTACTGTACAGCGACATGCCACATCATCATCATCACACATCATGCCATCACTCAAATAATTACGCGATAGCGTCATCACACACACCACATCCACTGCACCTCCGATTAGCGTGGATGGCAATGTCGTTCAGCATACATACATCATTACACCATCATCACGTAACACACCACCACATGGCACCATCATCATCATCACACACCAATACTACATGACACCATAATCACTTCAAACACAATACCATGAGCAGCACACCATTGACAAACAAACACAGCAACACAACAGACCACACCATCCTGCCACCACAAGAGATCGGACCACAAATTCCACCCCACTCCAATCAATGCACACCACACCACAGTGCTACCCTCACCCCAATCTTCCAATAAAATAACACACCGCCACCCCTCACCAACCATCACACGCAATTCCACACCACATTGCCACCTTATCCCAATGCTTCCACACTGTTACCTTGCAAATCTCCCCACACCACAATGCCACCCGAACACAATCAGGCCACGCCACAGCACAAAACACCACCAATACAAACTACAGCACACCATGGACACCACACTCTCTGCGGCCACACGGCCTGTAGGACCACCCCAGCAGATGGCAGAACTCCTCCGCCCCCCCTACCCCAGGAGCGACGACATGGGAGGCGGAGAAGGCGGAAAGGAGATGGAGGAGGGGCGGCCAGGCTTACGGTGGCGTAGCAGTGCGACTTGATCTTGTCGATCCAGAAGACGTCGTCGCGGATCGTCCCGGTGCGGTTCAGCAGCTCCTTCAGCTGGACGAGCGTGAACGGCCGCACCTGCTCGAGAAAACCGCGCACAACACGGCGGTCAGAATCGAGGGGGGGGGGTTTTGTCCTTTTCCAGGATTTTATCCCAATGGTGCCATCGGTGTCACGAGACAAAGAATCCGTTACGAACTCTTGCAGAGCGGTGCAACCCTTCACGTCAAAATGACGATCCGAAGATGACGGTATCACATTGCCACTTCCGAGATCTCTTCAAGTAAAATTTTTTTTTTAATTCATCCAAGGACTCTTTTTTCAGGAGGGTCCTGCATTCGGGTTGTTATTTTAAGATGTTTGCAACCCAATCTAAGATTGTTTCTACATGTAGGAGGAAACCCGGCGTAAACCCACACGTGCGGACGGGCAACGCTCTATCGCCGTACAGACGGAAAGTGATGGCGATCAGTCCACTTGCTGTAGCTCCTTCTCCCGGCGAGCCAGGGTATAGCAGCTCGACGCCAACAGTGAAGAGAGTTTCACCACATTTGTGCGATCCATCAACCCTCACTGCATCCAGTGCTGGATTACAATGTGCATAGCCACCGCCATCTGGTTAAGTGACCTCTGGTCAACATAGCCTACTCTCTCTCACTTGCCCAACCATTGAAAAGTAATGTTCATTACGTAATACTCCAACACACCCCCCCCCCCCGCCACTGTTGCTTCACAGCCTGTGGCACCATCGCATGACACCGCCAACGGCTGTGCCGTTCGGATGCGTGGCTCGAGTCTAAACTAAACAATTTTTTTATTCACCAAGTAAGACCCACTGAGCTAAATAGCTCTTTTTCAGAAGCGACCTGGCCACACATTATAGCTCAACAAAGTGGCTCATGTGTAAATTTAAAACAGCCAAATACTCTAAACGAATTATTCTAAAGTAGAGGGAAAAAACGAAGGACCCAGAGAAAAATCCACATTCCTCATGACCACAGGGAGAACGTGCAAACTCCGAATATACAGCTGGTGTCAGGGTTGGGATCGAACCAACGCCCTCCTGTATACAAGGTGAGGTAGTTAACCTATCGCAAACCGAGTCGCTGGGTTACAGCTAAATTCAGCTGCGTCGACCGATTAAGCAGAGCGAGTAATCGGTCACCAGCTACAAGGTCGCGGGGCGGAAGAGCAGGGCTCACCAGGTTGGAGATGTGCAGGATGCAGGTCGATCTGTGCCGCGGCGGCGACAGCTTCTGGCCGAGGCGCACGGGGTCGTCGATCGTAACCGAGACGCCAGAGTTCTGCTGGCTGATGGAGCGGCGCACCAGACTCTCGCTCGGCAGCACTGCAAGCACATGCGCGCGCAGCACCGGCACGGTGACCCGGAGTTACAAAACAAGACTGGCGGCCTGCCGCTGTAAATAGAGAGACTCGTCGGCCTGGATTTCTTAGTCACGGCTCAGCTCACGCTTGACTCAAGCGAGCTGTCTAAAAGAAACAATTAAGTGTTGAGCCTGATCCAAGGCATGGCTGAGCCGCTCTCACGCTTGTGTCTTTGACAACTGAGCGGCCCAAGCCTGAGCTGGGCCATGTTAAGAGACCAAACAAGAGCCGAGCCGTCACTCAGAACACGCCCCCCCCCCCTAGTCACAACGAGCTCCTCCTGCAGGGTTTTGAATATTACATTTTTCACTTAATTTATTTGCGCTAGTTTACCCAGGAATTCCTCGTGATAGCTTCACAACATGAATTAACTTAGGAGCGGCGATGCCACCGTGCTCCCCGTGTGTGTGCGCCACTGTCCCCCTTCCTGCCGCAGGGGCCGCACCTTTGGCCTTGGCATCCTCCTCGGCCGCCTTCACGGCCGCCGGCTCCGCATCCATGGAGACGGAGCCGTCGTCGTCCTCGTCCTTCCTCTCGTCCTCCTCGTCCTCCTCGTCATCCTCGTCCTCCTCGCCGCGGGGCTCCTCCCCGTTCTCTTGGCTCTCCGTCGACACCACCTGGCGGGTGCGGAGGGACGCGTCTCACGGCCGCTCTCCTTGCCCTCTCCCCTCTCTCCGCTCCCTCATCTCTCTCCTCTACATCTCCTGCTCTCGGCTTTGCAGCATTCTCACGACAACTGATGATGGAGCTCATGAACCGAGCTCCCAGGCTTTGCCCAGATTCCCACGGTAGCCTTATCGGACCGAGCAAGCGGAAATCGGACCACGTAGCCCGCTCTGTGCCTTGTGGCCACTCCGATTAGCAAGGTAGAGGCCACGTACGGTGCGAAAGAAGTTCAACACACATACATACAATAACCCAGGCCGCCCTCGGAGCTGGCCCTGACGTCATTGGGTCAACGCGGAACAGACGAGAGGTCAGCCGCATCTCTCGCGTTGTCGTTTAAAAGATTAGGATGGAAAAATCAGCTTGGCATATTATGAACTAACTTGGGGGTGGGAAGGGAGGAGGGAAGCGGGGGTGGGGGTGAGGGCATGGAGTGGCACAGCTCTCATCGCATTGGGGACGAGAACAGAGAAACGCAGGACCGTCCTTGACCGAGCCGACGCGACCAGGCCTGCCAACGGCTGTAGAAACGCAGCATCACGCGCGGGATTGCCCCTCCAATGTCCCACCGCGCGCGACCGCCCAGCCATGCCGATTCACGCCAACAGGGCACCCCACCTCCCCCCACCTCCCCCCACCTCCCCCCACCTCCCCCCACCTCCCCCCACCTCCCCCACCTCGTGATCGCGAGCGCACGCACCTGCGTGACGGTGCGCATGATCTTCACGTCCTTGTCCCCCGCACCCTGGGCGTCGTCGTCGTCCTGGCCCCCCGGCCGGGCCGTGGGCGCGCGTGGCCCCTCGGCGGCCCCTCCCTCGCCGTCGTCCTCGGCCCCCGACAGCGCCACGTCCTCGGCGTGCAGGTCCACAACCGGGGGCTCCGGCGCCGCCGCGGCCGCCGCCTTCATCTCGGGGATGAGGCTCTGCTCCGAACAATGACGCGACACGGGCGGCATACAACGCACACGGACGCCAGTGTTAGCCTCGAGACGCTCAGAGAGGCTCCTGATAGGAACCCTTCCAGGTGCTGGTAGGCGAGTGGCGAGTGTTGCTGCTACGTACGAGGCGAGTGGTGCTGGTACGCGAGTGGTGAGTGGTGCTGCTGCACGAGTGGCGAGTGGTGCAGCTACGCGAGAGGTTAGTGGTACTGCTACGTGAGAGTTGAGTGGTGCTGGTACATGAGTGGTGGGTGCTGGTAGGCGAGTGCCACGGTTGCGCACCTTGAGCGAGTCGGTGCTGATGCTGATGCTCGTCTTCTTGGGGGTGGTGGCCGTGCTGGAGCCCCAGCGCCGCTTGCGCGCCGGCCCTACGCCCTCCGCCTCGCCGTTACCGCCCGGCGCCTTCCCCGACGCTGGCACCACGAACGGCAAAGACAAACGGGCGCCGGGACGACAGGAACAGAGCGACGGTGAGAGATGCTTCCGCTGAGACAGAGGCTCGCGGTGTTAGATCCCGTGTCTCAAGACGACCCCGACCCCAGCCCAGCATCAGTGGCGCTCACCTACGGAACGAGCGGCTAATCGGTGTGCTCGTTTGTTTGTGTAGCGCCACCAATTTTAATGAATGAGGTGTCGTCCCAAACCGTCAAAAGTTTTATTGTAGACCCATTCATTTTACGGACGGACCTTCGAGTGCTGCTTATCCACACTACCATTCGCAATGACATGGTGAGTTATGCAGTCTAGTTTTACAATCATACAATGGATAGGTGTGTGCTGCTGGGAGAGGGGTGTGTCAATCGGGTGCCACGGTGGCTTGGAGATGTTAACAACCTCGCCCGGTATACAGGATGTCGTGGGTTCGATCTCGATCCTGACGCCTGTATATTTGGAGCTTGCATGTTCTCCCCGTGGTCGCGTAGATTATTCTCCGGGTCCTCCGGTTTTTTCCCTCGACATTTAGAATCAACATACGCTTAAGAGTATTTGTCTGCTGTAAATTTCCAGGTGATAAACCACTATATTGAGCTATCACTTGGAGCTTACCTGGTAAAAAAAAATTGTTTATCGTTTTTAGTGTAGTTTAATGACTCCCCCACTATGCTGTGAATGGTGAAGATCAGCGAGTTGATGACTGCTGAGTGGTGTCAGGTGAGTGGTGAATGTCCGTCAAGGTTCACATTACCGCCACGTGACCCTGTTCCTAGGACGGTCTGCCCTCACTCGCCGTTCCTTAAATGTTTAAGACGTCATGTGCGCGCGCTTGCACACACGAATTTGACCTGCGACAACTTCTCCCTTTGTGGATTTAGCATCGACCCAAGGGGCAAATGATAATGGTTCCAATGAGGCTCACGAGCCCGCGGTCAAGAGAAAAGCTGTGCCAGGTTAAGCCCTGCGTGATGCGCGCGTTCGCGTGATCGCCCCGTCTGGGCGCACACCACACGGACGCGCGCATAAGCACGCCAACACGTCCACACGTCAGGACTGTGCGCGGTGCATAATCCCCTCTGGCTTAGGGGCAAGGTCGTGTCAGGTTCGGGCAAGGTCGTGTTCGGGCAAGGCCACGCGGACCAACGGTGCACGCCATTCGTTAACATCAGATCTAGGCGCCGCGTGCAAGGACGCATGGTTGGTTGTGTGAGCGGCGCAGGGCCCCCTCCGCCGACACCAACCAAGGTGGGCCAGGAGGGTTCCACCTCAGCACGTGGAGGGGTCGCTCCAAACACACACACACACGTCTCGCGCGTCTGCACGTGTCGGTAGAGGTTAGCGAGCACCTATTAAGGCCGGCACGCCACATGATCGGGTGGCGTGGCAAGCACCACGCTCGGCTGCCTTCGTTTCACCAATGCCGCTGCTTACACACCGTACCAAGTAGCACTTTCCCAAATATTCTATGTAGGCAACACAGTGGGACCTTTGTCTTTGTGGTTAGTGATCGTGCATTTGTTCATTCTGTGATCCTGCAATATCCCGATTTTAATTCCCAGTCAAGGGTAATATCGGTCCCAAATGGTGTCAGAAACCTGTCCTAGGCCCTCTCCCTCATTTCAGAGACAAAGGTGGCCAGGTGAGGTGCTGGCCACACCACCCTCTCATATGATCAATTGACCTTAATCAGTGCTCACAAACAGCACTTGCCCCAAAATTCTATAGATATAAAAAGGGGTACCCTGTGTTTGGGTGTGCGTGCGTATCCGTGTGTGTATTTTGCCCGCGCATGATGACATGCATGCGAGCTTTGAGCGCGTGTGAATGTGCGTATCTGTGTGTGTATGCGCGTAGGCACATATGCATGCGTGTGGGCGTTCAGTGCGTTGTGTACTTACACACGATGGCCATCTTTCGTTTGAATGTTCGCACTGTGACGTTCTATACAGAATGGGGGGGGGGACGCGCGTGCGCACACACACACAGGGTCACCTCTGCTCCCTGGCATCACAAGCATCGCTGCTCCACTCAACCTAGCATTTGCTCATCTACCTCTGGCAGACTGCTAGCCAACATTATTTTAGACTCCACCGTAAAGCTATCTCGTGGTGTGACAGCATTGTAAAGTGACCCAGATATACTGCTCATTAATATAATGCAGCCCTGGTGCTCCGAACTGATAAACCCATTTAAAATAAACGGCATATGCAGCAGCTGGACCTACCCTGCTCCTCCCAGTACCATGTGTGCCCTGTAAAGATCCTTTACTCAAATTAACAGGTTCTGGTGCAGGTGCAGTCTAAGGCTCCAGCTGATAACTAACAGCTCCAGCCTAGGGAGTCGGACCCACACACATCCCCGCTGCAACCGCTAATCCCGGGTTTAGTGTTGAGCGTGAGCGAGTAGCAGGCAGTCCAGGTACCCTTTCACACCTGGTCGGGCAGATAACCACCAATTGTGGGGGACCAGCTCATGCTAGGAATCTAGACAAAGAGCGTCCAATGAGAAGGGCCGTCAGTGGCGGGCGGCGCGACACTGGGGTGGATCGGACGACGGGACGTGATTTTGCAGCCTGGAGTTTTCGTGCCCTTTATTTTGTTCGTTTGCGAGTGGGGTCTGCCGTCAGGCTTTGTCTCGACCACAGCAGAAGTTGAGAGCCAGCGCACCGTCGATGAGTCTTCGGGAGCGCCCCCATCGCGCAGGGCTCCGTGCCGGAAGCGCGTGCGTCCTCGGACGCATGTCCCAGTGCCCGCTTCTCTCTCCGCTGCTGCGCTTGCTGCCGCTGCTGCTCACGGTGCAGAGCAAAGTCCGCTCTCTGCCCCGCCGTGTCCATCTCTCAAACGCTGTGTTGACCTCGCAAACACGATACCCATCACCGTTTCTCAAAACGTTGCGCCCCGTGTTGATCTCACAAACGCTGTGTTGATCTCCGTCTCACAAACGTTTTCCCTGTGTTCACCTCTCAAACACTGTGCCCAAGTCCATCTCTCGATCTCTCACATGCTGCCACGACCACGGAAAGGCGTCTTGCCTACACGTGCGTTCAGTCACAGCAACAGCGGCATAGGGGCCCTGCCCCAGTTTTAAGATTCTCTCCCTCAAGTCCACGACCCCGGTGTCGGGGTTGGCACCATCTCCCCCTTCAAGTGTGAAACACAGCGGGGCTTTGCTCTTCGTGCAAAGTCAAACGTGCGGTCGATCGCCTCCACATTCTGCAGCCGGGTTCACGTCAGCGTCCATCACACAGCTCACTTGCGACCTTGGCTCGCACGATTGCAGCGTCTGTTGATCTGTGCGAGTCCGTCGGCAAGAGATGGCGGGCAACGCCAAAGCAGGGCGAAACGCGGTTCTTCGAGTCGGCGAGTGGTCATTACACGACCTGTCACAGGAGTCGTTTTGGTCATCGCTTGCGGCTGTTCGACAATCGACGTCGCTGGGGTCTCATGAGCACTGGGACGAGACGGGGGTGGGGCGCTCCCACAACGGGTTCTGTGGTAGCCACGGTGACGGCAGAGCGGCGCGAGGGGCTGGCCTGGCCCTCCGCCGCGGGCCCCCCCCACTCGCAACGACGCCGGCGGCGGCCAATCGGCGGGCGGGAACGAAGGCCCCCCACGGTTGTCTAGTGCACACAGAGGCACGTGCCTGTCCGAGCGCGAGCCGTGCCGCGTCGACCACGCCACTTACTTTGGGCTGATACAATGGCACAAGCATACACAGCACAGGGGCACTGTCAAAGATGCTTCACGGCGTCTGCCACCACACTGCAACTAGACTCCAAATATTGTGAATCAATGCGTCAGTGCGTGTGTGTGTGCGTGCGTGCGCGTGGGTGTGTGTGGCGGAACACGCTCAGCATCGGCGGGGGGTGGGGTGGGCGCAGAGAGACGCATCCCCGCATTTTACGCCGACACTGAGCGGGTTCCGCCAACTCATGAGGCCTCGTGTGAGAGTGAAGAAACTTCACAGCACAATAACTTCAATACGAAACTTATCGGAGAATGTAAAAATTGCACGACTGATTTGATTATAACTGCTCCAAAGCTTCCTTATCGCCGTCTTAAACTAGGGGAAGGGGGGTTGATGTTTGCCACCTATCAGCTGTTGCTAGGGTCAGCAACTTTAACGACTGCGAGGAAAGCAGCAATGCACGCATAAGCCCTGCCCATTGGGCCACCGTGGGCCACCAGGGCAGTGGTTTTGGCCTATTTCATATGATGGGAGTCAATGTGGGTCTATTCTCTTTGATGGGAGTGATCAATTAATTAATTCATTGGGTGGTGGAGGCATGGTTAATGTAAATAGGGGATGGTTACGTCCAAATAACTGCAGTAAAAGTAGCTCTGACCCCCTTCATTGAAATGCTAGTGTAAATGGTCTATTCAGAGTAAGAGGGTGTGGTTCCGGCTCTTTTGATTGTAATAAGGGTGGTAGTGGCCCATTCATTGAACATGAAGGGAGTGGTATTTCACCACTGACGCCATCAAATCGAGGGCCCCTCCACCAACCAGCGCCAGTGGATTTTGCCCGTGTGCCCCTTTTCCATCAACGCTGTCAAGCGCGTGGTTTTCCCAGAAGCACCGGAAGGAGGAAGAAGCTACGGTGCCGCCGGCTGCCGCCCTTCTCTGCTGCTACCCTACACAGCCCCCGTGGAGCGACCGGCACAAAAACCACGCGCTGGCAGCCCAGCGTTCCCTCGAGCGGAGTGCCGGTATCCCGGCGTGCGCCGGTCGGTGCGTGCGGGCCGTGTGGTTAGGCCGTGCCGCACCGGCCGTGGTACCTCTCTCTTCCCCTCCTCCTCCATCGCCTCGGAGCCAGCATCCGCGCTGTCGCCGGCGGTGGCAGCGGCGGCGTCGTCCGTGCCCTGGTGCTGCTGCTCGTCCTCACCTCCCACGCCGCCCCCCACGGGGGGGGTGGCAGGGGGCTCCGACTCGGTACGCCCAACCCCCTCCTCTTCCTCCTCCTCCTCCTCTTTCTTCTGCTGCTGCTGCTTCATTTGCTGCGGCGGCTGTGGCGACGTTTGCTTCAGCTGCTTGTCTCCCTGCTGCTGCTGCTGCACCACCATGCCAGCCTGGACGCTCACCTTCGCCTCACTGTGATGAGGAAGGTGGAGGGAGGGGGGGGTGAAACCACGTGAAGGTCAGCCGTGCCCTCATAGCTCCTCTCACTACGCCGGGCTCCGAGCCATCGCTAATGGGCCGACCGAAGCAATTAGCACGAGTCGCGGGGAGCAGAACCCGCCACCACTTCCATCGTCGCTACAACAACAACAGCGATACCAGGGTCCACCAGCTAACACTCAATTCACCAGCTCAGGAAGATTACACCCAGTTACCACACATTAACGCAGCAATGAGACGCGACACAAGTTGTGCTCGTAAGCAAAGCCTTTCGGTTACCACGTCAGGGACAAGCAGCCGATAATGACGGGGACTGAAATTAGCCCCAGCAGCTGATTTGAGATTCCTCACTGCACGACATTTACAATTGGAAAGAACAGAGCCCTCGGTCGACAACTGTGAGTGACGATACCTACACACCACCTTAACGTGACCTTTAAACCAAAATGGCAGGCGAGTCCCTGAGCCGGGCCCATCCATTTGTAGCCTGCGCTTGCTTGGAGTGTGCGAGGTTCCCAACACTGACATTGCCGCTTTCATCGTCGTCCCTGATGATGAATAATTAACCGCACCTGTGCGGCGCTGCTCCTGATCGGGTTGGCGGTGGGGGGCACAATCGTGCGCCACCGAACGAACGCCTTCACTACGACGTCGAGCGATGCTGGTTCCATGACAACGCCGCTCAATCCGCGACCAACGAGATTATGGGCCGCGCGCCTTGGCCGCATTCCTCACAAGCAGCCAATGAATTAACCGCGCGCGACTGAATGAATGAATGAATGCATGCAGAACACCAGAGAGGACGCACAATTAGAATCAATAAGCTTACCACAGAGCGGCACGCCCGTTCATCGCGAGAGGGTTAACGACAGGCAGCGCTATTCTTAGAAACCCCCCCGCGGTCGCTCGCGGTGCGGACAGCCCGTCGGTGCCGGCCATCGGCACCGGCAGCTGAGACTCAAACGCTCAGCTGGAGCCGTGACACAAAGGAGGCGCGTGCGGATGACACCGCGCGTGCGTGCACGCGCTCCTCCCACCGTGCGCTGCTGGGGCACGCAGGCCACGGGAACACGACACAAGGACGGAGGCCAGTGCACCCCTACCTCACCACGCTCACTTCTGGGACCATCAGGGCCGCGCGCGCGCGACGGCACGGGCGCCGTCACGGCTCAGGACACCCGGGGGTGGGGGGGGCGGCGGCGCTCCACTACAAGCGGCCATTCACCGCAACGGGCAGCGGGCGGCCATGCTGGATTCCTCCCATCTGCCTGTGGAGCCAAGGTCCCCAGAGGGGCAGGGTTGTCCGAGCTACTGCCCGACTGCCTGACCCTTTATAATAACAAAAACGAAATCCCCCTACGTGAACGGCGGACACAGGCGCGGTTGGGCGACACGACGCATCCCACGCTGCGCCGCTAGAAGAGAGAAACCCCTGCGCTAACGGGCGGCAGTGGAATATTCTAGCAGCTGCAGCTCAAGTCGGCGGCTCTCAGCCTCTACCCCTCCCCCGCAGCAGCAGAATCAATCGGGCTGCGCACACTTCCGAGCGAACGCACAGAACGCCTGCCCTACATGCTAATTAGGCTCCGCTCGCACCGGCCCAACGCTCTCCCGCCTGCTCGCCATGCACGGGCGCCTCCAACACACACACACACACACAAAAAAATCAATGGAGGCCGGTCCCAGGAGAACGGGCTCCGTGCAGGCAGATACAGAGGACACCTACAGAGCCAAGAAGACCTGGGTTCCCACCCCTCCCGGGGCCGGCGTGCGGTGCACCCAGCAGCTCCCCGCGTTCATCGCTCCAACACTCCCCTGATCCGCCTGGCACGTAATGCCCCCCCCCACACTCCACCGCTCGCAACCGGAAAAAAATTGGAAAATCGTGAGATTTCCTGGTCGGCGTGCGGCCACGGCCGGTGTTTAATTGGACAGGAGGTGTTGTGACGCAGCCCGCCGTGACGTCGCAGTGAAAAAAAACTGCTCGCTGACCGCACAAGGGAGGGGGGGATGTTAACCCCCCCCCCCCCCCGCCCCCCCCCCGAAAATAAAAACCGTTTAACCCAAGATCCATCTCAAAAAGACTTCTTTTTTTTTTTACACAAAACACCAACGTGCAACGGCATTGGAAAGGCAACAAAAGGAGCGAACGAATCACTAACCTGCCGATCTCAAAATATTCCCCAAACGCAGCACCGCTGCACCTCGCTAACGGATGACCTTGCAGTTTTAGATGCGCCCTGCGGTACCAGCAGCAGTGTCGGCGGCGGCGGCGGCGGCTGCTGCCGCGGGGTCGCGCGCCCCGGCGAACGTCCCCGAGTCGTGTTTCGCTCGGCGAGGTGCCTCGATCGCAATCGGTGACCGCGCGTGCGACATCAGCGCCTTAAGCGGCACAGCGCAAAACAGCCACCAGCACAGCGCAGCGTGAGGAGCAGCCCGCGCCGCTCATGCGCGCATCTCCCAGCCGGGCAGATGGCACAGATCTTTCTCAAGTACAAACTCGCTCAAATTCAGAGCCAATTAGTGAAGCCAATGCCTTTTGCCCGGGTGTTTAAAACGCTGGGCAAACCACTGTCAACAGCGCAGTCGAAATCCAGTTTCGAGATGTTATGCGGTCTAACCCCGCTCCTTGCTGGGGTAGCCCAATTGTCAACAAATTGTGGGTGCATAACGGTTAAACTAAGACCCGAAAAATCAGCAAACCTTCCCCTGCCCATCCCCGTCACCCTCTGGGGGGGACACAAACACGGCTCCTCGCTGAGACAATCATATCATCACCGCTAACCAACAGCAGCGCTAATCCCATTACAGCATGCGATTTCCAACGGGAGTTGACGTACACACGCATTCAACCACCTGACACAGGCGTGCGTGAGGCGTGCATCAATCTGGCCGGCAGCAGTGAAGCATGGGAGATTCTCACAATTCAAAAGAGCCAGAAGGGTTTTTTTTTTACATGTTCATGATATCCACAAAGTGGCATTAATACCACTACCACAACAATGATCCCCATACAAACCGCCATCATCACTATCAATAACGCCATCGATACTGCCATCATTACCATCGATAATTCCATCATTAGCAAACTACCGAACTGCCTCGTGGCCTTGCGATTCAAAGAAGTGCCATGAATGTGATAATTTTTTGGTGCCACTTGTGGATGTCGGGGTCACACGTACTGATAATTAAATACAATATCATATAATTAATCTATACATTGCTAGATGAGGGCCTCCCCAAGTCGTCGCCATCCCTCACGATCCTGCGATGTATCAATCCATCCTTGCAAATTAAACTAAAATCTCTTAATCTGGCAACTGCAGAAAAGCCAATTTCAGCAGTCTATCTCCATGGTGTATGGTACCTCCTTTTAACGTGCCACTCCATCCTTAGCCTTGACCACCAGCCAAAACGTAATTATTAATCTTAAGCCAACACGATGTCTCTCACTTGTGTGCACATACACAAATCAGAAATGCGAACTGTGTGTGTGTGTGTATAAATCGATATATCAAAACTCAAAAAAAAGGAAGCTAATGCACGAATTAAAGAAAATGAACACAACTGAAAACCTACATAGCTATGCAGCAACGCTCTCCAATTGCGACGCTGTTAAAGCGGGGAAGCAATGCGAGCGTTCCGGGTATCGGCAAGCGACACGTCTACCTGGGCAGTCTTCTTCTGCAAGCAGCAGCTGGCGCCGTAGGGGTATCGTGATGTCGGCAACTGATGAGATCAGGACGAGCCGATATAAAATGAAACACTAATAGTTCACTTAAGGATCGATTTTAAGCAAAGACTCGATGCATGGTTACGTTGCCAAAACATCGCTGCAACCATCGTCACCGCCATCGTCACCATCAAAGACAAAGACCCCCCCCCCGTATAGCCTTAGCAGACTGTAGGAGGCAAGTGCTGTTAGCCTGCACAGTACACGAGGGGGAGGGTGGCCAACACCACGCCCAGCCACCTTTGTCTCCCGATTGGCGATGTTGTTACACACCGCAGCAGGTACTCATTTGACGCTGAGTCGCCCTAGGGAAGGCCCAAAATCGGCTCAGATAATCGTCAATGGTGTTGGCCGTGAGCCACCACTGCCCCCATCGTCACCATCACCACCATCACCACTGTCACCATCACCATCTTCATCATCACAGGCATGTGTCCTCACAGGACCCCACTCCACAGACGCACTCCTAAACATGACCCAAGGGGGCATGCACAAATGTTATTATACAGTCCTGTGTGATTCAATTTCGGAATGAAAGCCTCCCCACAATGTGTAGTCAAGGGGGTTGTGTTTGGCCATACTTCATCACGTTGGCCGGTGCAAGTTGGTGAGGCTGGGGGGGGGGGGCGCCCAGGACTGGTTCCGATATCATCCTTCACAGCTAACTCTGGATGGGAATTCAACCGGGTATCCAGGTTCACAGTGCAGCGTTCCACGGGCTCCACCCATCATGTCACTCACCTTTAGGGTGACTGAATGAACGAGCCAAATAAAAAATACAAAAAAAGATGGTACAAATGTGACAAATATAATAAATAACTATCAAATTCAATGGTGACCCCCAAATCGTCAGAGCTCATCTCAGTGAGGGAGGGCTGAATGTATGTTGTATGCACACTGAACTCCTTTCGCGCCGTACATTGCCAACCGTGCTAATCGGAGTAAAATAAAATTACAATTAGGATCAGCATTGTTTGCTGAATTTACAAGTATTAATTGCAAATCATTGTGAATTAGACAATCACAGGTGCAACTGATCCCAGGTGTGTGGTTAACAGCCCACATGTCCCCCATTCCTGTGGCAGCTGGGACCAGCAGAGGTCATTTTCTCCTGAACGAGACGGACTCAATGTATGCTGAACTTCTTTCGCACCGTACGTAGGCGATGACGCGGGGTCGCATCGTTCGTCATCAGTTATTTGCGTCACAGTTTTTAACAAGATTCCCGTCGGCCAAAAAGCTGTTTTTACGCGTCGTCTGCGTCAGTCTGTCCACCATGGGTCGTGCGTTTATAACTGTCGTAAAGATTTCGATTTAAAGCTTTCGTGACTGCAGGGATTCATATTCTTGGTTCTTTCGGTAAAGTCACGTAGAAGGGCAATAATAAAATAATAAAACAATAAAATCCTCACGACGTTTCGATTGCGAAACAAACCACCACTTTATCCAAAACTTTCTTGCCGTGGTTTTCACACAAGCTAAACATTTGATCCAAAGAAATACAATTTTGATTTAAAGCTTTCGTGACTGCAGGGATTCATATTCTTGGTTCTTTCGGTAAAGTGAAAATCACACCTGATGATGATTGCTTGTGTTGCAAGCGAAACGTCGTGAGAATTTATTTTTTCCATTTTTATTATTATTATATTATTTCCCTTCTACGTGACTTTACCGAAAGAACCAAGAAACTGTCATTAAGATGATCCAATGAGCCACATTTGAGTACAAAGTTTAATTGCTATCAGAGACTAACCCTCTTGAAAAGACCGCCAAATGTTTTCAAACCTTGCCCACATTAAGCGATTCAAACGATCGCTTACGAGATAGGCCTCGTCGGCCAAGGCGATGACATCGTACGTCGAGCACTCAACATCCCTCCCAATGACCTCATCTCGTTGTGCAGTTCAGAAGATAACCTCAATATCGCTTCTTAAATTCTACCGGACGCAGTTCAGCAAGCGTTGCACGAACAACGCGCACACGTGATTTTTTTTCTCCCATCGTATTACTTCAGTTCAGTTTACAATCCTTCATAAATTCAATGCTGGATGAAGGCCTCCCCCGCCGTTGTTGCACGTCACGAGGACCGTCCGTCCATTCTTCACCACGCTGGCCTTCCCATTTATTTATCTGTCGTCTATCGTTGGGCACCACGGCCCCGTCTCAAAACCGTACAGCGGAGAGGAGTGCGCTATGCAGAGGGGTGTGCGCGGGGCAGCGGGAGGGATGGGGGAGGGCAATGAATCTAAGCAGGCTTCTCACAAGAATGTGTAAAGCGGCGAGCGGAGATGGCCAGGCAAGACAATCGCTGGTGAGTGCCAGGTGAAGGCAAGGTGAGCTGCATGCAAGCGGAATGCTTTGAATGTAGGATGGGTTGCTGCGTTGGCACAAGGCCTCAAATAACAACATTAATCACTTGAACACGTAGGCGGCTTTCGCGACCAATATTATTCATAATAAAGGTTTTTGGTTTACACCTCGTAAGTATAAATGTGGCAAATCGTCCGATGATGCTGGATGTAATTATCAGCGAAACGTCGCATTCAAATTGTAAATGTTGTGGGTTTACTCTCCAACACACCGGTGGGCTGAAGTAGTAGCTGATTGGCGCGTTGTTTACGTGACAAACCTTACTGGCTGTGTCGGGTGGTGGAGGGGTACGACACATTTACACTTACGCAATCTAACCGAAAAACCTTGATGATGAAAATAAATCACATTCGTCAATGACACTTAGGCCTTACAAGGAAAAATAAATGAATCGGAGATGTTTCTGGCAATGGCCCTTCGTCAGAGCAGATCATCATCATGAACCATGGGCAAAAAGCCCGTAGGTATCCACTGCCCATTTCATCATAGCACATAAATGATTGTATAAGCTGGAGGGATGTTAGCGTCAGGTGAACTGACTGGTAAATTTTCACTCCTAGTTCTCAATACGGAGCTTTTAACCGGCCTGCATAATTACAAGGCACACAAACAACGGGAACATTGGGAGTCGGCCAAACGACACAATGTGTGTGGGGGGGGGCGGGGGTGTGTGACTCACGTGTGCTCGCCGGGAGGAGCGCCCTCCACCACTCTCCCTGCCCCTTCGTCACGCGCCGGCTCGGAACGCTGCAGACAACGCACACCGGCATCCGCGTCACGGCACTGACGTCAACTGCTCACCAAGAAACTAGGCAAGCCGCCATTCACCTGTTTGGCCCCAGAGATTGCACGAGTTATAACGGTAGCAACAACAAAAAAAGGGGGTATTTGAGGTGGCAGTAATGCCTGCATCAGAGAGCCCGAGCAGCTCAAACGAAAGTTACAGGCACTTGAGCAGAGGTGTCCGAACCAGACTCCCGGGAATTCCGTGACAGAGATAGCATAAGCAATGCGGACGCTTGGAGGAGAACATGGGCAGGTAAGCGTTGTTACAAAATGTGCAACAGTGAAAAGGATACCTGCGGAAACGTGGCGACCGACACATGGGTGCATTACGACGGCTGACGCTTGACCAATCGCATTGGAACACGGCATGCGGCCCCAACGTCCGCGCGTGCCTTAGCGGTTACGAAAAGTGAACTGGATTCGATTGTCAATTCATGTACATGTCCAATCGATAATATAATTCCGTGAACTAATATCACTCAAATTGCATTGACAAAACCGAGTTGGCTTTCATCGGTCGGCAAGGGGACCGGCCAATCACTGCGTGACGGCTCACCTTATCATTTGGCACGAGGGCCGAGCGATTGGGCTCTGCCTGGCCCCGCTGCCGCTTCTGCGTGTCGGGGGGGAAGTCCCTCTTCTCGCGGTCGGGGGACGATGACCCCGACGAGGAAGACGACGAGGAGTTAGAGGACGATGAAGATGACGACGAAGTAGAGGACGACGACGAGGAGGAGGTGGAGGAGGAGGAGCCCCTGCACGCCTTTCGTCTGGGCAAACCCTCGTCCTCGCTGCTCGAGTGCCTGCGCTTGCGGTCGCCGCCCTCGGCGTCGCGGCCGCGAGCACCGCCCCGATCCTTACCGTGCTGCCGCTTCGGCGCCGGCTCCTGCTCATGGCCCTGTTGCTCCTTCTCCGCTTCCCTCTGCTGCGGCCTCTGCTCCCGGCCGCCCTGCTCGTCGTCCCGGCGCTCCCCGCCTTCCTCCGCCGTTTTGTGCGTCTTCTCCTGGGTTCCTCCCTCCGCTCCTTCTTGCTGTTTGACCTTCAGCTCGGCTGCCCCCGCTTGCACTTCGCCAATTCCTCCTGCTTACGCTTCTCTTCCTCCTCTTGGTCGAGCTTCGCCGCTTCTTCACGCTTTCGCTTGTCGTCTTCCTCCATGCGCTTCAGCTCTGCTTCCTCCTGCTTTTGCTTCCGTGCTTCTTCATATTTGTGTTTCTGCTCTGCTTCATCCTGCTTGCGCTTCGGGTCTGCTTCCTGCTGTTTACCCTTCAGCTCTGCTTCCTCTTGCTTATGTTTCTTATCCGCTTCCTCATGCTTATGCTTCTTATCTGCTTCCTCATGCTTATGCTTCTTATCCGCTTCCTCTTGCTTATGTTTCTTATCCGCTTCCTCTTGCTTATGTTTCTTATCCGCTTCCTCTTGCTTATGTTTCTTATCCGCTTCCTCTTGCTTATGTTTCTTATCCGCTTCCTCTTGCTTATGCTTCTTATCCGCTTCCTCTTGCTTATGTTTCTTATCCGCTTCCTCTTGCTTATGCTTCTTATCCGCTTCCTCTTGCTTATGCTTCTTATCCGCTTCCTCTTGCTTACGCTTCTTATCCGCTTCCTCTTGCTTATGCTTCTTATCCGCTTCCTCTTGCTTACGCTTCAGCTCTGCTTCCTCTTGCTTATGCTTCTTATCCGCTTCCTCTTGCTTACGCTTCTTATCTGCTTCCTCTTGCTTATGCTTCAGCTCTGCTTCCTGCTTACGCTTCAGCTCTGCTTCCTCTTGCTTACGCTTCAGCTCTGCCTCCTGCTTACGCTTCAGCTCTGCTTCCTCTTGCTTACGCTTCAGCTCTGCCTCCTGCTTACGCTTCAGCTCTGCTTCCTCTTGCTTACGCTTCAGCTCTGCCTCCTGCTTACGCTTCAGCTCTGCTTCCTCTTGCTTACGCTTCAGCTCTGCTTCCTCTTGCTTACGCTTCAGCTCTGCTTCCTCTTGCTTACGCTTCAGCTCTGCCTCCTGCTCACGCTTCAGCTCTGTTTCCTCTTGCTTACGCTTATTCTCTGCTTCCTCCTGCTTACGCTTCAGCTCTGCTTCCTCTTGCTTACGCTTCAGCTCTACTTCCTCTTGCTTACGCTTCAGCTCTGCCTCCTGCTCACGCTTCAGCTCTGCTTCCTCTTGCTTACGCTTATTCTCTGCTTCCTCCTGCTTACGCTTCAGCTCTGCTTCCTCTTGCTTACGCTTCTTCTCTGCTTCATCCTGCTTATGCTTCAGCTCTGCTTCCTCTTGCTTACGCTTCTTCTCTGCTTCCTCCTGCTTACGCTTCAGCTCTGCTTCCTCCTGCTTACGCTTCTCCTCTGCTTCTTCCTTTCTGCGCTTCTCTTCTACTTCCTTAAGCTTTTGTTTCCGTTCCTCCTCCTGCTTATGTTTCATCTCTGCTTCTTCTTTCTGCTTCCGCTTCTGCTCCTCTTCCAGTTTGCGTTTCCGTTCTTCCTCTTTGCGCTTCTCCTCTGCTTCCATATGCTTTTGTTTACGCTCCTCCTCTTCCTGCTTGCGCTTCTTTTCTGCTTCCTCTTCCTGTTTACGCTTTAGCTCTGCTTCCTCCTGCTTGCGCTTCCGTTCTGCTTCCTCCTGTTTGTGCCTTTCCTCTGCTTCCTCCTTTCTGCGCTTCTCGTCTGCTTCTTTAAGCTTGCGTTTCCGTTCCTCCTCCTCCTCCTTAAGCTTCAGCTCTGCTTCCTCTTCCTGTTTGCGCTTCTGTTCCTCCTGTATGCGCTTAAGCTCCGCTTCCTCCTGTGTGCGCTTTAACTCCTCCTCCTGCCTACGCTTCACCTCAGCTTCTTCCTGCTTGCGCTTCAGCTCTGCTTCCTCCTGTTTGCGCTTCTCATCTGCTTCTTCCTTTCTACGCTTCTCCTCTGCTTCCTTCTGCTTGCGCTTCAGCTCTGCTTCCTCCTGTTTGCGCTTTTCCTCTGCTTCTTCCTTTCTACGCTTCTCCTCTGCTTCCTTCTGTCTTCGCTTCTCCTCTGCTTCTTTCTGTTTCTGCTCCTCTGCTTCTTCCTGTCTACGCTTCTCCTCTGCTTCCTTCTGCTTGCGCTTCTCCTCTGCTTCTTCCTGTCTACGCTTCTCCTCTGCTTCCTTCTGCTTGCGCTTCTCCTCTGCCTCTTCCTGTCTACGCTTCTCTGCTTCCTTCTGCTTGCGCTTCTCCTCTGCTTCTTCCTGTCTGCGCTTCTCCTCTGCTTCTTCCTGTCTGCGCTTCTCCTCTGCTTCTTCCTGTCTACGCTTCTCCTCTGCTTCCTTCTGCTTGCGCTTCTCCTCTGCTTCCTTTTGCTTACGCTTCTCCTCTGCTTCCTTTTGCTTACGCTTCTCCTCTGCTTCTTCCTGTCGTCGTTTCTCCTCTGCTTCCTTCTGCTTGCGCTTCTCTGCTTCTTCCTGCTTGCGCTTCTCCTCTGCTTCCTTTTGCTTACGCTTCTCCTCTGCTTCTTCCTGTCGTCGTTTCTCCTCTGCTTCCTTCTGCTTGCGCTTCTCTGCTTCTTCCTGCTTGCGCTTCTCTGCTTCTTCCTGCTTGCGCTTCTCTGCTTCTTCCTGCTTGCGCTTCTCTGCTTCTTCCTGCTTGCGCTTCTCCGCTTCCTCTTGCTTGCGCCTCTTCTCCCTCTCTTCCTCTTGGCGTACTCGCTCCGCTTCCTCACGCTTGCGCGCCTCGGCCTCCTCCCGCTCCCGCTGCTGCTCGCGAGCCACCCTCTCGGCTTCCTCAGCCTCCCGCACGGCTACACGCTTCTCCTCCTCGCCCCTGCCCGCCCTGGGTTCGACTCCCTGGCCAAGGTTCCGTGCGCGACACTCCGTCTCCTCCTCCCCGTCGCCCGGCGCCCCGGGTGAGGGGCTTCGCTTCTTCCTGTCGGCCTTCCTCGCACGCATCTGTGCCGCAGACACGCACGGCGGAACGCAGCCTCGTTACCCCTCGGCACGATCACCGCCGCTAAGAGGCAAATGACGCGGCACTTCTGCTGTTACCGCCACTGTCGCTGCTGCTCCCGATGATGTTGTCCGCTAGGCACGCCAAGGACGCATCAGTTCAGCGGTCGACAAATTCTTACGCAACCGGCGCACAAATTGAACCATGCGCGAGAAGCCATTACATCCATATGTAGTTCTTATCATCAATTCATGTGCCTCCCTGTAGCCACTACAGGCAACAGCCGCTGTAACATATCCAAGTCGTTGGTCAAATTGTGGCCCAGAATTGTGACAACCCATCGAATTACTCATCGAATTACGCCTATGGTCAACTATTCTCACGGGCTGCAAAAGTCGGCAAATAAAGTTGCAAGTGGGTGCACAATAAGCAACTTTGGTTCCAGACACTTCAAAAATAGTTACAAATATAAGATAACTACGAATCGGAAGAAAATGGTCACTTGGGTCATCACTGCAACGCAAAAATGAAATTCCATGGTGGATTTTTTTTTAGTATCACGGAATATTTTAATTTGGCTTGCTTCGTATTTTATGAAGGTAAATCACGTTAGAAAACTGGAGTGAGAATATTTCCTTGCCCAAAAGCCCAAGGAAAGGGCAGTGTTGGGTTCAATGGCCAGTTGTATAAAAAAAAACTTGAAAAAAAAGTCCCTTAATTGAAACCGATTTAAATAGAAGTGAAAGGGAATTTTGATTTCAAGTTGTTTCATGCAACTGACCCCAGACCTGCCGCATTACCGATGCGTGGATTTACTCATTAAAATTGATTCTTCCTGTTCAAAATATTAGCATTGAAATTATGCAAATTATACTCCTACACTACACTTTTACGCTTATGGAGCAAACAAAACAACACATAGAACTACAAATGACACGGTTAAGACCCAGACAAAAATATATATATCGATATCTGAATAAAATAAACTCTAATTGGAACAATTGCCTGGCTGGAAGTGGGGTGGGGGGGGGTGATTCGATACATTGTTGCATGCCTAGTATTGATCATTAAACACAGGGGCCTTCAATTTACTAAATTAAGGCCCATGTCTTTAATGCACAACAGTGGAATAGAGCAGCGATGTGCAGGACAGCGGCACCGATTGATGCCGGCTAAGGCAGCTTTCACTGCTGCACCGTCGCCTCGTCTCCTCCTCGTGGCGCCGACCTCGTGGCGCCGACCGCCCGCCGCCAACTCCGCGGAACTCACTGGCGAGCGGGACTTGGAGTCGGCCGACGAGGAGCCACTGCGCGACGATGACGAAGACGAGGATGAGGAAGACGAGCGAGACGAGGACGAGGAGGATGACGACGAGCGGGAGCTCGACGCGGAGCGGGAGCTTGAGCGAGACCTGGAGCGGCCTCGGCCGCGCCTCTTGCCCTCGGCCGGAGCCGCTGCCGCCACCTTCCGAGGTTTCCCATCTTCCGAAGCCACCAAGGGAGGGGGCGCAGCTTCTACCCGCCCGTCGGCAGGCACCATCGCCTGTTCCTTGGTGCCAGATTTTGCCGCGCGGGGAGGGGGGACGTCAGCCGCTACCGGCGGTTCCAGGTGGCTGCCTGGCTGGGCCCCACGTGGGAGGGAGATAGGCTCCGAGCAGGGCAGTGGCGCATTCACGGGGCCGTCCTCTTGCTCCAGGGTGTGGAGGGGGACGCCTCCTGCAGCACGGGCGACTCTGTGGCGCTTTTCCTCTCAGCCTGGAACGCCGACGACGACCTTTCCTGCACCAGCTGCGGCGGCGATGCCTCCATCGGCTCTTCAGCGGGAGCACCGTCGCGCTTGCACGCGGCTTGAATGACGGACGCTTGGCCGGCGGATCCACCCAGCTCCACGCGAGCCGCGGTCTTCTCCTCCCCTTTACTTTTCCCCACAGTGACATCCATCTTCTCTTCTTCCTCCGCCACCTTCTGCGCCGTCTCCGCGCCTCCCTTGGGCTCAACGTGCATCCCCGTGGCGCCCCTCTCCCCTTCGTCGGCTTCTTCTGCCGGAGCCGTAGCGTCACCACCACCGTCACAAGCGGACGCGAGTCCTGCACGGTGGGCACTTCTGGCCGACAGGCGAGGGGTGTCGTTGGGGGCGGCGTGGGGAGGAGGGGGGCTCGCGGGAGCCTGTGCGTCCCCGCAGGCCTCAGGCTCTGGCGGCTCCGTACACGGAACTTGGGCCGTCAATACTGGGATAGGGGCTTCATCCTAACGAGGGAGACGCACGCCCGGGCAGGCACGGGTCACACGGCGCTCACTCACACGGGAGGCATCCTGGGCTCTACTGTGAACAATAGCACCACTCATCATTATTTATTATCTATCTACTGCTGGATGAAGGTTTCCCTGTGCCTCACAGTCCGGGGATGTAACAATCCTTCTAGCTTCTGCATATAAGCTGACGTTATCTCTGGTGGATGTTCTCTAGGGCGTGTTCACTCCTTTGGCTGCCTCTCCACCGTTAGTCTCGACCACCGGTCATCATCTCTACTAGTGACACGTCCTGCCCAATCCCACTTGATTTTTGAGCAGTAAATGTCTAACGTGCGTGTGTTCTCTAATCCACGTGTTCCTTTTCCTCAGTGTGATTTAATGCACGCATCTGTCCATGCCTCTTTTGTTTCATATCCTTTGTCATTGTCCACGCACCTATCTGATCCATTGGTCATAGCTGGAGATACGCACCGATTTACCACTTTCTTCAGGCAACTTGGTGGGTTTCTCTTCATTGGGCAATAGTCTGAATAATCTTGATACAAGAGCCTAATAAAGAAGACACATTCATCAATAACACTGTGGCCTTAATAGAAAACGTAAATAATAGGTGACGTTTCAGGCAATGGCCCTTCTTCATAGCACATAACACGTCTTCTTCTTCACAGTGGACGTTAAAGATCCCCAGATGTCATCAGCAAAAGTAGACTGCTATGCAAATGAAGTTATGTTCTATGAAGAAGGGCCATTGCCCAAAACGTTGACTATAATATTTTTCCTTATAAGGCCACACACACACACTGTGTTATTGGCGAACGTGTCGAGGCTTTTTGTTTATTTGTGTGACTCACCACTGCCAACGCAGTATCACCAAATAACATATTTAATAAGGGGAGAAAATAGGGCTCAAGATAAATAAAGTCAATCAGTGCACTTGGAATAAGAGGCTAACGTGCCTGTAATTCGTCAAGTTCTTTTATAACTTTCAAATACAAGGATGATCGTGGCTCTCCAATTCTTGGTAAACATTTCGTGAACAGGTTCACTAATTTTAGTTGCGAAAACTGGTCTCACTTCTTTGGTTTGCGAGTGGAAAGTCAAATTAAGTGAAACCATCTATTTCCATTGGCCGTTTCCATTCGCTGTTGGAAACAAACTGCAGGAAATCGTAGGACAAGTTAATATAGAATTCTGTAAAGTGGGGGCTCAAGATAAACAAAGGAATGTACAGGTTCTCAAGTTGACTGGAGACACTCCCAGGAAAAACACAACTGGAAAACGCATCATTGTATATTTATCGAGGAACGTTCGTGGAGATGGATCGGGATCAATGCGATTAAATAAAGAGGTGCACAGAAAGTTGGAATCCTGCAAAAAAAAAAAACCCCAACTTAATAATAGTACCAAGGTAAGGTGTTAAGATAACGACTGTCATTCATGTTTTCAACACGTATTCGGGAGGAGAGAATGTGCCACAAAAAGGGACATATGCTACGTTCCCATGACCAAGTGGAAAGCGGAATCGGTCATCCTGGGTTGTTGTAGGATTGACAGCACGGCTCCAATCTGTATCTCAGTGCTCAACCACTTGCGCAGTGCTGCTATTACCTCCCCATCCTTACTCTCAGCGATCAAAAGGTTGTTTTTTTATGTTTGGGGTGAGTTAGGTTATTCCAAGCCAAAATATATTTTTTTAAGAATACGCAGGTTTCCGTCGCTTTATTCAAGTTGCGTTTATGCAAATTTGCGTAGACGTGACGAACCTATCTCTACCCAAAATGTGCTATATGTGGTTTGAATTCACTCATATGCGGCAATGCGGTCGGACTTGTTTGGGGTACTGTACGCGCTATTCGGCAGGCAGCCGTCTCGTGCGGTTTCGCATAAGTGCGCCCCTTTAATTGGTAACGCATCTACTACCGCATAAGGCGAGGGAAAAACCTGTACATGTATATAAAGTTCCCCCCCCCACAAGTCAAACTAGGCGAGGGCCACCACTGTAGGTGCACCCCGTTTAAACGCACCAAACCCCATAACATTGAGACTATTTCCAAGGGCGGCTCAGATAAAAAAAAAGCTAAAGCGTGCGGCTCCCTTGTGAAATAAAAGTGACGGGGTCTACTTAAGAGACCCCCGCTTGGTGAGGACCCAGTACGGCTTGTCGTGGGAATCAGGGCTGAGCCCACAAGGCCAGTTTATGATCTAGGCTTACCCCGGTGGCGGTGAAAACGTAGCATAAAACTATACAAACGACACTTAAATAGGCATGTAACGATTTACCGCTCGGCAAAAATGCAACAAATGTATTGTCACAATTTTGGGTAACAATTCGATTTCAGAAGGCATTGTGTTTTATGTTTTTGTCCCATTTGTACTGCCTTTGTTGCAGCGCCTGTCTTGTTTGCATGAATGCATTAGTGTCTGTTTCGTCAATTGTTTGTCCTGTTTGAAGCCTCTTTGTCCCGTCTTGTCCGTCTAACTTGTTGCATCTCGTTTGACGCTAAAAAAAATTCACAATTTGCACGAATTGACAATAGCCACTCTCTACACACACAACTTGAGACGTTCCGTGTCCTGTGCGTGGCAATCGATATTTATCGATGAATCGTTACATGCCTACTTTTGATCCGACCCCCCTTACACAGCGACAAGCCTCTGACCTCCTGGCGGTCCGTGAGCGAAGGCTCCTCGGAGTCCTCCTCCGCCTGCTGCTTCTCCGCCGCATCGACCCTAGGCGACGCCAACACCTTGTCGTCCGCGCGGTACCCGCCGCTCCACTTGCGGGGCGTCCTCCTCACGACCGGCGGCGCTTCCTCCGCCGGCTCGGCAGGCAGCGAGTTGCGGCTGCGTCGCTTCCGCTCTACTCGCTTGGGCCAGACACGCTCCTCCTCCTCCTCTTCTTCCGGCTCCACGGGCTCGTTCTTGTCCTGTCCCGCGGATGCCTCAGCCACCGCCGCAACCGGGGGTTCCGCCGCTGGGCACACGCGCGGAGCGGAAAGAAGCACGGGCGCACGCGTCAGCTGTGGCTGTAGCTGTGCGGCTAAGAGACAGCTGTACCCAATGTGTAAGCGGCCATCCCATTAAAAATATCCGAGCTTGTAACACCCCACTTATTCATGCCCAAGTCTCACTTCATTGTACACGATTGTTATTGATCGTTTATCATGTTTACGGTGTCGCTTTGTTCAACTCGTCTCCCTCGCCTGCTTAGAACGTTAATGAATTAAGGAATGCTCTCCTGCAAGGTGTTAAACATTTTCATCATCCAGACTGCTTGATGCTTTGTTGCAGCTATTGATGCGACTTGGTCACCGGAATGTGTCGATGATTTTAAGTCACGACTGTAAGCTCACCATCGTCGCTTTGGATCACAAGACCAAAGGCTTGATACAATCTCTCCACCTTCATTTTTCCTGCCCCGATCTCGTTTTGTACAGAGCGTTGAAATGTTTGCATGGACGGCGATGTGCGATCTTTCGATGAATGACGCAATATTGCAATTATGAACACTGCCTGTGTGTAACGGACGTTTAAATGGACTTTTTAGATTTTCATATTGACGAAGGTCAAATGTTACATTTCACAAGGTCAAATGTCCTGGAATTCGAGGTAAGCAAGAAGGGCCACCGAAATAAACACTCAAAATCTTTATTTAGGCTGGTAGGAAATATAATGCACATACCTTTGGACAGCACGTCCTCTGTTGGTGAATGTAATTTTACTTTAATAATTACGTGCAAGTCGATAAATTAAGTGTCGCTTTGTTACTTATTTCCCAGAACCGGAAATGCTCTCCCCCCCCTCCATTTAGTCTGGCTTCTCGAGGTTTTACTGTAGACCTCGCCAGTCCCAAATACGTTTTGGCGATTCGCAAACAAAACAAAGCCGCCGAGCGCTCCGTGCACGGCTGCTGTGTTGCTGTGGCGGGCAGTGGCGGCTGTGGCAGTCGCGGGCGTGTTACCTGTGTAGCTGTTGAGCTCCCGGTTCTCGGGAATGGACTGCAGGTCTGGAGGCTGGGTGACCAACGAGTCCTGGTGCGAGGAAGTCTCATCCTCCGATTCGGCAGACACCTCTGCACACGGCGCAAACACGCGCAATTTGCTCTCACGGCGACGATTGCAACAAGACGCGCTCACACGTTCAGCAGGCTGTTGTATATATAGGCCTTTTTCCAAAAATTTATATTAACAATAATTCTGCCCATTTGTTTAATAATAATCGATCAAATAAATAAATAAATCTCACTCAAACCCGCTACCTCCCACAAGCACCAAGCATTTGGAGGTCGTAAAAGGCCATTAAATAATAAACTCCGGGGCAAAGGGAGATTAACGACGACGATCTGCAAAATCTCCAGATTACCAAAGGACCGCATGCCATGACCTAACTTGGCGCTTTGGACAGTTCACAAACGGAGTCAACAAATGCGCATATTGCTTCGGGGAAGGCAAATGCCCCCGACAGTCAAGCACGGAAACTCGTGGTGTGTGCTGACTCTGGTTATGTGCAACACAACGTCACGCCACATAGTCCCACATGGAAAGAGAGTGACATAAAAAAATATACAAAAACGAACCAGTAAACCGTGCTCATTTGACCAAAGCCATAACGACGATGAACCAGGAGGATGATGTTGTGATGTTGCGTGAAAAGGTCACAGGTTACTCTAAAATACCTGGCCATGAGAATACTGATAATGATACATTCTTGACCAAAAGTGGCAGTGAGGTTACACATAACTTGGTAAACATGTGGCAAAGAGGTAACATAAGGAAGACAACGCACAACCGTGTTCGAAACCGCTGCCTAGCGTTTCCCAGGAACTAAAACAAAAATCACAGTAACAATAATTGATAAGAACCGATGTAACATGTTGCCTTAATATTTTTTCCCATTTTCTTATTTCAAATGTAACCATGCTAAGTCTGTGACACGTACGCGCGCGTTGTAAGGAAAATAGCAGCCGAAACTTGAGGACAGCTGATGGTTCATGATGGAAAAAGGCATTTTGTTTTAAAAAAACCCGTGGCCATTTGACCACTGATCATTTTTAAAAGGGCGGAATGTTGTATATATAGGCATTTTTACCAAAAAATAATATTAACAATAATTCTGCCATTTGTTTAATAATCGATCAAATAAATCAATAAAACACCCTCAAATGCGCTACCTCACACAAGCACCAAGCATCTGGAGGTCGTAAAAGGCCATTAAATAATAAACTCCGGGGCAAAGGGAGGTTAACGACGACGATCTACAAAATCTCCAGATTGCCAAAGGACCACATTGCATGACCTGCTTGGCTCTTTGGACAGTTCACAAACAAATATCCAGAATCACAGGCACGGACACAGCAAACAGACATTATAACTGATAGTTTTTTTACGGAAAAAGTTGAAGCTTGGCTATAAGAATAAGTCGACATTATAGACTGCAGTATTCCTTATATTATTTCTTATTGTATCTTTCTATCTACGTGACTTTACCAAGAGAACCAAAGTACATGAGTTCCTGCAATCACGAAAACGTAAGTCCAAACTAAGCTATATCTCTGACCTCGAGAATAAAAAGCACGGATCCCTGGATGCAGACAGGGAGCAAAAAGTAATAAAACCCTTGAAATACCGGAGGTAACATCTAATGACATTACAAATCTTGGTTAAACATAAACCAAATAATAATCACAAGAGATTAGACCTAGGGTAACTAAAAATAGATACAAGAAAATAGGTCAAACACAAGACCAGATAATATGCATTCCATGAAATCAGAGCCTCCCTGGCCGCCTTTGTCTTCCAACAATTTGACACAAACACATAATAGCCATGTATAAAAGGTGCATCCCCTCCCTTAGCAAACGCCACGAAGAGAGGGATTGGGAGCGCAAACAAACATCAATTTGATGTAAAGCAGCCCGCCCGGGGTCACCAAGAGAAGAGGGGAGGGGGCAATCAGGTGCGGCCGCAGGGGCAGAGCATGACGGAGTAAGCATCTGTTTTTTTCTCGCAAGAGACGCGCAGAGGGGAGACATTTTCAGATATAAACAGCAACACGACACGCAATTTTAAGCTCGGCAAGGGACAGCGAGACAGCAGCTCGGAAGAGGACAGCAAGCCAGCTCCGGGGCATGGCCTCGAGATCAACAATGCGTGTGGTGCATCGCGGAGAAGAGGGGCGAGGTGATGTTAGGTGCTGAGTTCGGCATGGAAGACAGAGTATCGCTGAGAGTTTTTTCTACATTCATCCTGATGTTTTGAGTCGCTTGCAGAATCGAGGATTGCGATAAGCTGTATCGTACTAAGCTATAAGAGTTGTGTAAAAGGTGTTCAAAAACAATTTTCAAGTTTTGAGAGTGAGTGATCCAGCCAGCGACGAGCAGCTCACAGCAAGAGCCCTCCTGGAAGAAGGGAGAAGAGCACGAAAGTTGAGCGACGACAAAGCGCAGCCCTGAAGTAAGGGCGGGTGTCCGTGTGAAGCTGGCAGCTGCACGATCAAGGAAAGAGCAAGATAAATGAGAGAGAAAGAATGCCGAGCGACGACAAGCAATCAACCTGGAGAAAGGGCGGAAAGCGCCAAGCGTCGACCAAGCCAGCATCGCAGAGAACCAGCTCCACCGAGCGAGGGTGTCTGCCACCAGCGAACGAGCTGCACGTGCAATCGAGCATCGCCAGAGAGAGAGACGGAGCAAGAGAGAGTGCGCAGCAGCGCCACCAGCACCACCGAGCGAAAGGTGACAGCTGCCAGCGGACAAGCGTTGTGCCGACTCGGCTCATCCAGCAGGGGAAAGAGCCTGACCGGCCGCCCGTGAGCAAGAGCGTCGGCGCCAGCGAGCGCGCCGTGGGTTCGACCCACACGCCACGCCGACCGGCACAGGCTGGGAACCAAGACAAGAGTGAGGAACTGCAGCCGGCGGACGAGCTGCGGGCGCTATCCGACGACGGATCATCGCGCACCGACGGCGAGCGTCGTGCCGACTCTTCCACCCAGCTGTGGACCGAAACTGTGGCCGCCCCCGAGCAAGAGAGAGAACGAAGCCGTTTGTACGACCCTCCCCCACACTCACACCCTCACGACGCATCGCCCGGCGTCTGCTTTACGCAAAGAATTGAACAAGTGGCAAAGAAGACGCACGACACGCGTATCGGGACAAATAAGATTGTTCCAAAAAGTTATCTTTGTGCTTCCATTCCAAGGTGGTGCAATTAAATATCAACTGATCGTGAAGAACATTGCTGCCCATTGAGTTACGTGGATACAGTTATTTAGAAGTATTTTAGTCGGTTCTTTTTCTTTCTTCTTTCTTTTTAATTGCATAACTATTGCCAATGAATTCATTGATGAAACTAAACGTTTAGAAACCTACGTTACGAATCTACACACTCACGGGGAGAATATTGTGTTGAATTTGTTCTTTTGATCACAGAATCTTGCACACGAATTAATTGAAGCCTCAGCCAATTGATAAGCATTTGCTGAAGCAGGCACACTGTCGCACACCATTGCTCCAAGACAATTTCGTAATTACATAATCTTCCCAATGAATTCATTGCCGTATACCTTTGCCATCGGGACATGTTTCTTTATTGCCCTTCGTATGAATATCGTTGCATGAATTGTTAAGGACTTTTTCCTATCACCGTATATGCTCGCGTTACTCTAAGGAATTAATCAATTATTCTGTTACCCAGTTTAACGTGATCCTTGAGGGTTAAATGTATGGATCGATGAGGAGAACATCTCCAGTAGTACTCTGTTGACAATTCCAAGCATAAGAGTTCGCATATTAGAGTTATGTTTTTGTTTAGAAATTAAAATTGCTTAACACAGAAGTGTCTGAGTGGTGCCTTCCTAAGTTCATGCATAATAATCTTAATTATAAGAACTGTATCCTGCGGTGAGATTTGAATTTGGAGACCTGATATAAAATACTAGGACATAATCAGTAAATGTTAAAGCGAGAATAATTGTATTATACCGATCGATAATACGAACCTAGACAACGAAGCCGAGCTTAATCTGGCATACTTACAGCACACCTGCATAACTTAATACAATTAATTGTACGATCCCGATAGATAATACTACCCCTCGACAACGAGGCAGGGCTTAATTATCATAACGGTGAACATTAGCATAATCACATACATTCACATAAAGTAATACAATTATCTCTCTAATTAGCATAATGTATGTGCAAATTTACACCAATTAAAATAATTTCGGACAATAACGCATTTTTTCCAAATTTCATTTAATTTTTATTTTCATTATTATTAAATTTTCAAGACCCAGCATATACAACAAGGCTCAGATGAACTCATTGGTGGCTGCACCGTGAACCCTTTAGACCTGGGGTGATTCATCATCCCTAGCGATTTTATGAAAAGTGACATTTAACAGCCGGGATTCCCATTCGAAGCCTCTCTTTTTTTTGCGTTGTTTTTAACCATCTCATTTTCACTGTTTCGTGTCAGTTCAGTGCCATTTGTAGAGTTTTGTTCGCTCCACTGGTCAATGAATGTAACACGAACATTTCGTTTGTATGAATTGTTATCGATTCTATGCCAGTATCACAAGCGTGAGGATCGATTTTAATCTATGAATCTATGCATCGTTACGTGCCTAAACAAGTGTAATAATAATAATGCCAAACTGGTGACGATGCTTGGTGGCAGGTAACAACTCTCCTTATCCAGTGATTGCCACAATTCTTGGTCGCAAGTTCTTTCAGGAATTAAGTTTTTTGTCGAATTATAATAACAAATAAAAATATAGATTTCTTTAAAATCGGGCAGTAATAATTATTACTGCACGATTTATATTTTTCAATTTGTTCTTTCTCGTTTGTACAGCATTGTTTGTTCCATTCGCCTAAATGTATCGTTATCATAGCATTTGCATGCACCTTCAAACGATCATTGTTTACCGCACTGTACATCCACTGCTGGATTAAACTTCCTAAGTCTTGGAGATGGGGTTTCATGACCATGCGTCATGCATGACTGGTTCATATATCACTGCCCAAGGACGTGAGCTGTGTTGGGGAATTGAGAACACGGGTCGCCGGGATCATAGTTTGGTGCAGGAACCACTGATGCACCCCAATTTTCATGAATGGTGAATATAATAACACTTATTCTTAGTTTTTTCGGTAAAGTCACGTTGAAGAGAAACAACAAAATAACAAAATATATATAAAACAATAAAAAATTCTCACGACGTTTCGACCATAACTCAAACGGTCATCATCAGGTGTGTCGGTTTTTTATTGTTTTATATATATTGTTATTTTGTTGTTTCTCTTCAACGTGACTTTACCGAAAAAACTAAGAATATGAATTACTGCAGTCACGAAAGCTTTAAATCAAAAAATAATAACACTTGTTCATCCAGGAGTCTCGCTGAACCTCAAGACTCCTTTTTTAAGAAGGTTCTGCTAAGTATTTCGGAGAAGGCGGCGATGTTGCTATGTGCCATCCCAATTTGAATAATTTCCGAGTACTTTTTTAGCATTGGGATGTTTGTCCAATACCAGTTACATTGCATATTTTTTTAGAGAACCTGGAGCATACCCATACAGAACAGGGGGAGAGCGTACAAACTCCACACAGAAAGGCATCCGAGGGAGGAATCGAACCGAGCACATTTTGCCGTGAGACACGAGTGTTAACACTGCGCCACCCTGCCGCCGAATTTAATCGTGAACACGAAAATCTGTTTTAATCGCCGATGCGTCGCGACGCCTCGTACTCACCCTCTGACTCGGTGGCCGCCTGCGCATCGCGCGCTATCCTCTGCTGCAAGAGCTGCTGCTGCTTCTCCAGGTACTGCTTGATGAAGCTGTTGGAGCTCATCTCCTCCCCGATCTGCGCACCATCATTGGCGTTAGCATGCAAAACCCACCATTCACTGCACGAGTGTGACTGCGACAAGCCCCAGACAATAAAAGTTGAGACACGGGGTGAATCTCTCTCGCTCGCTCTCTCTCTCTCTTGCCAGCAGCTCTTGGCTGCGTAAACAGAGAAGGCACGGGGGCACTTACGGAAGAGTTGGGCTGCAAGCCAGCCTGCTGACCAGACGTCTTCTGCAGCTGTTCCAGCATGAGGGCCTGTGAGCAGAGGACACGGGAGAGAGATGCGGCTTTACCGAATGTTGCGATAAATAGACACGAAACACGACAGGTACCACTCCTGTCCAATGCTACCGAGGTAATACAAGTTACTGCAAACTACCGGCGAAAACAATCGGCAAATGGATGGCAATGTTTTAGGGGGATATTGTTGGTCTGCAAAGAACACGTGCAAGTGACGTACCTTAAGGAGAATCAAACTGGGACATTATGATCCAAAAATCAAGCTGAGCATATGAAATAATTGCAGATATGCTGTCAGTTTTTAACTTATCATGAACTGTGGGTAGTTTATAATTCATCACAGACTTTGCTGAGACCTTATAACTCATTATAACAGAGTTCTCTGGAAGTGTTTAACCCAGATAAGACCAAATAGAGACAAAGTAATGCACCAGACATATTACAAGGAGAACGCCTCGACAATAACACTCATCATAGACCAAACTGAGTTTTTCGTACTTCTGCGATCATGCGGGAGCGTTATGAGTTTATAATCCAGCACGAACTTATGGAAGGCCCTTTTCCAGTGACGGACTGAGAAAAGGGCTGTACAAGTACATATGAAGTGGATCCAAATTAGGTGCACACACAACTTCTTGGGAAGCAACACTTATTTATTAATGAACACAAGTTAACGCTTACATTACGCATAGGGTGGTGACCACCGACTTACTCTAGCTAACACACACTTCTCAGATACTCTAGGGAGGTACAGCCTCCTGTCTTGGCGGGACTTGCACGTCTACCGCTGTCCTAGAGTCCCCTGGCTGGGACCTACACACAGATCTCTTGCTAACCTAAGGAGGTACAGCCTCCTGTCTTGGCGGGACTTACTGACACGTCTACCGCTATCCTAGAGTCCTCCGGCTGGGACCTACACACGGATCTCTTCTTGGCTCCCTCACGATGCATCTTCAGCCTCGAAACTCGTGAGGAGGCTGCTTATATGGGCCTCGGCGTGCCGGGCCCCACCCCGGCCACGCCTCCCTTCGAGAACCCTCTCGAAGCCCCCCTGCTGTCCATGTGCCCCCCGAGGTGCCCCCTAGGCCCCCACTGGGGTCCAGTCACGTGTCCAGCCGGGGTCACAGAGAGTGCCACGATCTCACACCACCCTCGTGGCCTCCCGAGTCCAGAACCGACCCTGACGTCATTCCCGCCTCCAGCCGGGATGACGTCATGTGTGTGTGTAGACCCGCGTGGTCGTGATGCTCCCCCGCATAGTGACGTCACACGTGTGCGTGTGTACACAGTAGTGATGCTACCATCACTACACATATTACCCAGGCTGGGACATTACAACCCACCAAAGACAACACAACTTAGATTAGAGGCGAATCTGGAGGCTTCATACTGATCATACGCCAAACTGAGAAATTATAAATTCATAAGTACCCTGCTGAGGCAATACAACTGAATGTAAAGCAAGCTGGGCCATAACCATATAATGCTCATCTTGTATAATTATGATATCTTTATAACCTAGTGAGCCTGCAAGACCACATTGGCCACCGAGTTTATAATCCACAAAGGAACACACTGACACAGCAACTCAAGAGTTTATAGCACGTAAGCCACACTCTAGAGCTTATAATTGGGAACACGTCACACTTAAAGAGATACCGTAACGTTCAACAGGTAATATGATGAGGAGGTGGGCTTGGTGAGTGATTTAGTAAGATGCAGGTGTCATGCGTTGATGGTCTAAAGTGAAAGATCACTTGGAAGGGATATCAGTACAAGTTCTGTGAAAATCTATTGATGATGCATCTATTCTCCAGGATACGGGGTTGCACTGCTCTGTGATTTCCAGGTACTTAAATCCTTGGGCTCGTGATGCTGATTGCACAATCCAAATAAAATTGGGATTGAGATGGGGCGGGGGGGGGCAAAACACAAAATCCACTCGTTGATTTAATTCCCATCCTAAACCATGTCGATTTCTCACAGGTAATAATAGAACAGGTTGGGATAGTATAACTAACTCAACAGACTACACCTGGGGCACCACTATCACTAATCCCACACTTAAGAACCATTGAAACTTAATGTGGGACCGTGCTCGAACAATCCAGCACAGCACAGGCCACCCAGAAAGTGTGCAAATCCAAAACCACACGAATATTATAACACCTTGAAAGCTATGTTGAGAGGTTTTTTTTTACCTGGCTTCGTACACTATAAACCCACAGCAAGTCTGTGACCAAAGACTTATATCTGGACATTATAACATAACTCATTCCACAGACTGTGCTGTGAGACTATAACTCAATGTAGCCAACAGCAAGACATTGCAACTCAACGAGAACCACCCTATCCGCTTGTAACTTGGCATGGATATTAGCTCTGGGTTAATAACCGACCAGGTACAGCACTGGGACATTATAACTCATCGGAAGCCACGATGTATAGTCATATATTACCGTACGTTCCTAACCAAGTTATAAACCAAAGTTCTAACCCATCAGATGCCACACCGATATGATGTAACGGACCACAGCACAAACCACGACTGAAGTTTACAACTCACCCCCCAACCGTGCCGTGAATTTAAAACGCATTTAGAAATAAACCTGGAGATTAATAACGCTCTGAAATCCGTAGCGACTCTATACCCCTCACTACGAGGTGACTTTTAAGTCTATAACCCAGCACAGAGCGTGAAAAAGAGTTAACAGTCGAAATTATGTTCGGCGTCAGTGAGTTAATAACATCAATCATAATAATGAACACAAACCTCTCTCCGTTGGTCCGACCCACAATACGCCTGTGAGGTGTAATATATATTTAAAAAAGCATAAAACATAAGTTTTAGAACCAACTGTTGAAAACAAAAAACGTCGAGATCACCAAAAGGATAAACTAAACGTCATAAAGTAACACTCTTTGGTTCTATTCGGTAAAGTCACGTAGGTAAAAAAATAAAACAAGGTAACAAATAAAACAACAAAAATCACCTACGTGACTTTGCCGAATAGAACCAAAGAGTATGGATCCTTGCAGTCACGAAAGCTTCAAATCTAGAATTAAACGTCATAAAGTAACACACATTAGGCCGCAATGCGAGTTTCTAGTCGAGCAGTCAACAACGACGTTGCGAGTTTAGAACTCATAACAGACCTCTCTCATGGATACAAAAAAACACCTCATTAAGGGCTCAAACTTAGATAACGTAAACATAAAAAATATTACATTACAGCCCACAAGGGGACACGAAACCCCAACCACTATCACCAGCCCCGTCGAAAGCCACATTAGGCCCCTCCGCGAGGCTTTATAAGCCAGAAAAGATACACCACGCGGTTAGTTTACAAGTCCTCAGACACTACAACAGGCTACACACACAAAAAAATACCCATGCAAGACCAAACAGGGATCATAGTAATAGTAATAATAATCGACTGGGACATGCGAACCACTTAGGCCGCGCAGTTCGTATCCCAACATTTAGGCCTCAGCGAGTTTCGCGAGGCAGCGGCTGACCCATGCCTTGAGTTCATAACTCAACGCAGACCTCCACGGGGACACGATAAACCCACCGGGGCCACGCCGGAGACTCTCGAACCCACGGGGGTCGGCGGCGGGGTGAGTGCCATGGATTACCCGCCCACCACCACCCACCCCGCCGAGCACGCTCACGAACCCTCGTGTTGAGAGTTTACCCCGCGCCTCTCTCACTGCTCCACACGCGGCCTCGTTCCCCCGTGCCCGCAAGGCGCCAACTACCACCACCACCACCCTACCACCCCCCTCTTCCCGCACCCTCAACAGCCCAGGCCGAGTGTGGTCTGCACCGCCCCCGCTTCCAAAAGGGGGGCCAGGGGCTCGCAGGGCCCAGGTGAAGGGAGGCTCAAATAGAGACCGAGACGGACGGCGAGGAGAGTCGGGCCCCGCGCCGCGCTTAGTCGAGGCGCCACCGCGCGTTTGAGCGGGATGAGGGGTTGATGGGGGTAGGCCTCAAGGGGCGCGGGGGACGCAGGGGCCCCGCGGGGAGCCTCACCCCCTTGAGACGCTTGACGAGCGCGTTCTTGGGGCCGCTCTTGGCGAGGCCGCGCTGCTCCAGGGCCGCCTTGAGGTCTGTGACGCGCAGAGCGTGCAGGGGCCGCCCGTCCAGGCTCACGTCCTCCAGCTCCGCCATCTTGTCCATGGGCGCCCGGCTCCTCCCTCCCCTCCCCGACCTCCCCCGCCCCTCTCACCCCCCCCCCAATCTGCCCCGCCCCTCTCCCCCCAACCTCCCCCGCCCCTCTCCGCCCCCCAACCTCCCCCGCCCCCCCCCAACCTCCCCCGTCCCTCACCCTCCCCCAACCTCCCCCGCCCCTCTCCCCCCCCAACCTCCCCCGCCCCTCCCCCCAACCTCCCCCGCCCCTCCCCCCAACCTCCCCCGCCCCTCCCCCCCAACCTCCCCCAACCCTCTTCCCTCCTCGTACTCCGCCCCCCCCCAACCTCCCCCGCCCCCTCCTCCCCCTCTCTCCTCCCCTTCCCCCTCCCTGCTCCCCTGCCCCCTCGCTCCTCCACTTACCTCCTCCCCTACCCCCTCCTCCTCTCCTTACCCCTCCCTCCTCCCCTTCCCCCCTTCCCTTACCCCCTCCCTCCTCCCCTTCCCCCCCCCTCCTCCCCTTCCCCCCCCCTCCTCCCATACCACCTCCCCCCGTCCCCTTACCCCTCCCTCCTCCCCCTCCCCTACCCCCTCCCTCCTCCCCTTCCCCTCTTCCTCCTCTCCTTCCCCCTCCCTCATCCCCTTCTTCTCTTCCTCCTTTCCTTACCCTTCCTCCTCCCCTTCCCCCCCTTCTCTTCCTCCCTCCTCCCCTTCCCCCTTTCCTCCTCCCCTTACCCCTCCCTCCTCCCCTTCCCTTCCTTCCTCCCTCCTCCCCTCTCCCACCTCCCCCATCCCCCTCCTTCCTCCTCTTCCCCCTCCCTCCTCCCCTCTCCCACCTCCCCCATCCCCCTCCTTCCTCCTCTGCCCCCTCTCTCCTCCCCTTCCCCCCCTCCCCATCTCGCCTCCTTCACCTCCTTCAAACAACATTGTCCTGAAGCAAGACGATCTGTGCTGTAGTCACACTTGCAAATGCGATTTGTAACTTTGATCATTGCCCGTGTAGTAATATAATCGATAGTTCAATATTTATTGTGCCAATGTATTCAGTGATTACCAATTATGTGGTGTGGTCTGGGACTGTTTTGCTGTAAGTTTGTTTGTGTTTGCTCAATCTTGATGAAATTGGACTTGATACATTTATTACGTATTTATTTTTGTGACTTGCTTACCATTTATTTTCTAAAATGTGCACGTACCCCGGTCGGTATTTTTTTTTTGCTGTATTGTGTTCGCTGTTGTAACTTTACTCGCCCCTTCCATACCTCTGGACATCTGTGAAAAAGAGCTTCACAGCTCATCGGATTACTCCTGCAGTCGAAATAAAGATTCTGATTCCTGCTGCCCTCCATCCAGTCTTGGATTCTCCTTCGCCCTCCACCTCTTTCCTCCCTCGCCACCCGCTCCTGGCTGCGACGTTGCCCGTTCACTACTTCTTCACCACCGCTCCAGGCCCGTGTTGTGGTTGTTGGTTGTGAAAGGTGGTGGAGTTTTGTCATCGGTTTTTGTGTGGTCATTATTGATGATAATTTGAGGCTGTGTTTGTTGTTGTTGTTGTTTCAAGACTGTATGGTGTTCATACCTGTCAACCCCTTATCAGTGCCCTACATTATTACTGGCCAATTCAGACCTCATTGGTCACCCCGTGCCCCTTATAAATCTCGACATTCATCCTACAAAGTCCCATCACAAGGGAGAAATACAAACAAATAGGCATTTGTATTTGCCCGTATTGAAACGGCTGTACACCGTATGGACCTGGAAACTCAATTTCCCCCAAAAATAATTACGGGGTAAACCGTATGGGTTGACACGGTATGGGTGTTTGTTATCGTGGTTGTTGATTTAAGGCCGCGTGTTGGTTAGGGATGAAGATGTAAGTCCACAGCCGCTGGTTTGTGGTTGCTGATGATAAGAGGGCTGTATGGTGGTGGTTGATTTGACGCTGTGGTGGTGGTAGTAGCGGTTTATTTTAGGTGGTGGGGGAGGAACACAATGGAGGCGTTTAGTTTGAATCGGTTCGTGACACGGATGATACCGTTTCGCCATTTCCCCGACTATTTTACAAAAGAGAGACGTGTGGCGCGTGAGCCACAGCAACAACGAAATAAAGTATGAGAAAATAAGAATATGTTTTATCCTTTCTGGCAATAAAACAGGTGTTTTAACATGTTCAAACACCAGGAATCAAGTACTGCATGTTCACCACACATGGTAATTGTGGTGAAACTTCTTGACCTACACCAGACACAGTTGTTGTACTTGATTTGAAGTTTTCGTGACTGCAAGGAATCCATGCTCTCTGGTTCTTTCGGTAAAGTCACGTAGGTATTTTATTTTTCTACCTACGTGACTTAGTACCAAAGAGTATAGTTGTTGTACTGAATAACACGTAGAAGGCTTTCGCGACCAATATTAATCATAATAAAGGTTTTTGGGTTATATCGCGCTATTTATAAATGTGTGGTAACCCTCCACCACCCGACACTAATGTAGTATATAATTACAAAAACACACATTACAACTCATTACTAATCATTACAATTGACTGATTACCAATCTATTATATAATTACAATACCCCCCCTCCGCCTCAAATCACTGCATCTGAATGAGTTAAATGATGACGTCACCCTGCTGCTGCTCTATTTAAGACCGGGAGCAAGTGAGGGATTTACAATTCTGGCAAATTGCCCGATGATGCTGGATGTAATTACCAGGTTGAGACTAGGCCATAGAGAACGAGGCTGTCCTCTGGTGTAGGCCAATAAGTTTCAAAGACTGCCATTATTATTATCTGAGCATGTTTGTTTGCATGTTCACCACAAGCACCGTGTGTGGTTAATGCAGTACTTGATGCCTTGCAAAAGGTGTCTATTTGGTGTTTGAACATTTTAACACCTATTCTTGGTTCTTTCGGTAAAGTTTCCCTTCTACGTGACTTTACCGAAAGAACCAAGAATATGAATCCCTGCAGTCACGAAAGCTTTAAATCAAAATTTTAACACCTGTTTTATTGCCAGAAAGGGTAAAACCTATTTAAATGTTTCACCATTAAGGAAAGTTTCATCAGTAAGAATGACCTGGGTCCACAATGATAAAAGCAATAACATGACATGATAAAAGCCATAAGAAAGTACAACAATGAAGCGAATAGAAATGAAAGCAAAAATAAAGCAACGGTGTCACAGAAGATATAGAAAACAGTGGATAGACGTAAATAATACGAAAATAGATTTACTCTCGCGAAAGTTTGGTTTTGGACATATTACTCCAAGGCAAAAAAAAACACTTCATTGTAAAATTCAGCTTCCAAAAACATCAATCGTGGATTGAGGGTCCTTGTTTTCACCGAATTAAATAAATAAAGCTCTGACGTGGAACCGATGAAGGGTTTAAGTGCCACAGGATGATTTTTTTTTAAACAAATCAACAAAAGAAATCCCTCTCGACCTTTAAAAAAGACAGTTTTATTAGACTGAGTGAGCTGTTATGCTGGTAAGAACCTCCTGGTTACACCAGCCCACAGGGGATTATTGTGTCCGTCCGTCCGTCGTGCATCCAAAAATGGGAGGGGTGAGGCTGGGTGGGGCTGGGTGGGGAGGGGCTAGGTGGGGCTGGGTGGGGAGGGGCTGGTCACCCCGTGGTGCCCTTATAAAACTCAACGTTTAACCTACTCACGCCGGCTTGTGCCCGCCCTCACAGTCGGGCATATTTGCGGAATACACCACGTGGTGCCGCCGTTGACCCTGGCCATTGACCGAGCAACCCAACGTTCCTACCAGCTCCCTCCGCAGGAATGTGTTTGAGAGCGAACAAAAACGCGGTCTTTTCCCATTGGCACCGAGAGAGAGACTGTAACATCGTCGAGATTTGCCGGTAGTCGCCACTAGAGGCCGCTATTTGTCAAGTAAAATCACGCGCACATTTTCCCACGAAGCTTCTGGGCTCCACCACAAACACTGAAGAACATCAGCATCTAATCCAAGGCCGTAATTATAATATATTCAAATATGCTCAAAATGCCCCCCCCCCCCCCAATATATTGCTATAAAATAGATTTCTGTTTATATTATTGTGGTTATAGTTGTACTTTATTCATCCATAATCTCTGCCATTGCATACAATAAAACAAGAAAAGGTAAAAAAAAAGAAAAAAAACAGAGCAATGTAATACAATACACTATTAGACATTGTAAAAAAAAGAAGTCCATCCTATGTTTTACTGATTTTTTTTTTAATATCTTCAAATGTAGCTTTTTTCTGGGTGAGGTGGACCTCCAGACCCCTTGGAAGATTTAATCCCCCCCAATGTTGACTCCATGGCAACGGCCTTAATCTAATCCCATCAGCCGTACGAAAGAAGAAGACGAAGATTATCATCCTCGTCGAAGCCAATACCGCATGGCATCCCACAGTATTAGAGTGTGCCACTCTGGCTATCAAAGCCGAGATCATGGGAGGACGCACGTGGTGCAACATTGGCAGCGTGGCCATCCATACCAGTCAACCCATACGGTTTACCCCGTAATCTTGTACAGGAAAATTGAGTTTTCAGGTCCATACGGCGTACAGCTGTTAACAAGACGGGCAAAAAAGTTTGTGTCTATTTGTTTGTGTTTCTCCCTTGTGATGGGACTTTGTAGGATGAACGTTGAGATTTATAAGGGGCACGGGGTGACCAATAAGGTCTGAATTGGCCTGTGATAGGGTAGGGCACTGATAAGGGGCCGTCCATAAATGACGTCACGCGATTTGGACGATTTTTGACCCCCCCCCCTCGTCACACGGCGTCACAAAAAGTCAGACCCCCCCCTCAAATATGACGTCACAAAGCTCTGCCCCCCCCCCCCCCAAAATGCTTCAAATCGCTTTAAACTGTTGTCATTGTAGTGCGTATTTAATGTGGCGCTGCACTCTGATGTTGTAGGAGAAAACATTTATTTAAAAAAGTATATTTAATTAAGTAGAACGTGTTGTCTATATTTATTTAAAGTTGCGCATTTTGATGTGACGTCACATTTCTCAACCCCCCCCCCTCTCTCGTCACACATCGTCACAAATGTCTGACACCCCCCCCCCTCTAGGTGCGTGACGTCATTTATGGACGGTCCCCAAGGCGTTGACAGGTGGGCATGTCGGACATTCGCATCACTCCTGCTGTATGCCCACTGGCTTCACCGACGTCTATCCTTAACGCTCGTGACGCCACTCCACATCGACCAGTCCCCCTTATTAATATTCATGAGCAGGTGACGTCACTCCACATCGAACAGTCCCCCTCATTAATAATCATGAGCAGGTGACGTCACTCCACATCGAACAGTCCCCCTCATTAATAATCATGAGCAGGTGACGTCCTTCAAATGGACACCCCCCCCCCCCCCCCCCATTATTATTACCTACTATGAGCCAAGAATGTCTGTGTGCAACGCTCGTGACGTCACTCCACGTCGACCAGTCCCCCTTATTAATATTCATGAGCAGGCGACGTCCTTCAAATGGACACCCCCCCTCATTAATAATCATTAGCAGGTGACGTCACTCCACATGGGGCACCCTCCCCCCTCATTAATAATCATGAGGTGACGTCACTCCACATCGACCAGCACCCCTCATTAACAATCATGAACAGGTGACGTCCTCCGCAGGGATCTCCCCCCTCATTAATAATCATGAGCGGGTGACGTCACTCCACATGTAGCACCCCTCCTCGTTCATAATCATGAGCAGGTGACGTCACTCCACAACGAACAGCCCCCCACATTAATAATCATGAGCAGGTGACGTCTTCCAAATGGACACTCCCCACCATTAATAATAATTAGCGGGTGACGTCACTCCACATGGGGGGGGGGCGAGGCGCCTCCTCCCCCCTCCTTGGCGTCAACTGACAACCCTCACTACAAAGGCAGAACCCTCACGTCATCACGTGATCTCCGTAACGCTATTGAGACATCGAAGTAAAAAGGACGTCGTGATGAGCAAGGGATTATAACCTTAAAATGAAATAGGTCTGTGTCACCGCGCCCTTGCAAATTTCACACGAATTTATTGCAATGAATATATCACCTCGCGCTCTGTGCTTTTCGCTTGCAAGTTTCAGATTTACTGCAATACACCCGTCCTTGGACGGGCAAAAGGCTAGTCTCAGTATAGCGTGCCAACGTTGGGACGCTCTACTGGGGCGTTGCTGTAATCACCATGTCCTACAACAAGGCCGTAGCCATGGAGTCAATATTGGGGGAGGAACAAATCTTCCAAGGGGTCTAAATCTAAATTTGAAAACGAATTTCCTGCCTAAAATATAACAAAAAATTCACTAACACAGGATGGACTTTTTATTTATTTTTTACAATAACGTCTAATAGTGTTATTGTATTTACATTGCTCTGTTTTTTTTCTTTTTTACCTTTTCTTGTTTCATTGTATGTAATGGCAGAGATTCGGGATTAATAAAGTACAACCATAACCACAGTCATATAAACAGAAATCTATTTTATAGCAATATATTGGGGGGGGACATTTTGAGCATATTTGAATATTTGGGGGGGGGGGTGCCCCGGGATCCCCCCCCCCAATATATATTATAATTACGGCCTTGCCCTACAACGAATAGACAACGGCGGATCTCACCCAAGCAGCCGCACTGACCAGCGCGGTGAAGTATGGTCAAACAACCCCAGTGACCGACGCCCCATGGACGGGAGGAGGCATTCATTCAGCAGTGGATCGATCAAATGGCTGTAAAATGGCATGTGTGTCCAACGGCCCCTTGTGTTGAGACAGTACAACAGGTATATATGTATCGTGGGACCTTTATTGCTAGTATGAAAGCATAAAAAATAACAATAGTGTGTTACCCTTTTCTGGAAATAAAACACGTGTTAAGATGCTCAAACACCACCTTTTGCAAGGAATGAAGTCTGCACTAACCACACGTACATGTGATGAAAATGCAAACAAAACATGCATATATAATTATCAGAGCCTTGTTTTGTTTGCATCTTCACCACAATTACGCGTGGTTAACGCAAACTTGATTACCGTATTTTCCCGCATATAACCCGCGGGGTATATCACTTTTTACAAACAAAACAAGACCCTGCGGGTTATATGGAGGTGCGGGCTATCTCAAAAAATATTGTACACGTGTGACATGTCCATAACTCGTTACATTTGTTCATGGTAGAACTATCCACTGTGCAACACTTACCTTTGACTAAAGCACTGCTGAATAAACCACTCGCACTAAAATTGCACATGTTATCACGTTTTAAATTATTCGAATTTTTGTACAATGAAACGACAATATTTGAAGTAGGCGTACTGTGTTTACAGGCGACGAGAGAGGTGGGGGAGGGGGCAACGGCGTTACCGTAGTGCCGCTATTGTCTGCACATTGCGCAATCTACCAGTGCTAAATCTGTACTTATCTACCAGTTATGTGTTACTTATTTATTGGATATTTACTTTTGTTACTTATTTTAAGTTCACTCGTTTCCGGTTAGTTTGCTTTCTTTGTACACGTTATGATTTTAATGTTAACAATTGATAGTGGAATGTATTACAAATGTAAACTTCGTATTAATATGATGGAATGAAGCTGCGGTAACGACGTTAAAGATATGAATGCATGCGGGGTATATGCGTCTGCGGGTTATATGCGGGAAAATATGGTACTTGCAAAATGTTGAGATATACTTGCATACACCATAGGTAGTTACATAATGCACAATGTGTTCTGTGTGTATGTTGAACTAGTTCTGTATGTATGTCGAACTTCAACGATCCTTCGTCCCTATAGCCTGCACAGAATGTTGGGGTAAGCGGGTGATAACGAGCACCTGCTATGGGCAGCACCACGCCCGACCGCCTTTGTGTCTCCGCAGTAATGATGTTTACGCGCCACACCGGGTATACACACTGCACACACCGGGGTGGGTGGCCAGCACCACGCCCGACCGCCTTTGTCTCCCCAGTGGCGATGTTTACACACCGCACCAGGTACACACACACGTGCACGCGCGTACACGCGCGCACACACACGTGCACGCGCACACACACACACGCGTGCGCGTGTGCACACGAGTAAAGTGTTGCCGCTCTTCCTGCTGCTGCTGTTCATTATTCATGGCGCCAGTGGAGGGAGAAGGAGGAGGAGGCGGCTCCCGCCATCATCGCCGCGCCCTCCTCCTCCTCCCCCTCCTCCTCCTCTTCAAGGACTCGGGGAGGCCGCGCCGAGCCCAGCCACACGGCAGCAGCAGGCAGACAGCAACAGTCAGACACAGCAGCAGGCAGACAGCAACAGTCAGACACAGCAACAGGCAGACAGCAACAGGCAGACAGCAACAGTCAGACATAGCAGCAGGCAGACAGCAGTAGTCAAGACACAGCAGCAGGCAGACATCAACAGTCAGACACAGCAGCAGGCAGACAGCAACAGTCAGACACAGCAGCAGGCAGACATCAACAGTCAGACACAGCAGCAGGCAGACAGCAGTAGTCAAGACACAGCAGCAGCTGTCACACCCGAAGACACTCGTCCCCTCGCTCATCCAGACGAGACGGCTCATCCATCACCACCAACACCAACAACACCAACAACTCATTGTCCATCACCGCCTTCCTGTGCACCACCGTGAGGACCACCACCGTGAGGACCACCATGGTGGTGCAGGCGATGGCCTCTCGGCTGCTGGGCATGACGGCCCTCAGGGGACTCGGCCCCAGGGCCCCTGGGCCCCCGTGCCGCCGGGCAGCTCCCTCGCGGGCGTGCAGCCTGCTGTGTCCCGGTAGGATCTTCACTAAAGGTGAGGGGGGTGGTAGGGGATGTAGGCTGGTGGTGGATAACGAGGTTATAGACGAGTGAATGACGAGCGGAGTGAGGAGGAAGGCTGCCTTCGATAGCCACGTGGACGCGAGCGCAAGTTGTCGGTGTCTGTAGCCACGTCGCCCAAAGTCGGACACGCGGGGAGCTGCCCGACAGTGTTGGAGCCCGTGTCTCTGTGTGTCTGTGTGTGGTACGCGGACCCCGTGTCTCTGTGTGCTACGCGGACCCCGTGTCTCTGTGTGTGCTACGCGGACCCCGTGTCTCTGTGTGTGCTACGCGGACCCCGTGTCTCTGTGTGCTACGCGGACCCCGTGTCTCTGTGTGTGCTACGCGGACCCCGTGTCTCTGTGTGTGCTACGCGGACCCCGTGTCTCTGTGTGTGCTACGCGGACCCCGTGTCTCTGTGTGTGGTACGCGGACCCCGTGTCTCTGTGTGTGCTACGCGGACCCCGTGTCTCTGTGTGTGCTACGCGGACCCCGTGTCTCTGTGTGTGGTACGCGGACCCCGTGTCTCTGTGGTACGCGGACCCCGTGTCTCTGTGTGTGGTACGCGGACCCCGTGTCTGTGTGTGGTACGCGGACCCCGTGTCTGTGTGTGGTACGCGGACCCCGTGTCTCTGTGTGGTACGCGGACCCCGTGTCTCTGTGTGCTACGCGGACCCCCTGTCTCTGTGTGTGGTACGCGGACCCCGTGTCTCTGTGGGACGCGGACCCCGTGTCTGTATGTTGTACGTGGACCACGTGTCTGTGTGTGGTACACGGACCCCGTGTCTGTGTGTGGTACGTGGACCCCGTGTCTCTGTGTGGTACGCGGATCCCCGTGTCTGTGTCTCTGTGGGGTACGTGGAACACGTGTCTGTGTGTGGTACGCGGACCCCGTGTCTATGTGTGGTACGCGGACCACGTGTCTGTGTGTGGTACACGGACCCCGTGTCTGTGTGTGGTACGCGGACCCCGTGTCTGTGTCTATGTGGGGTACACTTGTGGGCTATATAGCTGAGTGGGTCCTTACCTGATAAAAAAAAAGTTGAGTTTATAGTCTGTATTGGGGAACCTATCTGGAGTGGACTCTTTGAAGGGGACCCTGTTGTTTATTGGGGACTTCGTGTCTTTGGGGACCCTTTGTCGGGATCCCTGTGTCTGTGGAAAATGCTAACACAGGGAGGAGGGGTCGGTATGCGGCTCTATGGCGCCCCCCCCCCCTTGCGGGCAGCCACTTTTTTTAACAACAACAAACACAAGTTACATAATTTGGCTCGGTACACTCTAAAGCAGGGGTGGGGAATGTCCGGCCCGCGGGCCGTATGAGGCCCGCGAAATAATTTGGTCTCTGGCCCTGCCAAGGCCACCGCGGGCGGGACTCGAAATTCAACAAATCTGGGAGAGCAAACCTGAAAAAGCAGTTGCGAGTAGCAACAACATCATCAATACCAGCTAACATCATCAATACCAGCTAACATCAGCTAACATCATCAATACCAGCTAACATCATCAATACCAGCTAACATCATCGATACCAACTACCATCATCAATACCAGCTAACATCATCGATACCAGCTAACATCATCACACGCCTCGCCAAAGATAAGCAGTTCCAGCCATCGCATTGGGGGTGAGTTAATGAAATGTTTGACCAAATATAACGGGCTAATTTTTAAGTTGATAATTTTCGTATTCTTTGGCTTTTTCGGTAAAGTCACGTAGGTAAAATAAAATAAATGAAAACAACTAAATTTAGTTTTCATTTATTTTATTTTACCTACGTGGCTTTACCGAAAAAAAACAAAGAATATGAATCCTTGCAGTCACGAAAGCTTCAAATCTAATATCTTCGTATGGCCCGCGAATGGTGTTATAAATATCCAAATGGCCCTTGGCAGGAAAAAGGTTCCCCATCCCTGCAGTCTACAGCAAGGGAAGCGGGGGGGGGTCGACATTTCGACAACCTGCGGCTCGTTTATCGCTCCTTCGTGACATCGCGGCCGTTTCGCATTCATCACATTGCATTGTGGCTCTTTAAATGTTTTTTACACCAAATTCCCCCCCCCCCCAAAATACTTTCTTGTACTTTTGCTAGGCCACCCCTGGGGGCTAAGAACTCTGATGAAGGCAGCAATTAAAAGGAGCGCTCTTATCAGCTCGCCACCCCAGCCGTCGAGTTAGATTCCTGGCCAGGGTGCGGTGTTCCAGTTCACGCAGACAGCAATCTCGAGAGAGTTGGTGCCTCGGAGCGACTGGCCCATTATGCTCATCCACAGACCCTCATCAGGCTGCGTGGGCCAATGTCATTTTTTAAAAAAATGAAAAGTATATTACAGTATATATCAAGGCCGTAGCCATGGAGTCAACATTGGGGGGGGGACCAAATCTTCCAGGGTGTCTGGGGGTCCCAACCCAGAAAAATATCTACATTTGAAAACTCATTTTCTGCCTAAAATATAAAAAAAAATCACTAACACATGGGTTGGACTTTTCATTAAATTTTTACAATAATGTCTAATAGTGTATATTGTATTACATTGCTCTGTTTTTCTTTTTTACCTTTTGTTTCATTGTATGTAATGACAGAGATTAGGGATTAATAAAGTACAACCACAACCACAATCATATAAACCATATAAAACAGAAATCTATGCATTGATTTCTATGAAGACAAGTCCAGATAATGTGGCTAAGGTTGAGCAAATTGTTGTTTTATATACATAGCATAGCAATAATTTCATAGCAATATATTGGGGGGGACATTTTGAGCATATTAAAATATTGGGGGGGGGGGGGATGTGTCCCCCCCCCCCCCCCAATATATATTATAATTATAATTACGGCCTTGCAGTACATCCATTTCATATGCTGCATTTCCACAAAAACACATTCTCCTGCGGAGGGAGCTGGTAGGAACGTTGGGTTGCTCGGTCAATGGCCGGCGTCAACGGCGGCACCACGTGGTGTATTCCGCAAATATGCCCGACTGTGAGGGTGGGCACAAGCCGGCGTGAGTAGGTTAAACGTTGAGTTTTATAAGGGCACCACGGGGTGACCAGCCCCTCCCCACCCAGCCCCACACCACCCTCCCCACCCAGCCCCTCCCCACCCAGCCCCTCCCTACCCTCCCCTCTCCACCCAGCCCCACCCCTCCCACGTGGACAGACATCCACAGACATACACAATTAATCCCCTGCCTCCTGTGAATTAATCCCAGTTGGGCTTCCAGTCCACTACGTTTCCTACCAGTACCAGTATAAAAGTCGGTGCTTATCAGCGGGCCCATTAGTCCAAAAACGCTCCACTGCAGCGCATAGTTCGTATTTTAATGACAACGTAGGGTCGTTTTGTCAATTCGCTTCTGTGTAAAGGTCTTCCCACGCCGTGTCTGTTATTTGACCATATTTCACCACGCTGGTCATTGCGGTTAGTAGGGGAGAGGGGAGGATGCCCATGTTCGGTTGAGGATGCCACTCGCCACTGCTGTTAACCATGGCTGGGAATCGAACCCCGGGATGCTGGGGCCCTTTGCGCAGCACACCGGCCACCGTGCCAATGTTCCTATTCAATAAGCTGACAGGTTTTCTTTTTTCAGTTGAAAATCTGGACATAAAATAATCCCGCACAGCTCATAACCGCTCAACGCAAGGGCCGGCACAGTGCAAGACCACACGCATGAACTATTAGCAGTGATAAAGTGATCTGGCTGCTGCTTGGGTGAACATTAACCGTGAAGTAACAGGTTAATACAAAAAATAACAACAGGTTTTTAAATATCGTCGGTGAACGGATGCTTCCCGCAATGTTTCAGCCAAGCGGACTTCTCTAAGTGTCGGGTTTTAACCCGCTTGCTTACCATTAACCCTCTGCGATCATCTCCTCCGTTGGGAAATGGGATTAATTTTTGGGGTCGTGTACGTGGAGGCGCAGTCTCACCAGAAGGGACCTAGGCAGGTCACGATGAGCCAAGTGTGACCCTTGAACCTACGTACAACTGAAAAACTATCTAACATTTTATTTTTTACTTTCTCACGCTTGCTCATTTATTTTAACTCTCGCACGCGGACGCGCTTTCGGTCGGAGTTGACGTCCAGGGCTGAGCGGTGCGGGAGGAACAAACAAACCGGTTGCACCCAGGCGATAGGACGGGCTGGGTTGAGTCTCGTTTCGTAACAAACGTCCCCCCCCCCCCCCACTGCCTCCCGTGTGTTTTCCCCACCACAAGTGCTCAACTGTGTCGCGGTTTTCGGGCGTTTCCATCAATTCCATCCAACGACGGCTCGGTGCCAGTTGCAGGATAAAGGCGGGGGCGGAGGGGGTGCAGAGCTGCCCCCCACCCCCCCCCCCCCGCAGATTGACCGGTCCCTTTAGTTGGCCGGTTATAATAATAATGATAATGCGACCTTTTTTTTGCCAGTATCAAAGTTGGAAAAATAAGAATAGGTTTGACCCTTTCTGGCAATTGACGTCGTTCTCTGGTCTGACACTGGTGGTGAGACGAGGCCAAAAGAAGGCTGCTTTGCTGCCTCTGGTGTAGGCCAATCGGTTTCAAAGACAACGCCATTATTATTATCAGAGCCACGTGTTTGTTTGCGTGTTTAACCACAAGTACCATGTGTGGTTAATGCAGTTAATTGATTCCTTCCAAAAGGTATCTATTTTGTGTTTGAACATCTTAACACACCTGTTTTATTGCCAGAAATGGTAAATCCTACTCTTATTTTTCATACAATAATATTATTCACTTTCGCAGCTACGTTTATCGCTGCTGGCTACGCACGTTGCGAAAGGAGTTTAACATATACACAGTGCATTATTCCAGCAAGCGACCCCCCCCCCCCCCCACACTCCGGTTTACATTTGAGACAGTCATCATCAACAGCAGCCACGATCTATCCGCTGTTGGATGAAGGCCTTCCTTCCCAAAACCGTCGCCATCTTCGCCGCCTCGCGATTTCCACCAAGCCAATGGGACGATTTCCATCGCTCCGTCTCTTTGCGGTGGACGTTGCTCTCGGACGTAGCTCCCTCGCTTTGGCTGCCAATTCCGATCTTCGTTGCGACCGGCGGCCGCGATCCCAGGGACGAGTTCTGTGCAAGGCCATTTGACCTTTTGGGAGAATGGTCAAGGTGACGTCTCGAACCTGCGCATGATCTCCGATCCGCGAGTTCCACTCGCCGCCTCTCCATGCGATCCCAAGCGACCGCCTCTCCGAGCTCCTTTGCATCGGCTTTTGTTCACGTTTCTTGGTTCACCGTCCAGGCATCTCCGATCCGTATATCAGAGCAATTACAGTGCATACTAATTTATTATTCCTTTGACACACCGTCACAGTATGTTGCTTTTCAGAAGAAAGTTAAGTAATCAGAAAGTGCACTAACCTGCTTTTTTCTACCTCTTCATTGTATTGGTTTGGTACGAGTTTGGCTTCAATAGTTGATACTGGGACATCACAGTAGAATATTTACCCCCATCCATCCACCCACCCCAATCCTCTCCTGGTGCAGCATAAATGCGATACGGGAGGCTTGATCTACATCACATGGAGGGCGGAAATAAAACAAGCTAGTAAAATATCAAAGAAAGTACAGTATTGTTGCCATGAAACCAAAGCTCTGGCGAAGGAGGAACAGCAAAACTACACATTCTCTCCTAAAGCACTCACTTTGTGGCCAGAAAGACCTCAAACTTTGGCATTTAACTCGTGAAGGCATTGCCATCGTGCACAGGCATATAGAACGAGAACAATGAAACCGTGCCAAATTTTCCGCGTAAAAACACGTAACGCATTTTTGCGTTTCGTGGGGCCGTGTTTTGCGTCCCCGGTAAAATGTCCCGCGTGCAAAATGAATAATGAAAAATAATAAACGCAAATTAAGTGAACGCCGAAGGCCGGTCGGCCAACCACCCAACTCGACCCACATGAGCAAAGCGAGTTTGGTTGCTTCAAGTTTTTATTTTATTCTCATTCTACGTGACTTTATTGAAAGAACCAAAGAAGATGAATCCTTGCAGTCACGAAAGCTTTAAATCGAATTTTTTTTTTATATATATATTACATCGGCCATGTGCGTACTGTCCGGTTAGATTCTGGTGAAGACGAACGTCAACGAATTGTGCCGCGTGGCCTCTGCAGACTACGAAAAGGGGCATTCGTCTCGATGGAAAAAAAACACTTGGCACGGTACTCCAAGCTCCCCGAATGTACAAAATCTATTCAAAATATTTAGTCGTACGAAAAAATAAAATAAACATTCACAAAAATAAGAACGGCTCCTTGTTTGTCCCGACGGGGGAGTCGGGACAAACAAGGAGACGTCGCCGCGCCCTCGTCGTCCAAGTTATTCGCAGCGACGCGTTCTAACATGTTTTTTTTTTTCCCAAAGTGCTACTGGAGCAATAAAGGCACAAGCACAACGTGGAGAAAATTGATTCCCCCCCTCCCCCATATCGTATTGCGAGGCAGTAACAGTCAATAGCGTGTGGGCGTTGGGTCTCAATACTCCCCTGCCTACCCCAGGGGCCCGCTCTGGCTGCTGGCACCTGCACCTTGGCTGCCCTGGTTTCCTGTCGACAGTGGAGGGTGTTGGTGGCGGTGGGGCGAGGAGGGAGAGGGGGGGGGGGGTGCTCTTCTGGGTTACAAAAAAACCTGAGCCCGTGGGATCGTCGCCGTACAGGGAGCGGAGCACACGCCGGGTGCAGAGGGAGTTGTGGAAGGGTTCGGGGAAAATATTAGCAGTGAGCTCGTTAACATTCGTTCAGCACAAGGCAGCATTGTGAAGGCATCTCAAAAACACTGGGAGCCGGATAGAGGGGAGTGTGGCTCAGTTACTGGCACCGCTGACATCCTGGTTTCTGCCGTCTGACTGAGATTTACGCGAGGTTTGTCAAGTGGGTTGATGGTCTCGGTCCGGTCACCAATGACTGCAGAAAAACAAACATTGCTAAACCTGTTTTTCTTTCCACTTCATTTGCCAAACATTGAAGCTCCCAGATTTAAAAAGACATTTTTTTATCATTATTTTGGGTTCAATGCCTAGCGACGGACATCTCTGTAGTGGAGTAGGTAGAAATGTACGGTGCCCGTGGAACAAGAGATCATTCGAAGGGGATCTCTGAGGTAGTTCCGTGGCCTCCACTTCCACTGGCCGTTTTTCAAACACGCGGGGGTGATGAGGCACTGCTCTGCGAGAGATCCCAAAAGCATTGCCAGAGATTACAATTTGCAGGAACAGATGAAACATTAAGGACGATGTTACTTACCGTACTTAGGGGTGCTCTGTAAATTTCAGAACGATGCGGCCTGCTGTCCGGGCTCAACCCAGTTCGACGCCCAGGCACAGCGGTCGAGTCGGTCGCGTGATCCACCAACCCCCGATGCTCTTCTCCCCTCCCCGCAGAGGACTGGGATACGAAGCACAGCACCATCAGCGGGCGGCGCCAATCGCCCATCGACATCCAGCCGGCCGAGGGCATGTTCGACTCCGGTTTGGGGCCGCTGCACACTCACTACCACCGCTCGGGTCCCATGCTGCTCTACAACAACGGCTACTCCTTCCTCGCGGAGTACCCCGACAATTGCAGCGCCAACGGTAGGCCGCGCAGCGGCGCACATGGGGGGGGGGAGCACGTGGATTTGTGTCTCACACGGGTGGGTGGCGGTGGTCACACAGGTAGGTGGGCACGCAGGTAGGTGGGCACGCAGGTAGGTGGGCACGCAGGTAGGTGGGCACGCAGGTAGGTGGGCACGTAGGTTGGTGGGCACCCAGGTAGGTGGGGGTGGGTGTACGGATGGATGGACATATTGGGGGCGGGTGGGCACGCAGATATGGGTTGGTATCACAGGTGAGTGGGTACATGACGGGTGGACATACGAGTGGGTGGGTACATGGGCGGGTGGGTACACGGGTCGGGTGGGTATGTACACAGATGGGTAGGTATGTACATGGATGGGTGTGGACACGGATGGGTGTGTTTACGAGTGTGTGGGTACATGGGTGGGTACACGGGCGGGTACACGGGTGGGTGAGAAATACCTGCACTAGTCCTGGGCTTCCCCTTCACTAAACCGCGTTGCCCAGTGCGGTAAAGTATGGTCAAACAATCCCCCACAACCAACAAGGCATGGTGATGCTTTGATCGAGCAATTAATTGGCAAGGGGCTGTGAATCTAAATTATCATAAGTATTAGGTTACATCATTCTTTAGATTACATAATTCGGTGGTAGGGTTATGCAGTGGTACCATTTGTGTTTCATAGCACAAAGGGCCTGGGTTCGATAGCCGACTGGGGCACTTTTCAATGTGGGGATCACGTGTTTGTTCCACTGTTCTACAGAATGTGAGTGCACGTGTTTTGAGTGTGTGTTGAGTTTGTATGTTCTCCCCCTGTTCTGCATGGGTTTTCCTCCCATTGCTAAAAATGAGCACATAGGTATTGACCAAAACATCCCAATGTTGAAAAAAATGACCAGCAAATGACTCTATGAGATTACACACAGCAGCAGCAGCAGCAACAGCAACATCGCCCGCTACGGCGAAAACTTGGCAGAGTCCCGCTGAAAACGAGTTTTGAGACTCTATTAGGCTTTCCTGGGCAAACAAGTATCACACGAAAAAATGTTTCAAAACATTTAAGATATTTACGTGTTGGCGTCCGGGCGACTGGTGCCATCCCACCGCTATCCCGGCTGGGCATGAGCAAAGCTCCACTAGCGGGAGTTGAGCAAAACCAGACGCAAGGATTTGGCTCGGCCTGGACGATCGTCGTGCAGAAACCGTGGCCCTGTGCCGTCGCGCACGGAGCCTCCTGGTTCCAATTAAACCCGGGTAGTGCGCAGAGACACATACACAACAAAGGTCCCCCGTATAGCTTTTAACAGGCTGTTGGGGCAAGTGCTGTTCGCGAGCACCTATGAACGGCACACGAGGGAGTGAGTGGCCAGCACCACGCCCGGCCACCATTGTCTTCCCAGTAACGATGTTTACACATTACACAAGCTCCTCATTTGAGGCCCGAACCAACCTAGGAGAGGCCTAGAATCGGTTCAGATAATCGTCACTGATGTTGGATGTGAGCGGGATATCGAACTCAGCTCGGCGGGTCCGTAGTGTCCTCACCACTGCGCCACCGCTCCGCACTTACACAAAGGCCCCCCTTCCCCCCCTTTATAGCCTCAACAGACTGTTGGGGCAAGTGCTGTTAGCGAGCATCTATGAAGGCCGGAACGGCACACGAGGGAGTGGGTGGCCAACACCACACCCGACCACCTTTGTCTCCCCAGTGGCAACGTTTTTACACTTGGTACTCAATTTAGCCTGAGTCGACCTAGGGGAGGCCCAGGACCGGTTCAGATAATCGTCACTGGTATTGGCCGTGAGCGGGAATTGAACTCGGTTTGCCGGGTTCGTAGCGCAGCGCGCTAACTGCTCGACTTCCCCACACACATACACACAGGCACGTGCACACACGCATATCTGCAGCAGTCGAGAGCACACGGAGTGCCCGTGTGGACTCTGCTGACCCCGAAACGGTGACCTCGACTTTCCATTAACTCGGCAGGCACGTACACAGCCCCCACACTGCCCAAGGCTTTCAGTCACTGCGTAGCCATTCCCCCTCCCCCAGTTCCCCAGCGATTATGGGGTTGCGTCTCCGTTCAACTATCTGTTAAATTTGTGCTACTTCGTTTTTTGCATCTTGTTTGCATTTTTTTATTGGGCGGTGAATGCGCCCCAGCGGTGGCGCGTGCACCGCTCGCTGCAGAGTGTCACGGTTCGAATTCCAGTGGACGCCCTGGTTATTGCTGTCAGGGTATTAATAAGTTCAACGTGTAGCGGGCATGGCAATCGCTCACTCTCGAATGCTGTCGCTGATGTCGGATGCGTCCAGAAGTCAAACTCGGGTGTTCGTCGGGCGTTTATGGACCAGTGCACGAACCACTACACCACCACTCCCCACCACCACTCCCCACCACCACTCCCCACCCTGCCGCCGCCACCACCCATGTGTTGCGTATCAGATGTTTATCTCTGTAAGGTGATACAACAGTCGGGATAATAACCAAATCAATAGCGGTAAACAATTTAAATGCATCAACAAAAGTGGCCTAAGCGGCCCAGAATTCGTCCGATGTCGTCAGATGTCAGAAGCCAAGCAGGCTCGAGCCTGGCCAGCGCTTGGATGGGCGACCACCACCAACCACAACACAGGCTGCCGCGTGGCTACGTGGTGGGTAGCAGAGGGCAGTGCAGCAGTACCCATCGTTGTCCCGTACTTCTGTGCTCCTAAGTCTCTGCTCCCTCCGCCTTCACCGTCCACCAGCGTGGTGGAGTACAGTCGAACACACCCCCATCCCCCATGACCCGCTGCTTGTGGACAGGGCCGTCATCCAGCAGTAGATTGACCAAAAGGGCTGGCACGTGGGCACATTGCGAGTATATCTCAGTCAATGTGCAGGACTGGTCTGTGTCTCCCTGCACTTGTTTTGTCTTTGCGTTGGAGTGGTCGAACCCATGGCAAAGGCTGCATAGTCTGTGACATTAAAACCGAACAAAAAATTACACTTTTTTTATTTTACCAGTTAAGGCCCACTGAGCCATGTAGCTCTTTTTCAGAAGTTACCTGGCCACAAACGATAGCTCAGCCAAAAACGGATTATCGCGTGGAACTTTATAGCAGCCAGATATTCCAAACGCGTGCTGTCGATTCGAAATGTGGAGGGAAAAACCGGAGGGCCCGGAGAAAAATCCACGCGACCACCACGGGGAGAGAGGCACGCAAACTCCAAATATACAGCGGCAGTGTCGGGCTCGGGATCGAACCCCGGGACCTCCTGCATACCAGGCGAGGCGGTTAACATCTGGCCACCGTGGCGCCCCTCTCGCCACATTGAACCTTGGACCCTGCCGCGGGCATCACAAAGCGCGGCACCGACAGCTAATCTGACCATGCCCGGCGTTATGGATATTGCGGCCATTGTGAAACCTTTGCACAGTGCGCGGGCACTCGTAATTCCCGAGACAAACAAGGCAGCAGGCACGGCCGAAAACAAGCCCCGTATTCATTACACGCGACATGGGCAGATGGGCAGCTCGAGTAATGTTTACTCGCGTGCTTGTGCGTGCTCATCGGCGTGTGTTGGTGTGTTTTCTTTGATGTTTGTGTGTGGAGCGGTGGCCCAGTGACTATCGCGCAGACCCAGCCGACCTGAATATGATTCGTGGCGGAAAAAGTCTCATCAGTACCGGTGCTGGGCCTCCCCGAGGTCGACTGATCTTTAATTGAGTACCTGGTGTGGTTTGTAAACATCAGCGCTGTATTGCTCGGGAGACAAAGGCGGCCGGGCGGGTGCTGGCCACCCACCCTCTTGTGCGCCGTTCCGGCCCTCACACGTGCTCGATAACAAACACTTTCCCCAGCAGTCCGTCTAAGGCTATACAGGGGATCTTTGTTTTTGTGTGTGTAGTGCTGGGCGGGGGTCCGCTGCAAGGACGCTACCGGCTCAAGCAGTTCCACTTCCACTGGGGCGCGAGCGATGAGCGCGGCTCCGAGCACCGCGTCAACGGCAGCGCCTTCCCCGCCGAGGTGATGACGCCACCATCGCGTCGCACTCCCCGTGGTGCCACCGCCGCGTCGCACTCCCCGTGGTGCCACCACCGCGTCGCACTCCCCGTGGTGCCACCACCGCGTCGCACTCCCCGTGGTGCCACCACCGCGTCGCACTCCCCGTGGTGCCACCACCGCGTCGCACTCCCCGTGGTGCCACCACCGCGTCGCACTCCCCGTGCCGCCAGCACCACCGCGTCGCACCGTGCCACCGCCGTGCATAGGGCTCGTGCAACGATGTTTCCGTTCGTCGCTGCGTCCGTTACCAGAGTGCCAGTCGCCCCTCGGACGGCCCAGGACGCACGGCCTCGTGTAACCAGATGTTCGATTTCCGCGATTAACCGTGCCGGTCGCCCGTCCATAAACACGCCTTGAAGCCGGCCTCTGGTGATGAGTAGGCCGGAGGGTTGCCCCTGCAATACGAACAGAAACGATAACTTAACAAAACTTACAGCTGGGACACAGTCCGCACGCTCGTGAAGCCGACCCGTGCCAATCGTGTGCCGGCGGAGAATCTCGATGGGCTGGCTTGACGGACCAACTCGGTAGGCTAGCTCGAGAGACAGGCTCACTCGACTAACTCAATAGACTTAACTCGACGGGGACTAACGGGAGAGGCCTCACCGTCACCTGCCTCACAGGGACAGCTGCCACCGGGAGGTCCCCTGGCGCAGGGCGCCTTGAGGTGTACGGCGAAGAAAGGCGCCGAATCAATACCGAGCGACGATGACGTCGATGAAAACGATGATGATGAAAACGATGACTACGACAATGACGACGATGAAAACGATGACGACGATGATGGACCAACTCGATGAGCTATCTCTGTCCCCAGCTGCACCTGGTCCACTGGCACGAGAGCTGCGAGAGCTTCAACGAGGCGCTCGTCTCCAAGAAAGGGCTCGCCGTGCTCGGCGTCTTTGTGGAGGTACCGCCCGTCCCCCGTCACATCCGAGCCCCTGACCCTCACCGCCACCCTCCTTCCCGATCGATTCCCGTCACCGTGTGTCGCAGCGCCCACGCTGACCAAGACAGTGTACGAACGGGGTGGTGTGGACAACACTGCGCCCGGCCGCCTTTGTCTCCCTATTGGCGATGTTTACACATTACACCCGGTACCAATTTAAGGCTCATTCGACCTAGGGAAGGCCCAGAACTGGTTTAGATAATCATCTCTGGTGTTGGTCGTGAGCAGGAATCGCACTCAGGTCACGTGATCCGTAGCGCCCTTGTTTCCCCAGTGCCGATGTTTTACACACAACGCACCAGATACTCGCTGAAGGCTGAGTCGACCTAGGGGAGGCCCAGGACCGCTTCACATATTCACCACTGGGTTCATAGCGTAGCGACTCTTAACCGCTGCGCCACCGTTCCCCACCCCTCCGCCTGACTCGACGCACACGTGTTAAATTGACACACGCTCGCACGTGATCCCTGCGATCGTGAAAGCTCTTGCCGGTGTGTGCCAGGTCGGGGAGACGCATGCCCGTCTGCAGGAACTGGTCGAAGCTCTGCCCAACATCACCCACAAGGTGACGTGACGGATCCGAGCGGCGGCACACTCAAGCCACACGCGTGGCACCTCCTGCACGCGCGTGGAGCGTGCGCAGCACGTGCACGGCACGCAATGCACACAGCCACGCAAATCGCTGGCCCACATACGGCATGCACAGGAAACGAACAGGACGGAGAACACGCGCAGTGCACGCACGCGCAGTGCACCTGCGTGTGCTGATGCATGCACGGACACGCAGAACACTACGTACAGCACAACGACAGTACACACATTACACATTGACACAGCACACTGACACAGTACACTGATACAGTGCACACTGCACTGACACAGTTCACACATCGCACACAGCACACACCGACTACACACATTAAACGCAGAAGCTCGCACACAGTCGACACACACGACGCACACAGTACACGCGCAACACATCTCGGTCACAGTACACGCGCAGCACGCACGGTACAGACACCTCGGCATGCAGCGACCCGACACAGCCCTGACACCCAGTACCTCCTCCCCTACTGCCCCCCCCCCCCACCTCCACGTCGCCCTGTGCCCCCCCCGGCAGGGCATGATGCACGAGGTGGGGACATTCGACCCCTCGGGACTACTGCCCCCGTGCCTCGACTTCTGGACGTACCCGGGCTCGCTGACTACTCCGCCGCCCTACGAGACGGTCACCTGGTTCATCCTCAAGCGGTCCATGTCCATCAGCGGCGAGCAGGTGAGACCGCGCCAGGCTCGGTGCGCGCACGGGCCTAAAAGTCGGGGCGGTTTGCTGCCGGACACGAGCGTGCCCCCCCCGGCCATTTACGCGCTCGTCGCCCTTTCAATGTAGTGGTGGATATTTGACGGTCGCGTGGTGGGGGCGACGGACGTACTCGGGGGGGAAAACCATCGCAGGCGACATCCCCACAATAGCGGTGGCTCACGGCCAATCACAGCGATCCACCAACCCTTGCCTGGAGGCAGGCAAGGGTTGGTGGATCGCGGTGTTTGGCCGTGAGCGGATATCGATGTCATATACAAAGATGCCCCGATCAAGTAGCCATAGCAGGCAGTTGGCGCAGGTGCCGTTTGCGAGCCGCACCTGTGAGGGCCGAGAGGGTGGGTGGCCAGCACCACGCCCGGCCGCTTTTGTCTCCCCGGTGGCGATGTTTACACACCGCACCGGGTACTCATTTGAGACCGAGTTGACCTAAAAAAAGACTCGAAACTAGTTCAGGTAATCGTCTGTGATGTTGGCCGCGAGCGAGAATCGAGCTCGGGGTCATCGGGTTCGTAGCGCGGGGTGCTAACCACTGCACAACCACTCTCCGTATATACATGACACACAACCATCGCCGTTAGCCACTAATTGGCGGTGACGTCACAACTCTCTCTTCCCCCCCCCCCACTCCCCTTCCTGTCCCGGCGGCGGTAGCTGGCGTCGTTCCGCAGGCTGTACGTGTCTGCAGCGGGCGAGCGCGCCGTGCGAATGGTGGACAACTTCCGCATGCCGCAGCCCATCATGGACCGCAGCGTGCGCAGCTCCTTCCCAGTGCCCATCGAGCTCCAGGACGCGGCTACAGACACCGCAGCTCCAGCACGCGGCTGAGGGCGGCCTTCCTCCTCCTCCTCCAGCAGCTGGCTCCAATCTCCCCCCCCCCCCGACCGCTCCTCCACAGCCACCCCCCTCTGCAGCCTCCATCCTCCCGTTGCAAGTCCTGACCCGTGTCCCGATCCCTTTCCTCCTGCCATTGGCCGGCCAGCCGGCCGGCCGGCCGCTGGGTTGCACTTCGCGACGCCGGCCTCGGTGTTTACATGACGTCGCCGCCCGCCCGTGCCCGTCCTTGCCAGCCGTTGCCAGCCAGTGCCCAGCCGTGCCAGCTCAAGCCGGCCCCCGGTGCCCACCCGCGTCCGCCCGTGCCGGCCCGTGCCTTCCAGCCTCTCGGCTCCACGCAACCGCGAGGCCACGGTGCCGCAAGCCGCCAGTGCCGGGACGAACTCGAGTTGCCAAACAGCACACGGATCCGGCGTCAGCCGTCGACAAAACCAAACGCGGCGGCTTTGAGCGCGGTGCCTTTGCGGCGGCCCGCGTGTGTCCATGCCTTTGTCACGTGACAGTACCGTGAAGTGTCCACGCTGCGTGTTCCATGCTGTTTTCCCATCCTGTTTGGTCGTGTCAATGCCGTGTTCATACTCCTCGTGTGTTTATGCAGTGTGTCTCACGTGCTTAGGCCTTCGTTTACGCCATGCTCCGCGCCTGTTTCTGTGCCCGTTTTGTCAGCGGCCATCGCCCAGAAGGTTCAAAGGTGAAAACGCTCACATTCCACCCCCCCTCCCCTCCCAAGCGGTCGCACAGCATTGTAAAAAAAAAATCACGGTCACTTCTTGGGGTCGCATCACAATGGGCGCGTGATTTGTCGTCCAGGCGGCCACGTGTCTGCCGTGTGACCACAGTAGCCGGCTTCTGTTACAAACGCTCGTCGTTTAAAAATGCGAGGTTTTGACGTGGGCTTTGGTCGGTGTGCCGTGGAATTAATCATTCACGCCATTGCAGTTGTGAACCCAGAAGGCCTGTGTTCGATTCTGGGCCACGGATAACATCGGTGGAGGGTGGTGAATGCGTGGAGGGTGGTGAATGCGTGGAGGGTGGTGAATGCGTGTATGTTGAACTTCTTTTGCACGTAGCCAACCGTGCTAATCTAAGAGCTAAAAATTTGATCCAAAGAAATACAATTTTGATTTAAAGCTTTCGTGACTGCAGGGATTCTATTCTTGGTTCTTTCGGTAAAGTGAAAATCACACCTGATGATTGCTTGTGTTGCAGTCGAAACGTCGTGAGAATTTTATTGTATTATATTTTTATTATTTTGTTTCCCTTCTACGTGACTTTACTGAAAGAACTAAAGAAATTAGTTTAAAAAAAAATGAACCAATCCTGGGGCACCACCACCTCCGTCAACCCACGCTGACCAGTGTGGTGAAGTATGGTCAAAATACCCCCATAACCAACACGATGTGTGAAGGTCTCGACCAAGCATCGAATTGACAACTGTACATTGAGTATTAAGATAAGTTTAAGATGGGTTTAAGATTGTTTTAAAATGGACTGACCCTGGATTAAGAGGGTGGTTACTACTAAGGTTGATTCGCTGTGCTGATGTGCAATAACTTTACGTGGAATTTAAATGCAACCGCGACCGTTTTATTGTCCGCTTCTCTCGCTATTTTTTAAACAGTTTTAAACACAAGACATTTCGCGAACGGTGGATTTGCACAAGAAAATAAATCCCAGCGGAAGCGTCCTCCCCGTGGGCTGCGTTTATCAGCAACAAAACGCTGCAGAGCCACAAATGGCACCAGAAAATAAACGCGAGGGTGGGGGGGGGGGGCCCCCACCACAGCAACGACCTCACAACCCCCGCTGCTCAGGAGAGCAACTGCAAATCCCAGCCAGGCAGGCCGCACGCAAGAAGCTCAACTCTCCACCTGACAGTCTTCCAGTTCCCCCCCGTCACATTCAGCAAGAACTGTCCAATCAGAAACAACCCCGCGGACAGGACCACGGAGGGGGGGGGGGGTTTAGGAGGCCTCTCTGCCTCCCACTTGTCAGGACAGTGGAGTGGGGGAGGGTGCCACAAGGCTTTAGGCACCCACTCAAGATCCCTGTGGACAAGGAGGTTAGGAACCGAGCTAAAAGATGCTAGTGGTATTATTAACGCCATCATAATTTGTCATTAAATAAAACCTAAAGGATGTTAAAATAAATTTGTGAAATGATAAAAGTGGCATAACTTCGGCGGAGGTCTAGCCAAAAGGGGACGGGGCTGAACAAAATATATCTTTGGCAGGGAGTCGAACCCGTGTCGTCCATGTGTTCGGTTCTGTTCCCTCAGATACAGCTCCTCCGCGCGGTTCAACTGAACCCTAGTGTTCAGCGACACGCACAGCAAACGCCTCGGCTATTTTACACTTTGACGTCCCCCACCTCCACACCACCCCCCCCCCCCCCTCGTCAAGTGGCAGCGGCGACGGCAGCAGCAGCAGAAGTCACCTCGACGGCACGAACCGCGGCTCGCGCGTCCTCGCCGTTTCCAAGCCGCGGTCGGCCGTGGGTTCGCAGCCGCTCCCAACGAGGCAGCAGGACGGGGGGGATGCTGGCGGGCGGTCGCGCAATCGTGGCAAACGAGCGGCGCGGGACGGCCGCGACCCAGCGGCGCCGCTACCGAGCGCAGGCGGTGCAACTACACCAGGGTCCCTCCCTGGGCTAGAGACGGGATGGGCCGGTGGGGGGAGGGGGGGGGGGTGGGGGGGATATTTCGGTGGGGGGGGGAGGGCCCCGTGTTGTTCCCTGCACCGGGATCCGCGCCGACTACGCGAGGTCCACGTGGCCGTGCAAGACGGCAGGAGCAGGAGGGCGGCGGAGGCGTGGGGCGGGGCGCTTCAGCGCGCTTTGCTTTCCTGGTAGCGGATGAAGCGCGCCAGGTTCGTCCGCACGTTGGTGAGCACCAGCAGCTGCTCGGGGGAGCAACTCCTCCTGCCCTCGCTCTTCATCTGCACGCACGCGGGGGCAGCACCGCCGAGTCAGCAACATCACCGCCATCGCCACTGACACCACCATCGCCACTGACACCATCACCGACATCACCATCGCCACCACTCGCATCATTACCATCACTGTCACCACGTTCATCGCCATCGCCACCATCTGTCGGAAGCATCACTGACCTCATCAGCATCATTCCCATCACCATTCAAAATATGTTCTCTGGTAAACATCAATAGGATACACGTCCCCTGTGTCTTGACCACCATCATCCCCCCCCCGGATCCACCACTGCACCGATCTGCCACTGCCATTATCACCCACCGCTAGCAACAACAACCGCCATTCGCCACGGGCTGGTGGCGACGTCACCACGGCGCTTGAGGCCACGTCAAGTGTCGAAGGCTCTCGCTGCCGGCAGGAGGTCACGGAACAGACCCAGGTGCCACACGGGTCGACCGAGTGAGACGACTGGCAGATGCACCACCTGTGCGCCCCCCCCCCTCCTCCACCCTGCTGTGCCAACTCTCTGCGTTTTAACCGCCAGGCTAGAATGCCACAGTCACCGCCGCTATCGGCGCGCACCACCCCGAGTCTCCCCCCTCTTCCCGTGTCCCCCCGTCCCCCCCGCGTACCCTGGCCTTGAACGCGGGCGCGAGGCCGCGTAGGGCGGCCGCGAGCCCCATGGCGCGGGCGGCGAGGTCGGCGTCGTCTCCGTGGGCGAACACGTCGAACAGCGCGTCCAGAGCCTCCCCCGACACGGGGAGGCTCACGTCGCGCACCGCCACCCCCAGCAGCACCGAGCCCAGCTCCTGCTGGGAGACGCGCACGGCGGCGGGGGGGGGGGGGGGGGGGCGGGGGGGGTTAGGGGACATGGGAAGACGGGGAGGCACGCGTCACGCTCTGCCACTCCCATCAGCACCCAGCCCACAAGGGTGAGGGGACACGGGGACGCACAGGGGGACGTAAACAGACAAGCATGTGGGTAGCGCGGAGCGCCGTGTCGGCAACGTGGTGGCGGTGTGTGGAGCGTATTGTGTGTTGTGGTGGTGGTGGTAATAGTGGCAGTGTACACAGTGGTGGTGGTGGTGGCGGCGATGGTGGCGGTGTACACAGTGAGTGGTGGTGGCGAGTGTATTGTGTGTGTTGTGGTGGTGGTGGCGGCAATGGTGGCGGTGTACACAGTGAGTGGTGGTGGCGAGTGTATTGTGTGTGTTGTGGTGGTGGTGGTGGCGGCGATGGTGGCGGTGTACACAGTGAGTGGTGGCGGTGGTGGTGGCGGCGATGGTGGCGGTGTACACAGTGAGCGGTGGTGGTGGCGGCGATGGTGGCGGTGTACACAGTGAGTGGTGGCGGCGATGGTGGCGGTGTACACAGTGAGCGGTGGTGGTGGCGGCGATGGTGGCGGTGTACACAGTGAGTGGTGGTGGTGGCGAGTGTATTGTGTGTGTTGTGGTGGCGGTGTACACAGTAAGTGGTGGCGGCGATGGTGGCGGTGTACACAGTGACAGTGTACACAGTGAGTGCTGGTGGTGGCGGCGATGGTGGCGGTGTACACAGTGAGTGGCGGTGTACACAGTGAGTGGTGGTGGTGGTGGTGCTGGCGGTGTGGAGTGCCGTGCCTGCAGCGTGGTGGCGGTGCCTCTCTGCCGGGACAGCTCTCTCCCCACCACCCCGAGGATGCCGACCGTGTTGAGGCGCACGCCCTCGTGCTCGCACCGCACGCACGCCTCGCACAGCGCCAGCAGCTGCTGCACCGACATGCACTGCAGAGGCAAAGATCCCCCGTGTAGCCTTTAACAGACCGTTGGGGAAAGTGCCGTTCGCGAGCAGCACCTGCGAAGGCCGCCGCGGCACGCGAGGGGGCGATGCGGCCAGCACCACGCCCGGCTGCCTTTGTCTCCCCCCCCCCCCCAGTGCTGATGTTTACACAACCACACCAGGCACTACAGTTAAGTCCTCGCTAAACGCGCGTTCACGCTATGACGCGATTCTTCTATGAGGAAACACTTTTCGTACATTCTAGATTTGAAGCTTTCGTGACTGCAAGGATCCATACTCTTTGGTTCTATTCGGTAAAGTCACGTAGGTAAAAATAAAATAACAAAAAATCACGACGTTTCGGCCACAACACAAGTGGCCTTCATCAGGTGACGGGACTGGACTGTCCAGAGGACAGCGTTGGAGTGAAGACAGCGACCTCTACTGGACTGTCCAGAGGACAGCGTTGGAGTGAAGACCGCGACCTGGGCTTGCTGTCTTCACTCCAACGCTGTCCTCTGGACTGTCCAGTCCCTTCACCTGATGAAGGCCACTTGTGTTGTGGCCGAAACGTGATTTTTTGTTATTTTATTTTTACCTACGTGACTTTACCGAATAGATACTTTTTGTACAAGGCGGAACGCTCGCCGCCATAATGCGTCGACGGCGACGACTAACTACTTTCCTGAGCTGCGCGGCAGAGCGGTACGGGAGTTCTGGGTACACGCGCGGAACGACACGGTACACGGCGGCGTAGCCCTCATCCCAGTTTTTTGTGCAGACCCTACGCCTTCAACCCCACACCCCCCCCCCCCCCGTCCACTAACTCCACCAATCGCCCCTCCGCCACCACTCACTCCCACCCACCCACCCACCACCACAAGCCACCACTTTGTTGTATTTTTATTTTATAATTGTTACATTGCATATCTCCACCTATTCCCCCCCACTCTCTCTCTCTCGAGATCCCTTCGCGTCACCTCCGGTGCATTTTTTGCTGTTTTTCTCACGGGCGGCAAATTGGCCCAGGTAGGTTTCACATGGAGGCCTTTCGCGACCAACAGATCGTGACAACATGAATGTGGCCATTAAACATCGCCGCCGCCACCGCCGCCACCCGACACCTAGATTATGGTTGGCCCAAGTAGACAAAACGACCAAAGTTTACACGGGGGGTTTATTTTTTTATTAATCGCGCAGTTACCTCGGACGAATCCCGTCGGCCGACTGCCACTTGAGAACCCCGGTTTTAGTCACGGCCGGGGCTGGCGAGGCCCGGACTCGAACCCAGGCTTCTCGGCGGTGCCGACTAGGGGTGTCTCCGACCCGGCCATTATGAACCCCCCCACCCAACATCCCCCCCCCCCACCTCACCTGGGGGATGTCCTTGGAGGCCATGACGTGGAGCAGCGCCCTCACCGCTCCAGTGGCCGCCTCCAAAAACTCCGCGGCCTTGGCCAGATCTACAGGTCGCAGAGACAAAGGTTCACCGTGCGGCCTTCAACGGACTGTTGGGGCAAGTGCTGTTAAGCGGAGCACTTTTGAAGCCCGGCATGGCAACACGAGGGAGTGGCCACCGCGACCGACCGCCTTTGTCTCTCCAGTGCTGATTTTTTCACACTGCACCGGGTACAAATTTGTAAGGCCGAGTTGACCTAGGGGAGGGCCCAGGACCAGCTCAGATAATCGTCGCTGGTGTTGGCCGTGAGCGGCATTCGGCCTCGGCTCGCCAAGTTCGTAGCGCGACGCGCTAACCACTGCACCGCCGCTCGTCTCAATGGCACGTGCGCATACAAAGACAAGCAAACAGGCACGCGCAGACACACGCACGACGCTGCCCGTACCCACAGCGGCCACCGCCCCCCCACGCCCTCCCCACCCCCCCCCCCAGGGCCCCCTAGGCCTCACCGCTCGCGCTGAAGAGGAGCGACGCGAGATGGCGCGCCAGCTCCTGCAGAGCAAGCGGCCCCCCCAGCGCCTCCTCGTCCAGCGAGCCCAGCATGTTCTGCAGGCAGGTGAGGGCCCGACACTGGATGCACTGCAGTCTGCACACACAGGGACACGTAGAGACACAAGGACACGTGGAGACACGGGGACATAGGCAGACACGGGCAGCTGAGAGCATGACACTGGATGCACTGCAGCCTGCACACACAGACACAGGGACACGTGGAGTTTCCCCAGTTAATCATGCACAAGGCGCAGCCTGAGTGAGGCCTGGTTGACAGTGCACCTGGTGAAGCCTGAGTGAGGCCTAGTAAATCGTGCACCTGGCGCAGCCTGAGTGAAGCCTGGTTGATCACGCCCATGGCACAGCCTGAGTGAGGCCTAGTTAATAGTGCGACGGACCCCAAGCTGTGTTCCTGCCAAGGCGGCATTGCCATAGATCCCAAGCTGTGTTCCTGCCAAGGCGGCATTGCCACGGACTCCAAGCTGTGTTCCTGCTAAGGCAACATTGCCATGGACTCCAAGCTCTTATCCTGCCAAGGTAACATTGCCACGGACTCCAAGCTCTTATCCTGCCAAGGCAACATTGCCACCGACTCCAAGCTGTGTTCCTGCCAAGGCAACATTGCCACGGACCCCAGGCTGTGTTCCTGCCAAGGCAACATTGCCACGGACCCCAAGCTGTGTTCCTGCCAAGGCAACATTGTGACGGACCCCAAGCTGTGTTCCTGCCAAGGCAACATTGCCACGGACCCCAAGCTATGTTCCTGGAAAACTTCACGGAGATCGTCAAGACGGCCAAGGGTCGTGAATGAAGAGTCCCCTGTGTGGGCTTCAGTGGGGCCGTCTGGTCGGGCAGCAGAGACACGAGAGGCCAAGAAACGACATTCCAGTCGTGGGCTGAGCTCAAGGAGGGCTAGCTCGAGCACCATCCTGCGGCGGGGAAAGGAGGTGGTGCAAGCGGTTCAGCCGAGCCCACAGCAGCCAAGAATCTGCTGTGCTTGTCTGGGGGGGGAGGGGGGGCGCTGTTCAACCCTAGCACATGGGCGAGAAGCCGTGCATGTGTGACGAGTGCGGCAAGACGTTTTCTTGTGCTCGGCCTACAAGTATATTTTTTCTTTTCCGCTTGTGTGTTAATCTGTGTTTACCCCGGATATTTTAGAGATGGCAATTCTCCTGCTGTGTATCCTACTGCTGTCCCTCCCGGCCATATCTAGTGCCACACTCAACTCTACAAACGGCTACCCTCGTTACTTTGCGTCCATACTTGTTGCTCAATTTGCCACAACACCTGCTAATGAAACAGCTCATAGACACTTCTACACTCCATCATTGTATCCTTTTAAACCCTATCTTTGTCCCATTACTTCACCAGCACTCCTTCCAAACATCATTCTGCTCTTAAAAATAACACCATCTGCGAGCTACTGTCATTCGTCCAAGGTTCGCCGCTCTTCATCCTTTCACAGAAAATACTTGTGCAAAGTATTAATTCTACTTTTCTTATTTCTGGGTGGTATTGAACTTCATCCTGGCCCAAATGAAAATAACTCGTATAATTCTGTAGATTTTTCTGGCAGGAAAGTCAACTAAAACTAGAAGTGGCAAATCTTGACCCGGACATTTTTTGCCTAACAGAAACATTTCTCACTCCTGCCGTCAATGACTTGCAGAATGCGATTGACAACTACAACCTTTTTCGGCTTGACCGAGGATCTAAAGGAGGTGGAATTGTCATCTATGTTCGTAATACTATTGCATGTTCACTAGCTCACTCGTTTAAAAAATGTTGCTTTGAAGGTCTGGCTCTCAGAATAACTCTCCCAAATAATCAACAGATATTGGTAGTGTGCTGCTATCGACCGCCTAGTGGGAAGGATGTTGATGCTGCATCTACACTGAGAGAGCTTTTTGGGGGCCTCCCTAAAGGTGAAATAGTTTTAGTGGGTGATCTAAATTAGAATTGGCTAAACCCGCCGGCCGTGGCCACAAATTTTGCAGATGAATTTAATCTGTTTCAATTAATAAATGTCCCCACAAGACCCAACCTAAAAAATCCGGGACAGTCATCTCTGCTTGACGTCCTATTGACAAATGCCCCTCACAATTTCACACTGACTGGTGTTCTGGGTAATAACCTTAGTGGTCACTCCTTCATTTTTGGGGTGAGATCATCAGCCAGACCCAAAGCCCCCCCTAAATTGGTTGAGAAGCACTCTATGAGACAGTTCAGCACTCGGGCATTTACTAATGACGTGCTTCACTCGGATATTGACAAGGTCTGTGATATCCCCAACCTGACTACAGCTTGGGAGACCTTCAGGTACAAGTTTCTCCAAATTCTTAACAAACATGCTCCGTTGGTTAGATTTAAAACTAAAGGCAACCGCCCACCATGGTTTGATCCTTTGATTACAAAGCTCATGAAAACTAGGGACAAGGCTTGGGCATGTGCTCAGAAAAGTAATTTGGTCAATGACTGGCTAGAATACAGGATTTTAAGGAATAGATGTGTCAAAAAAATATGGCATGCAAAAAATGCCTACTTTTCCTCCACTCTCCTGGAATCACATGGAAATGCCAGGATTTTCTGGAAAACTATCAAATGTATCGAAAAGGCATCCAAAACAGACAATCTGCCCGTTGAGCTTAACCAAAATGGGGAATATTTTTCAGATCCCAAAAAAATAGTTGACAATTTTAACCTTCATTTTTCTGAAGCTGGTAATCTTTTTGATAATTTATTGGGAGTCACCCCTGCTCATGCAAATTCCTACACCCCTGTCCAAACATGAAACGAATTTAGTTTCCATCCAATCCACGAAAGTAATGTTCTGAAACAACTGTCCTACCTCAAAAGGTCCTCCTCTACCGGAGCAGATAGTTCTCCCGTCTTTGCTCTAATAACTGTTGGTCACCTAATATACAAACCTATAGCCCATATTTTTAACCTGTCCATCAAAGAAGCATCAGTTCCTCTAGAATGGAAACATTCCTATGTCCGTCCACTTCACAAAGGGGGCCCTAAAGATGATCCAAATAACTACCGATCTATCTCAATTTTGTCCCCGTTGATGAAAATTTTTGAAACATTTTTGACCTACCAAATTAGCAGTTTCCTGTCCACCAACAATCTACTACATCTAAAACAATCTGTGTTCCGAAAAAAATACAGCACCACATCTGCTGCATTAGACTCTCTAAATCACATTTACAGTAGCCTTGATAATAAGCAGTACTGTCCCTGTCTTTTTCTAGACCTGTCCAAGGCTTTTGATACAGTAGACCACAACACCCTGCTTAGTAAACTAAGTAGCCTCGGTTTTCCTGAAAACACAGTAAAATGGTTACAAAATTACCTCTTTTCTCGCACCCAAACTGTATTCACAGATGGTTGGAGGTCAAACAGTGTTAAGATAACAAAAGGGGTTCCACAGGGTTCCATCCTCGGTCCCCCTTTTGTTCTCTCTTTATGTCAATGACTTGGGCACTGACCTGGGTCATTCCAGGGTAAATCTTTTTGCAGAAGATACGATACTGATTACTGCTGGCCGCTCTCCGGATGACGTGATTGCTAAGCTACAGGGTGATTTCAACAAACTACAACATCAGCTAGTTGCTCTTAAACTAGTCCTGAAAACCTCCAAAACCAAGGTGCTATGCTTCTCACCAGGACTAAAGCAGGAAGTTATTTTTCCCCAATTACATTCCTTAAATAATGATCAAATAGAGCAAGCCAAGATCTATAAGTATCTTGGGGTCATCCTGGATTCAAAACTGAATTTTGAAGATCACATTGATTATATTGGCAAAAAGACAAAAATAAAAATTGGTTTTCTGTATCGACACAAGCACTGCCTACCCCCAATGTTCCGTTTGGAATTGATAAAAGCTACCATACTGCCTCTACTTTACTACTGTGACATCGTGTATAAATCAGCCCCAAGTACTGTACTGAAGAAGCCTGATTCCATCTATCACTTGGTCTTAAGATTTACATTTAACTGCCCATATAGGACTCACCACTGTGATCTCTACATTGGGTCAAACTTAACATCTCTTAATGTTCGACGGCTTGTGCACCAGATCTTATTTATTCACGATGTACTTACAAAAAAATCCACAGACGACCTGCTGGATCTCCTCTGTTTCAAAGAACAAATTTGACCTCAGGTCTTCGCTCATTTACCAGCTTCACATTCCCTATTGCCGTACAAAAACTGGAGGAAGGGCCTTTGCTATTGATGCCCCCAGGGTCTGGAATGCTATTGCCAATAAACTGCAACTTGAATCGCTACCAATGAGATCTTCTCTCAAAACTGCTCTAGAGGAGTTGTACACCCCTAGCTGCCACTGCTATTCATTGGCGTAAAATAAAATAAAATGTTTCGCTCCGAATGACGCTGCAAAGTATTACCTGTATTTTGATTTAGCGTGCTGATCTCAAAGGTGCATTGAAAAATTTGATACTCCGACTGATGCTTCTGTTGTTGTGGAGTAACTCATGCAGCCAGCTATGGCTCTAGGATTTGGTGTTACATGTTATTTATGTAGTTTATTGTAAAAATTCGGTCATACTGTTATGTTGCAATTATGGCTTTATTTTTTTATTTCGAAAACGTTTTTTGGTTTGGACATGTTTGTTTTGTTGTAGTACGGAGTTGATGGCCTTAATCTAAGTTTTCTTATGGTTGTTGTTGTTTGACTTGAATCCCACTGGGATTTTTTGAACCCAGTGTTGATGTACGGTGCTTTTTTCAGGAATATTTTGCTGTTATTTTTCATGGATTTTCTGTTTGCACAGTCACAAAGTCACTTTAAGATGTTTTCTGGTTCGTGTTTTTTGTTTTTTTTTGTTTTTTTTGTTTGGTGTGGTTGCACCCGATTCAAAAGCCGAATGGCTCACAGGGCTATACCAAAAAATATATATGTAAAAAAGTGGCGATGTTTGCACACCACACCAGGACCTGGGGGAGGCTCAAGACCGGTTCAGATAATCGCCACTGGTGTTGGCCGTGAGCGGGAATCGAACTTGGGTCCGTTGGTATTGTTGTAATTTTCTAACCTGTGCCTTCTGGATATGTGAAAAAGAGGTTCACAGCTCATCAGATTGCTCCAGTCTAAAAAATATTTTGATTACGATGATTCTGTAGCACAGTGCACCAACCGCCATACTACAGCTCCCCATATACAGACTGTTGGGGCAAGTGCCGTTAGCGAGGCCGGCAATGCACACGCGGGGGTGGGTGGCCAGCATCACGGCCATACATCCCCATGTATCCACGCAGCTTCACTAACCGATGGTGACGCTCACCTGGTGAGGAGCGGCTTCCACACCGGGTTTTTGAGGCAGACGCTCACGCCGCTCTCCTCCGGAAACGCGCTCTTCTCTATCACCTGTGAGTGTTTTCACGCGCACGCACGCACGCACGCAAACGCACGCACGCACGCACGCAAGCACACACACGTACACATGTAAAACCACGTTCGCACGCACCACAAACAAACAAGACAAAGATTCTCCGTACAGACTGAACAGACTGGCGGGGCAAGTGCTGTTCGTGATCACCTATGAAGGCCGGCACGGAACACGGAGGGGGTAGATGGCCAACACCACGCCCGGCCGCTTTGTCTCCCCAGTGGGGATGTTTACTACACACCGCACCGGGCACTCATCTGAGGCCCATAATCGTCACTGGCGCTCGCCATTAGCGGGAATCGAACTCGGGTGGCGGGGTTCGAAAGGTAGCGCGCTACCCGCTGCACTACCGCTCCTCGCACACACACAGGCCCGCACACAAGCCCGCACACGCGGGCCCACACGCCCACACACCCGATACTACGGCATCGAGTCCCAGAAGCCACCCTCCCCCGGCCCCGCCCCCCCCCCCGGTACCAGCCCCCCGCGATCGGCGAGCGCCGTACCCGGCCGACGATGCCGTGCCTCAGCAGCGCGCCGTGGACCTCGGCGGAGAGGCACAGCGGCGAGAGCGGCGCCTCGCCCGTCTCCTCCTCGCCGTCCATGCACGCCGCCTCCTCGCTGCCGTCGTTGCTTCCCGCCTCCTCCCACTCCTCCTCCTCCTCGTCGTCCGGCCCGTCTGGCATCGCGAGACACACACACACACAGCGGATGGAGAGGCGCAAGCGAACCCGCCGTCCCCTCCACCGCGCCCCGCTCGGTGCCGGCGCCAACGCGGGCGGCCGGCGCGGAGCCGAGCCGGCGCTCCCGAAGTCGGCGAGCCGGCGGCGCGCCGAGAGCCTGGGTTCGAATCCGGGTTTCGGCCCGCGGCCCGTGGTTAATGCGGCTTCTCGAATGTGTCGCGGGGGAGTTGATGGACTCAAGAAAACAATTACATTGCCAAAGCGTTTGTTTAAAGGTTGGACTGGCAGGTGCGGAACGTCTCCCAACACGGCAGGGTTTGCGGAGAAATGCGGCGCAAAACCTCCTAGCGAGCGGATCAAGAGGTCTCAGAGGTAGCTGCGATATCAACTTCCACGGCCTGTTCTCCAGCTACGGAGGTCATGCGGCACACACTGCAAGGTTTCTGAACGGGCGCTGCGTCTCGTGACATGACGCCACCAGCCGCCCCCCCCCCCCCCACCGCACACCCCCGCAAGGCCGCGCACCATCGCTGCAGCACATGTTGACGAGGATCTCCAGCGCAGTCTGCTGCGCCGACAGCAGCGCCATGGCCTCCACCAGCGCCGCCTCGCTCGGCTGCTCGCACAGGCGCACGCACGCAAAGGCGCGCACACCCACACGCAGACACGCACACAGGGACGCACACGTACACACGCACAAACCGCACACACACAAGAGACGCACGCGCAGGGACACGCGCGCACACAGAGACGCACACGTACACACGCATAGTCACGGACACCGTCAATTGAAGCGACCCGATCGTGCAGGACCTATCATGGCCAAGTTTTGACTCCCAAGGCTATTTGCGGGGCGAATATATTCCCCGTGTTATCGGACGCAGCTTTTGTCCCCCGTACCGAGTTTTCGAGAAACGAATGCGGGTGCACGGAGCGTTGAGAGCGTGTGTGACGAGATCTATTGACGCCGGGCACAAGGCTGAGAAACATCATCATCATCATCATGCGGAGACTGTCAGGGCCCGGCTGAGGCCACCGAGTCACCGTGAGGCCCGGCAGGGCAGGCCACATCGCAATCGGACTCAAGCCTGCAGGTACATTATTTGGCAAACCGATCAGGAACACGGCGAAGGTGTGGAGGTGTGGACGCGGCGCGAGCGGCGGGCGCCAGCGCGAGGGAGGCACCGGCAAGAGGTCGGAGAGGTCATCGCCGCTGCTCGGAGGACTTCCATCCCCGGTGGCCGCGCTCGGCTCGGCCTCCATGTCAGCCTCATCCTCCTCCACCTCCTCGTCCTCCTCACCACCGCCGTTCTCCTCCTTCTGCTCCTCTTCACCACCTCCACCACATCCACCGCCACCTCCACCGGCCTTCCCCTCATCACCTTCGTTCTCCTCGTTGGCCCGGTCCACCACCTCGCCGCAATTCTTCTTCTTTGAGTGTCTCTTCGCTTGCGCCGGTGCCTGTCGGCGGCAATCAGGAGACCCGCGACTCTCAGCAGCACCACTCTCACTCACGAAGGACGCACACGCAGGCGCAGTGGAGACACAGAGACACGCGGCGCAGAGACACAGAGACACACACAGAGACACAGAGACACACGCAGAGACACACGCAGAGACACACGCAGAGACACAGAGACACACGCAGAGACACAGAGACACACGCAGAGACACAGAGACACACGCAGAGACACACGCAGAGACACACGCAGAGACACAGAGACAAACGCAGAGACACACGTAGAGACACACGACACAGAGACACGCGGCACAGAGACACACGGCGCAGAGACACATCGACACACGCAGAGACACACGCAGAGACACACGCAGAGACACACGCAGGCACAGTGGAGACGCAGAGACACGCGGCGCAGAGACAAAGTGGAGACACAGAGGCACAGGGACATGTGCAGACACAAGGACAGAGACACGCACAGGCAGGCGAGAGCACGACGCTGGATGCACTGCAGCCTGCACAGAGACACACGCAGAGACACAGAGACACACGCAGAGACACAGAGACACACGCAGAGACACAGAGACACACGCAGAGACACAGAGACACAAAGACACACGCAGAGACACACGCAGAGACACAGAGACACACGTAGAGCACAAAGACCCCCCCGTGCAGCCTGAACAGACTTTTGGGACAAGTGCCCTTAGCGAGCACCGATGAAGGCCGGCACGGCACACGAGGAAGTGGGAGGCCAGCACCACGCCGGGACGGCTTTGTCTGCTCGGTGACGACGTTTACACAGCTACACCGGGCACTCGTTTGAGGCCGAGTCGACCTAGGCGAGGCCCAGGACCGGTTTCAGATAATCGTCACCGGTGTCGGTAACGCCGTGAGCAGGAATCCAACTGGGGTCGCCGGGTTCGTAGCGCGGCGTAGCGCTCACCGGCTCGCTGGCTCGGCACATTTCCATTCTTCACCTCCCGCCGCGACACGATGACCCGTGTCGCGATTCAGGGGCGCGCGGTCGAGTCACGATTACAACCGTCAACTCCGCGGCTCTCGCGGGAGTGAACGGGGTGCAAGGCGGTCGCAGGTCGCGGGTCGCGCCACTCACTGGGTTGCGAGCGGCGCCGCCGCCGCCGCCGCCGCCATTCGTCCGGCCTTTACGCCGGCGCTCGCCGGCGCCGGACGCTTCGGGGGGCGGCGGTGCCGGCGGGGCCTCCAGGGCAGCGAGCGCCGGGCGCGCGTCCAGCGCCAGCGCGTCGCTCAGCGCGCTCGCAACGGCGCTCAGCGCCTGGGCCAGGCTGGCGCCGGGGATGGCGCTCTTCACGTTCCACAGGAAGCCTGCATCACGGGCGCACGGAGACAAAGAGCCCCCGTGTAGCCTTGAACAGACTGTCGGGGCAAGTGCTGCAAGCGAGTAGCACCTGTGAAGGGTGTGGGTGTGCAGGGAGTGAGTGTGCAGGGAGTGAGTGTGCAGGGAGTGAGTGTGCAGGGAGTGGGTGTGCAGGGAGTGAGTGTGCAGGGTGTGAGAGTGCAGCGAGTGAGTGTGCAGGGAGTGAGTGTGCAGGGTGTGGGTGTGCAGGGTGCGGGCGTGAGTGTGCAGGTGTGCAAGGAGTGAGTGTGCAGGGTGTGAGTGTGCAGGGAGTGTGAGTGTGCAGGGTGTGAGTGTGCAGGGTGCGAGAGTGCAGGGTGCGAGTGTGCAGGGAGTGTGAGCGTGCAGGGTGTGGGTGTGCAGGGTGTGCAGGGTGTGAGTGTGCAGGGTGTGAGCGTGCAGGGTGTGAGTGTGCAGGGAGTGAGTGTGCAGGGAGTGAGTGTGCAGGGTGTGCGTGTGCAGGGAGTGAGTGTGCAGGGTGTGAGTGTGCAGGGAGTGAGTGTGCAGGGTGTGAGTGTGCAGGGTGTGAGTGTGCAGGGTGCGGGTGTGCAGGGTGCGAGTGTGCAGGGTGTGAGTGTGCAGGGTGTGAGTGTGCAGGGTGTGAGTGTGCAGGGTGCGGGCGTGAGTGTGCAGGGTGTGAGTGTGCAGGGTGCGGGTGTGCAGGGTGTGGGTGTGCAGGGTGTGAGTGTGCAGGGTGTGAGTGTGCAGGGTGTGAGTGTGCAGGGTGTGGGTGTGCAGTGTGTGAGTGTGCAGGGTGCGGGCGTGAGTGTGCAGGCGTGCAGGGTGCGAGCGTGCAGAGAGTGTGCGTGCAGGGTGTGCAGGGTGTGTGCAGTCACCCGCTACGAGTGTCCGCAGCAGGCTACGCTGGGCGCCGGCGCTGCCGTTGTCCACGCCAGCAGGAGGCAGCAGCAGCAGCGCCGGCTCCAGCGCGGCGAGCGCCGGCGCCGTGAGGCTGCCCGCCAGGTCCACGTTGTCCTCCGCCACCGTCTGCAGGCACTGAGCTACGGGGGCGGGCGGCGGGGGGAAAGGGCGGTCACTCTCAGCACCACCATCGCCATCAGCACCATCGTCAGCACCACCATAGTCGTCAACAACACCGTCATCAGCACCGCCGCCATCAGCACCACCATATTCATCAGCAGCGCCACCGCCATCAGCAACACCGTTATCAGCACCACCGCCAACAGCACCACTGTCATCAGCACCATCGTCAACACCACCATAGTCATCAGCACCACCGCCATCAGCACCACCATATTCATCAGCAGCGCCACCGCCATCAGCAACACCGTCATCAGCACCACCGCCAACAGCACCACTGTCATCAGCACCATCGTCAACACCACCATAGTCATCAACAACACCGCCATCAGCACCACCATCTTCATCAGCAGCGCCACCGCCATCAGCAACACCGTCATCAGCACCACCGTCGTCATCAGCACCACCATCAGCACCGCCGTCGTCATCAGCAGCACCGTCGTCATCAGCACCACCATCGTCATCAGCACCACCATCAGCACCACCACCATCAGCACCACCACCATCAGCACCACCACCATCAGCACCAACATGGTCATCAGCACCACCACCATCAGCACCACCATCGTCATCAGCACCACCACCATCACAGCACCACCACCATCACAGCACCACCGTCGTCATCAGCACCATCATCATCATCATCAGCACCACCATCGATAATTAACAATAATAATATAATCATTATGATTAACAGAGCATGTTTGATATTGTCGCTATCATTCTTACAACGCAAGGCTATCAAGAAGGAAGGCACTGTTTCACAGACACTGTCCGCAGTAAATTTTGATTTACAGGGGAGCGATGTTGCTACGTCTCCTCCTAATTGAGTAATTTTGCCGTGTTATTTTTCGAATATGCCAAATTTGGACCACGATGGCCTCCTCTTATCGAATGACATCACGGTGATCTATAATCTCCGCTGTGAAGCTGATAGCGAGTGTGTTTTTACGTTCAATACCACGCAACCACTGCAGTATTAACCAGGGCGGCCTGCCGCATTCGAACCGCGGACCTCTGCAACAAGCGGCGAGCACGCTACCACTGGGCCCCCGTCAACACCCAGCGCCATCAGCGGCAGAGCCATCTGATGGCGCTGCTAATCTTTATTTCATGCGGCTGTGAAGAGCAACTATTAGAGACTCAGTTGTGATGTGGCCATTCAATTGTTTTGTCTGAGAGTTGGTGAATTGCTGATCCAGCCAGCCACTCACCCACCCAGCCAGCCACTCACCCAGCCAGCCACTCACCCAGCCAGCCACTCACCCAGCCAGCCACTCACCCAGCCAGCCACTCACCCAGCCAGCCACTAACCCAGCCAGCCACTCACCCAGCCAGCCACTCACCTACCCAGCCACTAACCCAGCCAGCCACTCACCCACCCAGCCACTTGCCCACCCAGCCACTCGCTGGGTGGGCGAGTGGCTGGGTGGGCGAGTGGGGTCACAGGGCTCACACACCAGCCACACAGCCACCCGTGTATATTTGGCGCGCGGTTTGCAGCCGAAGCGCTAATGGTGCCAATACATGGTGCCATCCCCACCACATGGAGATGTGTGTGTGTACGTGTGTGTATGTGTGTACATGTGTGTACGTATGTGTGTATGTGTACGTGTGTGTACATGTGTACATGTGTGTACATGTGTACATGTGTGTACATGTGTGTGTACGTGTGTTTGTGTGTATGTGTGTGTATGTGTGTGTAAGTGTACGTGTACGTGTGTACGTGTGTGTGTGTGTACGTGTGTGTGTGTGTACGTGTGTGTGTACGTGTGTGTGTGTGTGCGCGTGCGTGTGCGTACATGTGTGTGTACGTGTGTGTGTGTGTAGGTGCGTGTGAATGCGACAGTGGAGCGGTTAGCGAGCCACACTACAACAACACCAGCGACAATTATCTGAACCGGTCCAGGGCCACCCCTAGGTCGACTCAGCTTCAAATGAGTACCTGGTGCGATGTGTAAACATCGCCACTAGGGAGACAAAGCGCTCGGACGTGGTTGCTGGTCACCCACCCCCCCACCCCCTTCGTGTGCCGTTCCAGCCTTCAATAGGTGCTACACGCTAACAACACATGCCCGAACAGCCTGTCAAAGGCAATACGGGGGATCTGTGTGTTTGTAGTGTGCGTGTGTGTGTGCGTGTGTGCGTGTGCGCGTGAAGGCAGCACCTGCAGCGATGGCGAGAGGCAGGTGCTGCTGGTGCCGTCTCACAAACTGCAGCAGCGGCGGCAGCAACGCCTCCTTGTTGAACACAGAGACGGCACGAGCGCTGCTCTCGCTGCACGCACCGTGTACCCACGCACACACACAGTGTACACACACACAGTGTACACACACAGTGTACACACACAGTGTACACACACAGCCTACACACACAGTGTACACACACACAGTGTACACACACACAGTGTACACACACACAGTGTACACACACACAGTGTACACACACAGTGTACACACACACAGTGTACACACACACAGTGTACACACACACAGTGTACACACACACAGTGTACACACACACAGTGTACACACACACAGTGTACACACACAGTGTACACACACAGTGTACACACACACAGTGTACACACACACAGTGTACACACACAGTGTACACACACACAGTGTACACACACACAGTGTACACACACAGTGTACACACACAGTGTACACACACACAGCCTACACACACACACAGTGTACACACACAGTGTACACACACAGCGTACACACACACAGTGTACACACACACAGTGTACACACACACAGTGTACACACACAGTGTACACACACACAGCCTACACACACACACAGTGTACACACACACAGTGTACACACACACAGTGTACACACACACAGTGTACACACACAGTGTACACACACAGTGTACACACACAGCCTACACACACACACAGCCTACACACACACACACTGCACGCACCGTGTACCCACGCACACACACAGTGTACACACACACAGTGTACACACACAGTGTACACACACACAGTGTACACACACAGTGTACACACACAGCCTACACACACACACAGTGTACACACACAGTGTACACACACAGTGTACACACACAGTGTACACACACACAGCCTACACACACACACAGTGTACACACACAGTGTACACACACAGTGTACACACACACAGTGTACACACACAGCCTACACACACACAGCCTACACACACACACAGTGTACACACACAGTGTACACACACAGTGTACACACACACACAGTGTACACACACAGCCTACACACACACAGCCTACACACACACACAGTGTACACACACAGTGTACACACACAGCCTACACACACACAGTGTACACACACAGCCTACACACACACACAGCCTACACACACACACACAGTGTACACACACACAGTGTACACACACAGCCTACACACACACACACAGCCTACACACACACACAGTGTACACACACACAGTGTACACACACACAGTGTACACACACAGTGTACACACACAGCCTACACACACACACAGTGTACACACACAGCCTACACACACAGTGTACACACACAGCCTACACACACACAGCCTACACACACACACAGTGTACACACACAGCCTACACACACACACAGTGTACACACACAGCCTACACACACACAGCCTACACACACACACAGTGTACACACACAGCCTACACACACACAGCCTACACACACACACAGTGTACACACACAGTGTACACACACAGCCTACACACACACAGCCTACACACACACACACTGCACGCACCGTGTACCCACACACACACACAGTGTACACACACAGCCTACACACACACACACAGTGTACACACAGCCTACACACACACACATCGTACACACACACACAGTGTACACACACACACACAGTGTACACACACACTACACGCACCGTGTACCCACGCACACACACAGTGTACCCACAGCTCACCGCACGAACCACACACCTCACCGCATGCACCACACCCTCACCGCACGCACCACACCCTCACCGCACGCACCACACCCTCACCGCACGCACCACACCCTCACCGCACGCACCACACCCTCACCGCACGCACCACACCCTCACCGCACGCACCACACCCTCACCGCACGCACCACACCCTCACCGCATGCACCACACCCTCACCACAGGTTGAGCAGGAGGTGGACGGCCTCCACGGCGACGTCTCCGGGCAGTCCGGCGCCACCGCCACCGCCGCTCCTCCCCTTGGGCTGCGCGTCCCCGGCAGAGTCCAGGACGGCGGCACACTGCGGTCGCACGGCAGCGCGCCGGCGGGGAACCAAAAACGTCGGAGGGGATCACCGCAGGTCGACAACGCACCGGCAGAGGTCGTATTACCGGGAGCGACACGGGAGGTCACAGCAGCTACACGTGAGGTCACAGCAGCTACACGGGAGGTCACAGCAGCTACACGGGGGTCACAGCAGCGACACGGGAGGTCACAGCAACTACACGGGAGGTCACAGCAGCGACACGGGAGGTCACAGCAGCAACATGGGAGGTCACAGCAGCTACACGGGGGTCACAGCAGCTACACAGGGGTCACAGCAGCGACACGGGAGGTCACAGCAGCAACACGGGAGGTCACAGCAGCTACACGGGAGGTCACAGCAGCGACACGGGAGGTCACAACAGCTACACGGGAGGTCACAGCAGCTACACGGGAGGTCACAACAGCTACACGGGAGGTCACAGCAGCTACACGGGAGGTCACAGCAGCTACACGGGAGGTCACAGCAGCGACACGGGAGGTCACAACAGCGACACGGGAGGTCACAACAGCTACACGAGAGGTCACAGCAGCTACACGGGAGGTCACAGCAGCGACACGGGAGGTCACAGCAGCTACACGGGAGGTCACAGCAGCGACACGGGAGGTCACAACAGCTACACGGGAGGTCACAGCAGCTACACGGGAGGTCACAGCAGCGACACGGGAGGTCACAGCAGCTACACGGGAGGTCACAGCAGCTACACGGGAGGTCACAGAGGCGACACGGGAGGTCACAGCAGCTACACGGGAGGTCACAGCAGCTACACGGGAGGTCACAGCAGCGACACGGGAGGTCACAGCAGCTACACGGGAGGTCACAGAGGCGACACGGGAGGTCACAGCAGCTACACGGGAGGTCACAGCGGCTACACGGGAGGTCACAGCAGCTACACGGGAGGTCACAGCAGCTACACGGAGGTCACAGCAGTAACACGGGGGTCACAGCAGCTACACGGAGGTCACAGCAGCTACACGGGAGGTCACAGCAGCTACACGGGGGTCACAGCAGCTACACAGGGGTCACATCAGCTACACGGGAGGTCACAGCAGCTACACGGGAGGTCACAGCAGCAACACGGGAGGTCACAGCAGCTACACGGGAGGTCACAGCAGCTACACGGGAGGTCACAGAGGCGACACGGGAGGTCACAGCAGCGACACGGGAGGTCACAGGGCTCACACACAGCACTGGCTGGGGAGCGGAGGGGGTGCCGCGGGTCCTTGCCTCTCTGAGCAGCGCGACGAGCGGCGTCATGATGTCGCTGGCGACCATGTCCTCGCACGCGTCCGGCCCACCCGCCACGCTCATGTTCCTGCTCTCGGCAGGCAACGGCAGACAGAGGGTTCAAATTAGCGGTGGTAGGCATCGCGATGGAGGCACAGCCCCCTCTACGGCCAGGCTGATGCCCACTCGCCGGCCGGTGACAGGTTCCGCCTTGCACCGCCACGTAGGGGCGGCTGCCACCAGGGATATCCCTACCACACTCCAGATGTGCCGCACGGAGAGGCAACGATGACGATGATGTTCGTATTGGGGTAGCGTCGCCGTCACCGCCATCACCTGAGAGCTCCAGCCGCGGTCTCGCGCACGGAGGCCGCGGGGTCGAGCAGCAGCGGTCCCAGGAGGCGCACGGCGCCGCGGCCGAGCAGCGCGGGCACCGTGCGGGCGCCCAGGGCCAGGCGGGAGAGGCTGGCGCATGCACACTCCCGCGCGTCCGCAGAGCCCGACTGCAGCTGTACAAAGACAAAGAATCACCCGCGTAGCCTTTTTAAACGTACCATCTGTGAAGGCCGGCACGGCACACGAGGGGGTGGGTGGCCGGCACCACGCCCGGCCGCCTTTGTCTCCCCAGTGGCGATGTTTACGTATGGCAACAGGTTCTCGTTTGAGGCCGAGTCGGCACAGCGGAGGCCCGTGACCCGTTCAGATAGAATCGTCACTGGTGTTGGCCTCGGGCGGGAATCGAACTCGGGTCGCCGGGTTTGAAGCGCAGCGCATTAACCGCAGCTGTGCGCACACACGCACACTCACACACGCACACTCACGCACTCACACACACGCACTCACACACACACTCACACGCACTCACACACACTCACGCACACTCACACACGCGCACACGCACACTCGCACACGCACCCTCGCACACTCACACACGCACACTCACACACGCACACTCGCACACTCACACACGCACACTCACACACTCACGCGCACACTCACGCGCACACTCACGCACTCACACACACTCACACGCACACTCACGCAATCACACACGCACGCGGGGGGGGGGGGCACGGGGTAAGGGTGAGGATCAAGCGAGTAGGGGGCAGGGTAAAAAAGTAGTGTATAGCGGTATGCAACATGGTACAAGGTCTGGGGACAGCCTGCGTTAAAGGCTGTCGTGCATGTAGGATCTGTTTTGGAGATGGGGTTTAGAGATGAGGGTCCTTATATGGGATATGATGAATCCTCATTACACCCTCACACCACCGTGCCCCCACGTGCACCTCCACCGTGCCCCCACGCGCACCTCCACCCCGCGCCGCCAGCCTCACCGTCTCCAGCAGAGTCTCGACGGGGCAGATTTCCTCCTCGCACTCCGTCTCCACCTCGGGCTCCGCGCTCAGCCCCGCGGGACCGCAGAGAGGGTGAGGCCGCCTGAAGCGGCGCGGCTGTCGGCTCTTGCCCATGGCGAGCAGGGGATAGGGGGGGTGGTGCTCGGTGGGACAAGCGCAGCAGCAGGCGAGCCACAACACACGCAGCTGCACAACTTGCAGGCGCTCTCAGCCGCAGGCGCGGGGCACCGGTAACACAAACAAGCCGCAAGCTACACCACAACACGTTACAAGCACGTTCGAACAGCAGGTTAACAAGCAGTCGCGTCCACAGTCACAACAAGCACAGTCAAACCACGGCTACAACCACCACAACGACAACAACCACCACCACAGCCACCACCACCACCACAGCCTCGGCTAAAGTGAGGGACCCGAATCTCGTGGCGCGGCGCACGTGGGGGCCGCCATGCGCTGCGCTTGGGTGGCGAATCGATAGCGATTCCGATTCACCGTCCGCGCAAACAGCAGAGAATCGATTCCCATGCGCCACTGCAACTGTGACACGCACGTTGCTGTTAAACAAATAAACCCGAGCCGAGCACTGCAACGGCGCTTTTAGTTTCACGGATTATCGCACGCGGGCGCGGTTACCGTCGCCCGCCGCTGCGCTCGGGGTTTTGTTTCAGAACGAGCCGACGGAATCGATTTCCCTCACCGCGCTCTTCGAAAGTTACCGGAAAATGGAATCGGTGGGGTTAAAGGGCGGCAGCCATCTTACGTGGGGACATCCGCTCTGAACAACGACGGCGAGTTTCCAGTTATAAGTTTTAACTTTCCTGACGGAGCTCACAGACGTTTGAGCGAAACGTCGTCCTTAACGTTGATGTAAACTAAAAAAAATGCTGTTCCCCTTTTGGCGTTGTTTCTCTGGTCTGACACTGGTGAGACTCGGCCATCAGGAAGGATGCTTTTGTCCTCTGGTGTAAGCCAATGCGTAAATATTATCAGAGCATTTCTAGATTTAAAGCTTTCGTGACTGCTAGGATCCATACTCTTTGGTTCTATTGGGTAAAGTCACGTAGGTGAAAATAAAATAACAAAAAATCACGACGTTTCGGCCACAACACAAGCGGCCTTCATCAGGTGAAGGGACGAGACTGTCTGGAGGACAGCGCTGGAGTGGAAGAAGCCACGCTTAGATCACGACCTTTAAGCTGTGTGAGTAGAAAAACACCAAGCGCCTTGACAAAGGAATTAGCATAGAATTTAGCATTGAAATGGCTCATTGAATACTTTAACTTAGCTATTTCAATGAGCCATTTCAATGCTAAATTTTATGCTAATTCCTTTGTCAAGGCGCTTTGTTTTCTTCTCACACAGCTTAAAGGTCGTGATCTAAGCGTGGCTCTTCTCACACAGCTTAAAGGTCGTGATCTAAGCGTGGCTTTTTTTCACTCCAGCGCTGTCCTACCAGACAGTCTCGTCCCTTCACCTGATGAAGGCCGCTTGTGTTGTGGCCGAAACGTCGTGATTTTTTGTTATTTTATTTTCACCTACGTGACTTTACCCAATAGAACTAAAGAGTATTATCAGAGCATGTTTGTTTGCATGTTCACCAAAGGTACTGTGTGTGTAGTTAACACAGGCACGATTCCTTGCAAAAAGTATATTTTTGGTGTTTGAACATCTTTAACACAAATGTAATTTTTTTTCTTTCTCTGAAAGGATAAAAAAACCCATTCTTATTTTTCAGAAATGAATATGCGAGTGCGGAAAACAAAAACATGTTTGGGGTTAAGAGTGGAACCACCCTGTTACAGTACAATACTGTATCGCCAAGTAGGCTTCCCTTACCAACATGGCCGCCTTAGGCGCTCGTCTCTGCGCGCGCCTGCACCACGTGACGGGGGCAGGGGGCGCGCCACGTGGCCGAGCTCCGAGCCCCCCTTCATGCGAGCCCCCAACATGCAAAAGTTGTCAACCCCTTATCAGTGCCCTACTTTATTACAGACCAATTCAGACCTTACTGGTCACCCCGTGCCCCTTAAAAATCTCAACGTTCATCCTACAAAGTCCCATCACAAGGGAGAAACACAACACAAATAGGCAACATTTTTGTTGTCTGCCCGCGTTGAAACGGCTGTTACGCCGTATGGACCTGAAAACTCAATTTCCCTGTGCAATAATAAGTGGTTGTTGCACCGTATGTGGGTTGACACGGTGTGCGGATGCAGGAACCCCCCCTAGACTCACACGGGGCTGTGGTTCATAGAGAGAGAGATTGTCGTGTGAGTGTTTTCAGTGTCGGGCTGAAGTGCACGTGGCACGTGGATTAGAGAAGGGACACAGCCGGGCACGGTTTGTCCACTAGGGGGCGTCGCACCAAGCAGATGGAGATGAGAAATTCTATTCTTGGTTCATTCGTAAAAAAAATCACGTAAATCGAAAATAAAAATAATAGCATTTAATTAAAATTCAATGTAAAAGCAAAAAAAACCCACGTTTTTCGATCGCAACACAAGCGGTCTTCATCAGGCGGATGAAGACCATAATGAGAAATTATGTTTCTAATCAAAAATTTATTTTATTTTTCTATCTACGTGGCTTTACCGAAAGACCCATAGAATATTTATTCCTGCAGTCACGAAAGCTTTAAGTCAAAATTATGTTTCTAATTAAAAAAAATACTCTTCTATAAATTGTTTTGTTGTGTTTAAAACAATTAAAATATAATGATGGCTTTCAACGTGAATTGCCTGATGAAGATAACATTTTAAGGCGTTTATATTCGGAACCGCGACTGCAACGCCGCGGTCTTGATTTGTGCCTCGTGGAGGTCTCGGGGTGGCTGTGAAGGCGTCCTCCCAGTGAGTGATTCCACTTGTTTACGTTGCGATTGGCAGCTCAGCAGACTACCTGCTGGATCTCCTCTCTGTTTCAAAGAACAAATTTGACCTCGGGTCTTCGCTCATTTACCGGCTTCACATTCCCTATTGCCGTACAGAAACTGGAGGAAGGGCCTTTGCTATTGATGCCCCTAGGGTCTGGAATGCTATTGCCAATAAACTGCAACTTGAATCGCTACCAATGAGATCTTCTCTCAAAACTGCTCTTGAGGAGTTGTACACACCTAGCTGCCACTGCTATTCATTGGCGTAAAATAAAATAAAATGTTTCGTTCCGGATGACGCAGCAAAGTATTATCTGTATTTTCATTTAGCGTGCTGATCTTAAAGGTGCATTGAAAAATGTGATACTCCAACCGATGCTTGTGTTTTTGCGGAGTAACTCATGCAGCCAGCTATGGCTCTAAGGTTTGGTGTTACATGTTATTTATGTAGTTTATTGTAAAAATTCGGTCACAGTCCCTGTGATCACTGTTACGTTGCAATTGTCTTTATTTTTTGATTTCGAAAACGTTTTTTGGTTTGGACATGTTTGTTTTGTTGTAGTACGGAGTTAGACTGATGGCCTTAATCTAAGTTGTCTTGTGGTTGTTGTTGTTTGACTTGCATCCCACTGGGATTTTTTGCACACAGCGTTGGTGTACGGTGCTTTTTTAAGGAATATTTTTGCTGTTTTTTTTCCATGGATTTTCTGTTTGCACATGCACATAGTCACTTTAAGATGTTTTTCTTGTTCGTGTTTGGTTTTTTTGTTTGTTGTGGTTGCACCCGATTCAAGAGCCGAATGGCTCACAGAGCTATACCAAAATAAACTGAACTGATCCCATTCAGGGCAGTGAAAAAGTCGCCCGTGGCTGTCATGAGAGACGATGTCACGACGCGTGGTTGCACCGTGCAAATACAGCAGCAGCTCACGGCTGTGGGCACGCTCTAGGCTTTAGCCCACCGGTGTGTTGAAGAGTGAATCCACAACATTTACAGTTTGAGTACGACGTTTCGCTGGTAATTACATCCAGCATCAACGGGCAATTCGCCCGATGATGTGAACACGATGGCCCAGGGCAGGAGTGCAGAAAGGGTGACCAAGACATAAAAACGGCAAGAGTGGTGGAGAGAAGAAGTGTTTGTGTCAAACACATAATAAACGTCTATAGCCAACCGTGCTAATCGGAGGTGCGGACACCGGTAGTGCAGCGTGACTGTAAACAGTTCAGCCAGAACTACGGATTAAAAACCAAAAACACAAGTTTTAAAGGCTTTTAATAAACGTAATGTACACAAACTAAAACAATTACTGCAACCGATTAAGGAATCATCTGTTAAAAGCATGGCTGTGTTTGTAGCAATGGCAGCGGAGGCGAGGGTGGCGACGGTTATGTACACGGTGTGCACATCGCACGCGGACGCCGCGCGTGGCCCCGCGCTCACCCTCGCGGCGCGAGCGCCGGCAACGGGCAACGGCGCCGCTCCCGGCATCGCCGCCGCTCCCGGCATCCCCGCCGCCGCCGCCCCCACGGACGCGACCTCACTCGCGCCACAAGCTGCGCCACGACGGGACAGCGTTGCCCACGCGATGCGCTACGAATAGCGACACAGTCCCCCCCCCCACCCCACAGGACGGCTCTCAAGTCCCAGGTGTGCGACTGTGAGGGTCAGCTCTCAAATTCACTTTTCCTTTTTTTTTTACAATAATTTTTGGATGCAAAAACGTAGCTCCTGCCTGCGTCGCACTATGGGGTTCATCGCCCCGCTGTGAATTTGGCACAGACGCCACCGACGTCACCGACGTCACCGACGTCACCGACGGCCAGCGGTGCGGCTAAGCACAAGTCCTCTGCCCGGCTTTCCTCGGGGCTTGGCAGGCGGGTTTGGCGGGTGGCCGAGAAGTGGGCCGCTCCCGGCGACACAGAGCGGTGGAGGCCTCTGCCACGGCGACGTGCTCCGAGCTGCCGAGTGCGGGGGGCCGATGGCGTGCCCGCAGGTCGCTCGCCGCCGGCCTTCACCCCCCCCCCCACCCCCCAGCGTCTCGCCGCCCTCACTGCGCCTGCGGTCGCGGCTTCAGGATCAGTTTCCCCGTCTGTGGCCAACACAACAGGTGGCAAAAATCGCACGGTCAACGTGGCCTGGTGCGGACTCTCCCATCACGGAGGCAATCGTGGAAAACGGCGAAAGAATTCGGCAGGTTCCCGGAAGGTGCGTGCGGAGCGCTCTGTACGTACGTCGTCACAGGACATGTTGTACTCGGCCAGCACAGTTCTACATCGTTCCGCTATTCTGCGGCCACACGTTAAAGAAAGGCAACGGAGAACCACGTGCTCTACTGCATCACGCATTCGTAATGCTGGAACAATGCCCTTCGCTCAACCCTTTGCCCCAGCCAAGGTCAAGGAAGAGTCGGGGCACAACGGAGAACGCAGCGGTGTGCGAGCGTCGACAGCTCGCCGGCAAAAATAAAACAACGCATCCGTACGCACACACACCACTGGCGGCCGACGCAACCCTCATTTGCCGAGCTCCACGCGTCTTACGGTGCGACGCAAGGTGCTGCATCGTGAAGCAACAACGTCGTGATTTAATACAACCCGGCCGAGCTCAATCCGACAAAACGACGAGAGCACGCTGCACGAAGCGGCTCCGCGAGCTGGCGGTGGGGGTTGGGTCGGGGAGGATACATGGAGGGTGCCACGACGCGCTTGTGGATGCCGGCGAGGAAAAGGCCGATGAGGACGATGCAGCTGACTGTGAAGAACGAGTGGTTCCACAGCGATACGAGGAACGCCACCTGGAGTGCAGACTCTGGCTTGTGACCGTGCAGGAGACCAAGCTGAAAAATCACAACTTTGTCGTCAAGTTAAACGGCCACCGCAGTACGCAGCGCGGCACCGGCCAGGCTGCAAAATCGGCCGAATTCGATTCAGACGGTGGCGCGAGAACGCCTGCAGCACCTGCTGCGTCTCGGGGTCCGTGATCCAGTTCCACGCGCCAGTGGCGGTGCACACAGACACCACGATGAGCACCACTGTGGGACAACACAGAGGAACACACACTCGGCGTGGGTTCATAAGGCGACGGCATCTCTCGACCGCTGCACGGAATAGTGGGACATGCACATTCTGCGAATCGCAGAAATGGGAGATATCTACGGTATATTGTCACGTGTACAATAAGACAATCTGGTGCACTACGACAGCAAATAAGATGCAGCTGTTATTTACAAACTCCTCTCACAATGCTGTACCCCAAGCACTAAAAGTAATGTCGCTTGCTGCATCATAAAATGACAAAGATATGTATTGTTAGGTTTTTTATATCCTCTGGGATTTAAATAATACAGGTAGTCCCCGAGTTACGATGGTCCCCGACTTACGATATTTCGATCTTGCGATGGCGATACGACAAAATTGTAAAATATTTAAAATTTCGCGCGGCAGGCAAACGCAGCAGCGTATTACGAGGTACGAGACTGTACGTTGGGACGCTGCCGGGATGTACCCGTCTCCCGCCTTGTGTGATGCAGATAGGATTTTTCCTGAAAAAAACTTTCTATTAAATTGCAGTTCATATAGGTAGGCCGAGAATTTACCTTGTTACTTTTACTTTACATTTTACTGTGCAATACAGTATTGCAATTAATAAATACAGTATATAGTTTATACAGTACAGTACTGTAAATTGCTCTGTTTTGCTAAATTATCACCATTCTTTAATACTCCTGGGTAGGCTAAGGCCATCTTCGACGTACGATATTTTTGATTTACGATGGGGGTCGTCGTAACCCATCTCCATCGTAAGTAGAGGACTACCCTGTATTGGCTAAAGAATTTGAGCAAATTTTAATTACCCATATCAGTGTTCGATAGCCATTCCTCCCACCTCTTCAGTGCCGCTATTTATTCTGAACTTCTACTGCTGTTTCAACTCAAGTCAATGTTTATTTGTTACACGGATAATCCCGTTTAGCCAGTTACCCAGCTAGTTTCGGTGGCAACGGCCCGCAGCAGCCACTAACAACAGTTACTGCTGGGGTGGAGATGAGCCCAGTCAGCAGCAAGCCAGCAAACTCGAGGCACAGATTATTTGTAATAATAATATGCTACAATGTGTATAACAATATATATTTTTTTTAACCTGTGGCATCAAAGACTTCATAGCGACGAGACAAGCAAAGGCAGGGGTGAAGAGGGAGGTCATGACCCTTCACTTGAGTAGGGACAGGGACCAAACAGCACAGATGGCTCAGGGGTTGGGGGAGTTCCAGACTATGAGGGCAGCAGAAGAGTGTCCTCTCATTCGGCAGAAGTTGACCGAGGGTTTCGGCAAAAGACTTTGGTTGCCGGAGCGGAGTGCGTGGGGCGGAGGGAAGCAGAGCGAGCTGAGAAGGGACAGGAAGAAGAGTGCGTGGAGGGCAGCAGAGTGAGATGAGAGAGGAGAGACAGGGGAGCACGTGGAAGAGAATAGAGCAACAACAAGTGGTAGGACAGTGCGTGGAGGGCAGTAGAGTGAGATGAGAGAGGAGAGACATGGGAGCACGTGGAAGAGAATAGAGCAACAACAAGTGGTAGGACAGTACGTGGAGGGGAGTCGAGTGAGAGGAGTATGGAGAGGTAGGGGAGTGCATGGAGGGGGGTAGAGCGAGACGAGGCGGGGGAGAGGTAAGCGAGGCAGTCTACGGAGGATCTTGACGATGGTGAAGGTGAACTTGGGATCTAAACATTGGGAACCACAGCAGCGCTAGGCCTGCCACAGCGCGCACTGCCAGTGGTGTCGCAGTGCAGCGGGGGGGGGGGGGGGGCCATGCCACAGCAGGCCCAAGTTCGCGCGTGTCGCGGCTGTGCGCGACTCACTCCGCCACCGCCCCGTCGCCGGCTGCAAGCACGAGATGATCTCCGTCAGCCGCCTCTCAAAGGCTTTCAAATCTGGAGAGGACAGCAGGAGACGAGACGACTTCCCACACGAGACACGAGACGATCGTCCACTCGCACCCAGTCCACCCAGATGCAGGAGACGCTGGCTAACCGAGAAGCCAAGCTCCTTGACGTGAGCAGGTGATACAATAAACCCATTGACACGCATGAAACATAATTTCCTCTTTTGGGTATCGGTGGAAAAATGTTCCGGGGGGGGGTGGGGGGGGAAACGTCAAGGTTGATGTCTGCTCGCCACAAGAGGGCGTCGGGAGACTTGGTGTGGTTGCGTTTGATCTTCTTCCGCGGGCGTCTCTATAGGCTGGAGGTTGTCTTTAATGTTCCGCGGATGGAGGTGGAAGGGCCTGCGGTTGACGTTCCGATGCAGTTGATGGTCACTTACACGCACACACACAGCCCGGTCAAGTGTCTCCTTTGAGACGACGGGAGACAGAAGTGTTGCGATGTTTGGGTCTCTTGATGAGGTGTATCGATGGTACCCTAACTTGATGAGGTGTATCGATGGTACCCTAACTAAGCAAAGGCAAAGGACCCCCCCACCCTGTGACACCCTGTTGGGGCAAGTGCTGTTTGCGAGCACCTACGAGAGGGCCCGGTGTTGGCCGTGAGCCGGGGTTGGCGGTAGCGCAGCGCGCTCACCGCGACGGCCGCCTCACGGACAACACCGGTGGCGATGGTCTGAACCGGTTTCCGGGACTCCCCTAGGTCGACTCAGTCTCAAATGAGTAGCCGGTGCGGTGTTGTAGTCGACATCGCCCCCACTACTACTCCCACACAGAGACCGCCTCCCCCAGCACGACGCCTCGCAGTGCGTGAGGAGGCCGACATCCCTCACGCAACAAAGGCCGGCACGGCACACGAGGAAGGTGAGTGGGGGGGGGGGGTGGTGGTGGCCGACACCACCCCCGTCCGTCTTTGTCTCCCTAGTGACAAGACTGTAGGGGGCAAGTGCTTTAAGCGGCACCCATGAAGGCCGGCACGGCACACCAGCGGGTGGGTAGCCAGCACCCCGGCCGCCTCTGCCTCCCCCAGTGGCGACGTTTACAACAACACCGCACACCAGGTACTGGTACTCATTTGAGGCCGGGTCCACCTAGGGGAGGCCCAAGCACCTCGTCCACCGGGTGTTGTTGGCCGTGAACGGGACTCGAACCCGGGGGTGGTCAGGTTCGTAGAGCTGGCCCGCTACACCGCCGCTCCCCACACACACCACAACCACACAGACCCACGCCCGGGAAGACAAAGGCGCTCGAGAAGACAAAGGCTCCCGGGAAGACAAAGGCGCTCGGGTCCGCTCACCCTCGGCTTGCTCCAGGGAGTTCATCGCCGCCGCCGCCACCGCCGCCGTCGTCTCCCGAGGTCGCGAGCGGGCGGGCGCCGCCACCCCCCCCCACCAAAGTCTCGCGGGGGGGTGGGGGCTCCCGGGGGTTGACGTCACTCGCGCGCGCGACACGCCCACACGGCGGCCATCTTACCTGGGGGGTGTGAGCGGGCGCGCCGTGGGGACGTCACGCGAAACGACAGCCGCCATTCGCCACTAAGTGGCGACGACGTCACAAAGGCGTCTGTGCCAGGCCGGGTGCACTTTGAGGCCACGTGGAATATACTCTTTGTTTTTTTTTCGGTAAAGTCACGTAGGTAAAATAAAATAGATTAAAATAAAAGAAAACAATTAAATCACGACGTTTCTGAGGCAACACAAGCTTCCGTCTTCAGGTGGAACAGTCACAGCAAGATCGCTGCATCAAGATGCTGCATCAAGCTGCTACCTTGCTGTGACTGTTCCACCTGAAGACGGAAGCTTGTGTTGCCTCCGAAACGTCGTGATTTAATTGTTTTATTTTAATTTATTTTATTTTACCTACGTGACTTTACCGAAAAAACCAAAGAGTATGAATCCTTGCAGTCACGAAAGCTTCAAATCTAGAATGCCACGTGGAATGTCGAAGGCTCGCTAGAAGGAGGTCACGTGACAGAGCCAGGTGCCATGGGTTGGCTGACTGAGATCGGCCTCTGTGGAGGAGGCTCGTGAAGGACGCTGCTGGGCAGTTAGAGGCAGTCGCCCTCCAACAACAACGGAGGGCGGAGGAGCGACCCTCACAACAACAAGCGGAGCGCCGGGTGGCTAAAGCACAGCAAGTTGGCACAGTAGGGGGCACAGGTGGTGCATCAGCCAGTCATCGCAGTCATCTCAGTCAGTCGACCCGTGGCATCTGCTGGGTCTGACCCGTGACCTCCTGCCAGCGGGCGTTCGACACTTCACGTGGCCTCAACGTGCACCTAGCCTGTCACAAGCGTCGTGGTGACGTCACCGCCCTTTAGTGGCGAATGGCGGCTGTTGTTGTTGGGCATTTAAATACAGTCGACTACTGTGTTCCGACATAGGAACCGTTCGACTTACGAACGGGTCTCGGGAACGAATTGCGTTCGTAAGTCAATGACTGCCCCTATGTATTTATACTGAAGGAGGAAATCCGATGAGCTTTAAAGCTCTTTTTTTCACAGACGTCCAGTAGGGTCCGGTCAGAACGTTCCAACAACAACGGTACAAAAAAACACGATAGGTGTGTAAAGTCAACACGTTCGTCAAGAACCACTGCGCGTGACCTCAACTAATAAACTCTGTACGTATTCGACATCAGTGCCGGATGATCCTCGTAGCAAAAGTGTCTACAAATGTAGCTACGGGCCCCGCAATTAAACGCTTTCAAGCTATCAATTCCGGTTCAATGATTCTGCACTTGCTCTTACTATAGTACTATACCGCCTTCGAATTTCACGAACCACTGGGTGTTTAAGGTTAGCGATTTGTCGTAATATCAGGCTGTATAGCAAATGAACAAATACAATTGCTTTACTGTGCGAGTTAAAAATTAGCGTTTTAATATTTACTTGTTTTTTTATTTATTTAGGGCCCCTTGAAAACATATGCTACAGGCCCCGCACTAGCTTAATCCGGCACTACGACGACGTTTCGGGCAATGCCTCCTTTTTCAGAGCCCCTCTATCCACGCGCCAATACCGCGACGTTCTCCTTACCCAAGATGGCCGCGTCGAGACTCGGCTGTCGCTTAATGCTTGTAGGGGGGGGGGGTAATTTTATTGATTATTTTCAAAATGATAAATTGGTTAATATTATAAGTTAATGGGGGGGTTTCCACGATTTATGCAAACAACGCGTAAGTTGTCAACCGGTGTGTGTCGTTTAGGGGGTTAAATAGCACACCTTATCAGTGCCCGAGGGGCCGCCCATAAATGACGTCACGCGATTTTGGACGATTTTTGACCCCCCCCCCTCGTCACACGGCGTCACAAAAAGTCAGACCCCCCTCAAATATGACGTCACAAAGCTCTGCCCCCCCCACCCCCCAAAACCATATTTCCATTTTGAAAATAAAAAATGCTTCAAATCGCTTTAAACTATTGTCATTGTAGTGCGTATTTAATGTGGCGCTGCACTCTGATGTAAGAGAAAACATTTATTAAAAAGTCTTTAAGTAGAACGTGTTGTCTATATTTATTTAAAGTTGCGCATTTTTAATGTGACGTCACATTTCTCAAACCCCCCCCTCCCTCGTCACACATCGTCACAAATATCTGACCCCGCCCTCCCCTAGGTGCGTGACGTCATGTATGGACGGCCCCTTACGCCGTATGGACCTGAAAACTCAATTTGCCTGTACAAGAATGCGGGTTAAATCGTGCGGGGTTACAGCTCTGCGCTTGTTGCAGAGGGGTTCGCATTCCAGAGGACGTCCCTGGTCATAACTTTGCGGAGTTGCCACAACCCTAAACAACTCCTACTGCGTTTAACACGCGGTAGGAGGCTTTCGCGACCAATATCATCCGTAATAGAGGGTTATTGGGTTAGATCGCGAAAATATATAAATGTCGTGAAACCCGCCACAGCCAACTAGTAAGGTTTGTCACGTAAACAGAACGTGGCCAATTCGTCACTAATACAGCACTAGTGTATAGTGTAGTGTACAGTAGTGTAGTGAAGTGTATAGTGTAGTGTATAGTGAAGTGTATAGTAGTATAGTGTAGTGTATAGTGTATAGTAGTGCAGTGTATAGTAGTGTAGTGTATAGTGAAGTGTATAGTAGTGTAGTGTATAGTAGTGCAGTGTATAGTAGTGTAGTGTATAGTGAAGTGTATAGTAGTGTAGTGTATAGTGAAGTGTATAGTAGTGTAGTGTATCGTGAAGTGTATAGTAGTGTCATGTATAGTAGTGTAGTGTATAGTAGTGTAGTGTATAGTGAAGTGTATAGTAGTGTAGTGTATAGTAGTGTAGTGTATAGTGTAGTATATTATTAGTACAGCACACTGGTGTGTTGGACAGCCAAGCCACAACATTTACAATCTGAGTACGACGTTTCACCAGTAATTACAACTAGCTTCATCAGGCGACAGGCAGATTTGCGTTGGCTGTGTCGGGTGGTGGCGGGTTTGAACGACACATTTATATATTTACGCGATCTAACCCAAAAAAAACTGTATTATGGAGTAACTTAATAACCAAAATTGGCACGTGTTGTTAACGTAACAAGCCTTATTAATTGACTATCAGGTGGTCGCGGGTTTAACGACACATTTATATTTACGCGATCTAAACCAAAAACAACTTTACGGACTCCTGAAGCATATTGCCACGCGAAAGAACAGACCTCCAACGACCACGACAAAACACCCAGAACCAAGACCGTCCTGAGCATTGATCCGTAGCTGGCACCAATTATAATTGGAACTCTTCCCCCATTGTACCCGCCTTCAAGCAGCAACCGAAGGCTCTTGACTGTTTTTAGTATCTCACCTGTTCAGGATCTCGCCCCATTCAGGTCCCCGTCCTTTCCACGCCTCAGAGTTCCTCGTCGAAAAATTTGCGAAATGTGCACACGTAAAATTGTGCTTTCATTATTGGCAAATGTTATCAAGCCGCGTTTACGTTGGTGTACAGCTTTTTTTTTCCCAATGTCGCCCACTAAACACGATTCACATAGCTCGCCAACGTGGAAGTGCTATGGTGGCGAGATGTTATTTCCCCCGCCTGGTATGTAGGAAGTCGTCGGTTCAATCACCGACGACTTTACGTTTGGAGTTTGCATTTTCTCATCGGGGGTCACGTGGGATTTTTCTCCGGGTCCTCCGGTTTTCCCTCCGCATTTATAAACATGCGTTTACAGTAATTGGTTGCTATAAATGTCCACGTGATAAGCCACTTCGTTGAACTATCATTTGTCAGGTCACTTCTGAAAAAGAGCTATATAAGCACAGTGGGCCTTAACAGGTAAAATAAAAAAGTGTATCGTTTATTTACTCCTGGACAGCATAACAAATGGATAGAGTAACCAAATATTTTATTAACAATGTCACAGTGAATACAATACTGACAGTCCGTACAGCGGAAACCTTAAGCCCACACTCCTGTACAGACGATGAACGCTGCTGCGCCACCACCACCACCACCGTTATTACAAAATCACAATCACTATGTACACGCAGAGCCAAAGGCAACAACCCGCCGCAGCATTCATATACACAGTATACACATCACTCACGTACGCAGGCACGTGGACACCTCCACCAGCGACGCCAGGCTTTTGCCGGGTAGTGCACATACAGGGTTAGAGCCACAGCTGAGCTCTTGCTGCCTCCCCCGCAGGGGTCCGACTCCAAACTATGGGACAACTTCGACCGAACCATTAAATCCATCGTACACCAGGATTATTTTAGTTCATTCGGTGCCACATCTGTAACCAGATATTAATTTACTATGACCAAATACGGCAACTCCGAACGACATCAGTACCGAGTGTGTTTGATAAAAAAAAAAAACTGGATGACGGAGCACATGATCTCTCCTGATTGGAAAGTCACCATCCCAGTTACCCACGAGGGGAAGCAGCGATCACAGATTTGTACACATTTGGGCAGCTACATTGTTTTCATGCAGCAACCGTTGCCAGCAACGATCGCCCTAAAATTTCCCAAGCGCATCGCTTGGCCTTTATCGACGCCACTGCACGTGCCGAGCCCACGCCTGCAGAGTCGCCACTATGGATAACACGTCCCCCCCCCCCCGTGTACGTCCGTCGGAGCAAGGTCTCCTGCGCCTCCATCGGTAGCCCAGCTCCGAGGGCGTCCAGCTGCTGGCGCCGGTCAGGGCAGGCCGGAGTCGCAGTGGCGAATGAGCGGCACCAGCCTTCGCGCCAGGGCCGGAGGCACTGTGGTGCCGGCGCTCCAAGCCCGCAGGGCGTCCAGCGCCACACCACTGCTGCACGGGGAGAGGTCGACCGCTGCGTGTGCCGCTGCCTGCTGCACGCCGGCTGCGATGCCTGCTCCACGCGCAAGCCCGCACGCGGCGCAGGCATCAGTGGCGCCGCGAGCCCGAAGTATCACTCGGCGTGGTTCGGTGCGTAAGGGTGAGAGAAGCTGTGGGGCTGTGGGGATGCTCGCTTGCCTTGTTTGTGAGCCTCCTGCAGAAATGTGAGCATGACCTTGAGCAGGTTCTGGACGTGGGTCAGCGTGCCGGCCGCAAGCCCCGCGATGCCCAGCCGACCTGGAGCACACGCCGCAGTAAACGATCAACTGCGCGGTATTTGCGCTTGATACATTTTATCTACGAATCATACACTTGTACCATATTTGAGGATAATAACGGGGGCAACAAAATTGTAATGAGAATAAAAACGAAACAAAAGAGAATCATCGCTTGCATCAGACTGACAATTTATCGAGTCACGGAGGGGGGGGGGGGGTTGAATTGGGACATGGCCACTGTGTCGACCCATGCCGCGCGGCCCAGACAGTCACTGGCTCCACCTTACGGTACCTATGAGACGCAGCACGGCGGCAGCGGTGGCGTCCAGCACGGGGGGCCCGGCCGAGCCCGGCCGCTCCACCTCTCTCCGCTGCCGCGTCCACTTCCCCATCACCGGCCACAGGTGCTTGCTACAGAGACGGCGGGGAACGCGGTCAGACAGCACTCTCGCGGTACGCGAAGAGAAAGGCGGGACTCAATTCGGGGGGGGGGCGTGGGGAGAGGCGGGGGTGGGGGGGCTTGGGAAGAACGCTCCGGTGAGTGACGGTGCGGCGTGCCGGCACCTGATAAAAGAGTCGTGGGTCCAGCTCCAGCCCTGGTGTCCGCACAACAGCTGAATGGCGAGCACCAGCTGCCAAGTGTCGGCGCCCAGGTCCTCGCCGGCGTCCGGGCTCGGCTGGAAACCGACCTTGGGGCTCTGCTGCAGGGTGAAGAGGAAGCTGGAGGCTAGGTCTACGGGCAGTGGCGCCTTCTGTGGATGCACACATACGCACGCACGCACAAGCACGCACACACACGCAAAGCCAATGATGCCCCTTATAGTCATTCACACACTGCTGCGGTAAGTGTTGTTACTGAGTCTCACCCTTACAACAGACTTAAAACAGTGTTATTCCAAACGGCTTACCACGTGTGATCAAGGCACAATTGTGCGCTGTAACAAACGTCCAGACTCACGAGCGAGCAACTATGAGGAGCAGTAGCGTGTGCATGTGCACATATATGCATACAAAGACAAAGATCCCCCGTGTAGACTTAATGGATTGTTGGGGCAAGTGCTGTACGTGAGCACCTATGAACGCCGGTGCGGCACACGAGGGGGCAGGTGGCCAGCACCATACCTGGCCGCCTTTGTCTCCCGTGCGGCGATAATTTCAAATCGCAACAGGTACTCATTTAAGGCTGAGTCGACCTAGGGGAGGCCTAGGACCGATTCACTGGTGTTGGCCGTGGGCAGGAATCAAACTCGGGTCGCTGGGTTTGTAGCGCAGCGCGCTAACCTTTGCACTACCACTCCCAACATAAAATACCCACACATATATGCACACAAACATCTCCCATGTCGCCAACACAGGCCATTGGGGCAAGTGCTGTGAGCGAGCACCTAACAAAGCCGGTGCGGCACACGAGCGGGTGGTGTGACCAGAACCACCCCCGGCCGCCTTTGTCTCTCCAGTGCTGAGTCGACCTCGGGGAAGGCCCAGGAATGGTTCAGATAATCGTCACCGGTATTGGCCGTGAGCGGGAATCGAACTCGGGTCGTCGAATTTGTAGCGCGGTACGCCAAGCGGCACACCACCACTCCCCACACGCACAAAACAAACAAAGATCTCCCGTATAGCCTTAACAGACTGTAGGGGCAAGTGCTGTTAGCGAGCACGCACGCACACACACACACACGCAAACACATCTCCACACCGCCCTTCACTAACGGAGCGGCTATGTCGAGCCGGCGGGTGCCCTCTGTGGGTGGCTGCGCCTGACCTGGCCCCAGCAGAGGAAGGCGGAGAGGCACTTGAGCAGGTCCCCCGTGGCCCGCTGTCGCACCACGGCCTGCACGGCGTGGCTCACCGGGCCCGGGCACAGCAGCACCGCACGCCAGGTGCTCGCCACAAACAGCGCCAGCAGGGCTCCCTCCTCCCCATCTACGCTCGCGCCCAGCCACGCGCGGCACGTGTGCGAGTGTGCAAGGACATGGCAGCGGTCACCATTAAAAGGAACGTCATTAATTCATCCGTGAACATCTAAAGACTCTCTTTCAAGAGGGCCCTGTTACACCGTGCATGTGGCAAGCATCCGTGAGCACCTGTGCGTGCGTGTGTGTGTGTGTGTGCGTGCGTGCAAAAGTGTGCGGATGCACGTTTAAAGTTTATTTGTTCAACCGGGTGGAAAACTCAAGGGACCAGGAGTCTCATTTGCATGTGCGTGTGCGAGCACGTGTGAGCAGGCGTGTCTCACCGTGCTGCAGCAGGGCGTTGTAGCAGAGCAGCCGCGGCTTCTCGAGGTCCCCGCGTGTGCGCCACAGCGCCACCAAGACGCGCGCCAGCGAGTGGCGCAGAGCTGGGCGCGCAACCTGCGCCACCACCGCCTCCTCCTCCTCCTCCTCCCCGGCCACCGCCTCCTCCTCCTTCCCCATCAACAGCGACATCGCCCGGGTCAGGAACTCCTCACACTGTGCCTGCGGAGTTGAGGAATCACTTGTGGATTGGGAGCACCGTGTGTGACATCAAGGATGCTGATGGAAGCTCTCTCGTTATAATGGCTAGAGAAACGGTGATGGCACTGGCGATGGTAATAACGACGGTCATACACATGATAACGATGCACGTCGGTGGTGGTGACAATGATGCTCATCATTAGACCTCCTTTGCCAGTACCAAAATGTAATAATAGGGTTTTTCCCCTTTTTTTCTGGCAACAAAACTGAAACCTTTTTACAAGGATTCATGTTACTGCATTAACCACAATACCTGCAGTCAAAATGCAAACAAAAAACATACTATGGTAATATATGCATTGTCCTTGAAACTGATTGGTCCACACCAAGGGACGGCTTTCTTTTGAGCCTCGAACTAATTGGTGCTCGACCAGATGACGCCAGAAGGCGTACAGCTCAAAGACAATGCACTATCAAAGTAATGAGGGCTCGGGGTGAGCATCTACATCATTAGACCTCCTTGTCTTTGAGCTGTACGCCTTCTGGCGTCATCTGGTCGAGCACCAATTGGGTCGAGGCTTAAAAGAAAGCCGTCCCTTGGTGTGGACCAATCAGTTTCAAGGACAATGCATATATTACCATAGTATGTTTTTTGTTTGCATTTGACTGCAGGTATTGTGGTTAATGCAGTAACATGAATCCTTGTAAAAGGTTTCAGTTTTGTTTGCCAGAAAAAAAGGGGAAAACCCTATTATTAAATGATGCTCATGTTGAAAGCAAACATTGTAATGACAATGGTGGTAATGTTGACGATGGCAATGATGATGACGATGATGATGGTGGTGACGGTGGCGATGACGACATCGCCCCTCGTGGTACCTGCTTCTCGCCCAGGAAGGCTCGCACGACGTCGCTCTCCTCTGGCCTCAGCATGGGCCTCACCGGGAGGTTCCCAACGTGCACGGCCGCGTGCACCGCCGGGAACAAGTCGAAGCACTCGCGCTGCAGGAGCCGCACGGCCCAACGCAGCGGGTCCGCCTGCTCCACCGGCAGCACCACGCCTGCCGCCCGCTCGCCGGCATGGGTGCCGTCGGCCGGAGTTGGCGTGCGAGGAGGCTCGTGGTCCCGCGGGGTGGGGTTGGTTTCGCGCTTGCGGCACCGTTTTTTTTCTACGGCGCCGGGCAGCGGGGAGGGCTGCGGTGCGGAGCCGGGTTCGCTGGGCTCGGGCAAAGTCACCGGTTCTGCTCTCCGCCGCTTCCTCGAGGCCGGACCCGGCGTAGGCCCCGCGGTTTCGGCCGCTCCCTCCGTCTCTCCGTTCTCCTCTGGGCTCCGTTCCGCCGAGGGTTCCTCCGCACGGGCTGGGCCCTCGCTGGCCAACGCCACCGCCGCCTTCGCCGCCGCTTCCAACGCGGAGTCGGTTTTCGTGAAGGCGGAGGAGACGTTCCCGACGCCCGGGTCGGCGCCGGAATTTAAGGCGCCGGCGCTGCCCCCGCCGGGCGGGTCGGACACGGCCGCGGGGAGCCCCGCTGGTGCCACGTCACGGTAGAGCGGCCCGTCCCCGCGAAGGATGCGCAACGTGCGCGCCTGCCCCGACAGCGTCGGGTACATCGAGTCAAGCGCGCGCAGCACGTTCTCGCCCTGCGCCACCGCCGCCGCCGCCACACTCGCCGCCGCCGCCGCCGCCGCCGGCTGCTGCTGCTGGCGACGCGACATCCTCCAGCCCGGCACGCGCAGCGCCCCCTTGGGCGTGCTCGCCGAGAACTGCAGCGGCGACGGAAACGTCGCGGGGCTTCTGCCGCCGTCGCCGCCGCCGCCGCCGCCGCCGGGGCTGGACGCCGGCAGTGGCCGCGGCGGCGGCGAGGATCCACCCGCGGACGGTGCCGAGGCCTCCCCGCGGTCCGTGGCGACCCCCCCCCGCGGCGGCCCGTCGTGCAGACGCTGCCCGGTCGGCCGGACCGGGGTAGCGAGCAGGGGGTCGAGCAGGGCCAGCGGAGACAGACACATCTCTCTGAACACCTTCTCCACCAGCGGCGAGTCTGACACGGGTCCCGGTGGGACCACCGCCGCTTCATCCTCCTCGTCGGCATCGTATCGCTCCGAGCGGGAGGCTTGGCGAGCCGTCCCCGCTGCTTCGGGGCTTCCCGGGCTTGGCGTCGACGCGCTCTCGGCCGCCGATTTATTCTTCGGGGGTCGCCCGCGCTTCCTCTTCGGCTGCACCGCTGCGGCTCCGAGACTCCCGGGAGCGACGGTGGCGGCGTCGCCGGGGGAGGTTTCACTTCCCGTGCCGTTTCCGTTTCTGGCCGAAGAGCAGGAGGGGAGCAGCTGTAGGCGGCTCCCACTGCGCAGCCTCCGCACCTTGCGCTGGATGGACCCCGTGCCGACGGCCATGATCCCCACGCTCTCCTCGCTCTCAAAACCGGCCGACTCCACTCCCGCTGTGCTCTCCTCCACGCTCTCACTCTGCGTACTCTCAAGGGGAACCAACTCAATGCTCCCCGAACTCTGCTCTGTGCTCGTGCTGCCCGCACCCCCAATGCAACCCAACAGCCCTCTCCCTGTGCTCGCCTCCGCACTCTCCCCCTTCTTACTCGCAACAACGTGAACGAACTCCTCCTCCGTGCTCTTTTCTCCGCTCTCACTCGCCCCACCGTCAGCAAGGTCCAACTCGGCGCTCTCCGTGTTCACCTCCGAGATCTTCCGCTCCTCGCTGTCACCGTGCACCAGCTCAACACTCTCCGAGCCCTTCTGCTCGTCATGGCTCTCCCCATTCACGTGACCCAGCACCTCACTCCTGACAACGGCACTCCCCACGCTTTCCACGTGATCCAACTCCCCTCTCCCCATGCTCCCATTGTTCGCTCCCTCTCCCACACTCTCCGCTTCCACCATGGCCGTCCATTCCACCGCTTTGTTTTCCTCCTCGTACTTTGCTCGCCCTACTCCCTCCTCTTTGCTCTCTCCCCCCACCACGCTCTCCTCCTCTTCCTCCTCCTCTACCACTCTCTTTACCTTCTCCTCCACTCTCTGATCTTCCTTCTGTCCCTTTCTCTCCACTCCTTCAAATCTCTCATTCACCTTCTCTCCCTCTACTCCCTCCTGCTTGCTCTTTCCTTCCACCACGCTCTCATAGTCCTCCTCCTCTGCCACTCTCTTGACTCCCTCCTCCACTCTCTCATCTTCCTCCTGTCCATCTCTCTCCACTCCATCCCCATTGCTCCCTCTTTCCTTTGCTCTCTCCAGGGGGCTCTCGTGTTCATCACCTCTCTTTCCAGTTCTCTCATCGTCCACAGATTCTGCCGCCTCAAAGATGCCCTTCCCTGCTTCCGTCTCACCTCCTGCCTGGCCACATTCTAACTGTGAGGGAGTTGAGAATGCCGGTTGCGGCCACACCGGAGTTGTTGTTGCAGGTTGCGGCTCGCATCCACTTATCTCCGGACCCAACGAGGCCTCCAAGGCAGAAACTTGAGCCCCACGGTTCCTTTTCTCTGGGCCGCAAAGGCTCCCATTGCCCTCACCCGCGCAGACCGCAGGAGGCATCTGCTCCACAGCTGCCCGAGCCACAACTATCCAACTCTTACGTTCTCCCGACTGGTTCACATCTCCCTCCGTACCTCCCTCCCTCTCTCCAACTAGGCCCGCGTCTCCGCCATCGTGCCTCTCCCGCTCTCCCGCCAGGTCCCCGTCTCCCGTGCTCAGCGCCTCCTCTTCCCGCTGGGCCACGTCTCCGGCGGTGCCCGCGTCTGCGGACCGCACGGCGCCGTCCGGAGACTCTCCCCGCGGCGGTGCCGTGACCGCCCGGTTCCTCCGGACCTCCGCCTCCTCGCCTCCCTCGGCGTCGCTGGACGAGACGTCAACGAACCACGCCTGCCGCACACCGCACAGCGGGCCGGATCAGCCCGACCCCTACGCGGCGCACATGCGGTGCGCGTGCGCCAGCGCGTTTGTTATGACGGTACCTGTCTGGGCTCGGGCGAACGTGGCAGTGGAGACAGCGGCTGCCGCAGGTGGCCCATTTCCGAGGCGAGGCCCAGGATCTCCTCCACCTCCAACGCCAGCTCCTCGAGCTCCTCCGCACGGCTGAAGGCGTCCGCTCGGCGTGGCGCCGCGTTTCCGGCCTCGCGCGGCTCCGAGTCGTCCTCTTCGCGCCCTTGCTCGCCGTCCACCTCGGCTTCCTCCGCCGTCTCCTCTGGGTTCTGCCACTCGGAGCTCCTGGCCGTGGGGGCCGCCGGGGACTCGGGCGAGCTTAGGCCTTCGTCCGGCTCCCCCGCCGACAGTCCCCGCTCGTCCGTCGGCGCCCGGCTGCTCGAATCCCCGGCGTCGCCCCCGTGCCGCTCGCCGCCCTCGTCATCCCTCTCGGGTTCCGATAACGCTGAGACGTTGCTGTCGCCGTCCCTGGCGAGTTTCACTTTCCGCCTCCGCCGCTTGCGCTTGGTGGCGGTGGCGGCATCAGTTGCGCAGTCCTCCTCCTGGTCGGTGGGAGCCGCGCTGCGGGAGAGGCTCCTGTCCCCGAGGGTCTCTCCGCCGACAACTGTGAGCGCACGCGATTTGTCCGGCTAAGCTCTTTACCATCAACAAACACCAAGCTACACGCGCCACCACACGCACATCGCCATGCACTGATACGTAGCACACATGCACAAACGTCACACACCACCACGCACCCCCACGTACTTCCACACACTACACACGCACCACGCACAACCGACGCACCACACACGCATCACACACGCACCACCCACTCACGCAATCACTAACCATACACCGACACAGAACGCATATCACCAGAAGACATGCAGGCCGCACACCCTGCATGCACAGCGAACACGCACTGCATGTGTGCACTGCGCTAGTACACGCACTGCACACCCGCACGAACACATACACTGCGCATTCACGTAATGAGCGCTCTATGCTCACTCTACGTACGCCGCATGCACAGCCACAAAGAAAACAAAAAGATCCCCCATAGAGCCTTGAACAGACTATTGGCGCAACAGCTGTTAGCGAGCACCAATTAAGGCTGCTGCGGTACACAAGAGCGTGGGTGACCAGCACCACACCGAGCCCCCATTTGTCTCTCGAATGCTAATGTTACACACCACACAGGTCTCATTTAAGGCTGAGTCGACGTATGGGGAGGCCCAGGACAGATTCAGATAGTCATCGCCGATATTGGCTGTTTGTCCGAATGAAACTCAGCCCGCAGGGTTCCAAGTACAGTGCACCAAACGCTGCACTACCGCTCCCCCACCACATGCACACAGACACGCACACGTGCACGCGTGCGTGCGCACGATCGTCCGTGGTCATACCGGCACTGGCCTTGCTGCGTGTGCGTTTCTTCCTGGAAGTGGTAAACACTGCGATCGCACGTCAGGGCAGACACAAGCACGGACCACACCACCAAACACCGCCAATCCACTCTCATCATTAATTCGGCAGATCACTCCCGAAGGCACAAACCTTCAAAGTGGAAAAACACACCGCTTGTTGCTGCTGCTTACAGTTTCAGACCGGGCGTGCGAGATTTAGAATGATCAGTCGCCATTTATTCTTTTGAACATCTTTGCAGGCAATGGCAGTAGGGAAATTCGTTTGTAAATCTTTTTGTGCATACCTTTCAGGATCTGCGTCTCAGCGAGTCTGCATGGCTACACAGGGGATCTGTGTCTCAGCGAGTCTGCGTGGCTACACAGGAGATCTGCGTCTCAGCGAGTCTGCATGACTACAGAGGGGATCTGCGTCTCAGCGAGGCTGCATGGCTACACAGGGGATCTGTGTCTCAGCGAGTCTGCGTGGCTACACAGGAGATCTGAGATTTAGAATGATCAGTCGCCATTTATTCTTTTGAACATCTTTGCAGGCAATGGCAGTAGGGAAATTCGTTTGTAAATCTTTTTGTGCATACCTTTCAGGATCTGCGTCTCAGCGAGTCTGCATGGCTACACAGGGGATCTGTGTCTCAGCGAGTCTGCGTGGCTACACAGGAGATCTGCGTCTCAGCGAGTCTGCATGACTACACAGGGGATCTGCGTCTCAGCGAGGCTGCATGGCTACACAGGGGATCTGTGTCTCAGCGAGTCTGCGTGGCTACACAGGAGATCTGTGTCTCAGCGAGTCTGCATGACTACACAGGGGATCTGTGTCTCAGCGAGTCTGCATGGCTACACAGGGGGTCTGTGTCTCAGCGAGTCTGCATGGCCACACAGGGAATCTGTGTCTCAGCGAGTCTGCGTGGCTACACAGGGGATCTGTGTCTCAGCGAGTCTGCATGACTACACAGGGGATCTGTGTCTCAGCGAGTCTGCGTGGCTACACAGGGGATCTGTGTCTCAGCGAGTCTGCATGGCTACACAGGGGATCTGTGTCTCAGCGAGTGTGCATGGCTACACAGGGGATCTGTGTCTCTGCGAGTCTGCGTGGCTACACAGGGGATCTGTGTCTTCAGCGAGTCTGCGTGGCCACACAGGGGATCTGTGTCTCAGCGAGTCTGCATGGTTACACAGGGGATCTGTGTCTCAGCGAGTCTGCGTGGCTACACAGGGGATCTGCGTCTCAGCGAGTCTGCATGGCCACACAGGGGATCTGTGTCTCAGCGAGTCTGCGTGGCTACGCAGGGGATCTGTGTCTCAGCGAGTCTGCGTGGCTACACAGGGGATCTGCGTCTCAGCGAGTCTGCATGGCCACACAGGGGATCTGTGTCTCAGCGAGTCTGCATGGTTACACAGGGGATCTGTGTCTCAGCGAGTCTGCGTGGCTACACAGGGGATCTGTGTCTCAGCGAGTCTGTGTGGCTACACAGGGGATCTGTGTCTCAGCGAGTCTGCATGGCTACACAGGGGATCTGTGTCTCAGCGAGTCTGCATGGCTACACAGGGGATCTGTGTCTCAGCGAGTGTGCATGGCTACACAGGGGATCTGTGTCTCTGCGAGTCTGCGTGGCTACACAGGGGATCTGTGTCTTCAGCGAGTCTGCGTGGCCACACAGGGGATCTGTGTCTCAGCGAGTCTGCATGGTTACACAGGGGATCTGTGTCTCAGCGAGTCTGCGTGGCTACACAGGGGATCTGCGTCTCAGCGAGTCTGCATGGCCACACCGGGGATCTGTGTCTCAGCGAGTCTGCGTGGCTACGCAGGGGATCTGTGTCTCAGCGAGTCTGCGTGGCTACACAGGGGATCTGCGTCTCAGCGAGTCTGCATGGCCACACAGGGGATCTGTGTCTCAGCGAGTCTGCATGGCTACACAGGGGATCTGTGTCTCAGCGAGTCTGCGTGGCTACACAGGGGATCTGTGTCTCAGCGAGTCTGTGTGGCTACACAGGGGATCTGTGTCTCAGCGAGTCTGCATGGCTACACAGGGGATCTGTGTCTCAGCGAGTCTGCATGGCTACACAGGGGATCTGTGTCTCTGCGAGTCTGCGTGGCTACACAGGGGATCTGTGTCTCAGCGAGGCTGCATGGCTACACAGGGGATCTGTGTCTCAGCGAGTCTGCATGGCTACACAGGGGATCTGCGTCTCAGCGAGTCTGCGTGGCTACACAGGGGATCTGGGTCTCAGCGAGTCTGCATGGCTACTCAGGGGATCTGCGTCTCAGCGAGTCTGCATGACTACACAGGGGATCTGTGTCTCAGCGAGTCTGCATGGCTACACAGGGGATCTGCGTCTCAGCGAGTCTGCATGGCTACACAGGGGATCTGTGTCTTCAGCGAGTCTGCGTGGCCACACAGGGGATCTGTGTCTCAGCGAGTCTGCATGGTTACACAGGGGATCTGTGTCTCAGCGAGTCTGCGTGGCTACACAGGGGATCTGCGTCTCAGCGAGTCTGCATGGCCACACAGGGGATCTGTGTCTCAGCGAGTCTGCGTGGCTACGCAGGGGATCTGTGTCTCAGCGAGTCTGCGTGGCGACACAGGGGATCTGCGTCTCAGCGAGTCTGCATGGCCACACAGGGGATCTGTGTCTCAGCGAGTCTGCATGGTTACACAGGGGATCTGTGTCTCAGCGAGTCTGCGTGGCTACACAGGGGATCTGTGTCTCAGCGAGTCTGCATGGCTACACAGGGGATCTGTGTCTCAGCGAGTCTGCATGGCTACACAGGGGATCTGTGTCTCAGCGAGTCTGCATGGCTACACAGGGGATCTGTGTCTCTGCGAGTCTGCGTGGCTACACAGGGGATCTGTGTCTCAGCGAGGCTGCATGGCTACACAGGGGATCTGTGTCTCAGCGAGTCTGCATGGCTACACAGGGGATCTGCGTCTCAGCGAGTCTGCGTGGCTACACAGGGGATCTGGGTCTCAGCGAGTCTGCATGGCTACACAGGGGATCTGCGTCTCAGCGAGTCTGCATGGCTACACAGGGGATCTGTGTCTCAGCGAGTCTGCATGGCTACACAGGGGATCTGTGTCTCAGCGAGTCTGCGTGACTACACAGGAGATCTGTGTCTCAGCGAGTCTGCATGGCTACACAGGGGATCTGTGTCTCAGCGAGTCTGCATGGCTACACAGGGGATCTGTGTCTCAGCGAGTCTGCATGACTACACAGGGGATCTGTGTCTCAGCGAGTCTGCGTGACTACACAGGGGATCTGTGTCTCAGCGAGTCTGCATGGCCACACAGGGGATCTGTGTCTCAGCGAGTCTGTATGACTACACAGGGGATCTGTGTCTCAGCGAGTCTGCGTGGCCACACAGGGGATCTGTGTCTCTGTGTCTCCGCGTCTGTTCGTGTAACATCCTCACTGCTGCTGGCTGGGGCTGGGGGGGCCAAATCCTCGGTGTCCCCATCCCCCGGTTCCTCGAGGCAGCTCCACAGGTCCCTGAGCAGCGCTCGGATTCGCACTGCGGGACGGACATGGGGCGTGTTGGTGAGCACTGATCGACCAGGCACGCACGCACGCACACGTGGCGTGGACGGGGGGGGGGGGGGGGGGGCGTGCGTGTGCATGTGCACAGTTACCTTTCCCTGCCTCGGGGATGGCTCCAGATCTCCGTCTTCCTCGGGCTGGGGGGGATCCTGCAAGGGATGGGTGGTGTGTAGCGTGCAGAGTGTGAGCACGGCACATTCCACACGCGCTCACCACACTACACACACACCACACGCGACGTGGCCTTCACACGGAGATAGGTCGGCGGTGCGCGGCATATGAACGCAGCAAATAACACAATGCTCACCGCACACTTAGTTCCTGTGCTGGGTTTACCCACACTCATCACAAGGCAATCACATGACATGCACACCACGCACACAAAACACACTCTGCACATACGAAACTCGCCACAATGCGCACTCACTGCATTCACACCACACACTCACCACACTGCAAAAACACAACACGCCGACTACACTTTCACACATTTACAGCACACGCGCTGCAAACACATACAGCGTACGTACCACACCCACTCCACACACCACACGTACTCTCTGCAGCGCACTGCACATGCAGAGCACACGCACCTACGTATCTGCACATCCACTCACTCGTGCACAGTCCACAGCACAGCACGCTGCACAGCACGCTGCACAGCACGCTGCACAACACGCAGCGTGCTGCACACAACACAGCACGCTGCACGGCACGCTGCACACAACACAGCACGCTGTACACAACACAGCACGCTGCACAGCACGCCACACAGCACGCTGCACGGCACGCTGCACTGCACACAACACAGCACGCTGCACAGCACGCTGCAAATACGCAGCACAATATGCACAGCACGTTGCACATTGCGCAGCATACTGCACAGTATGCAGCCCACAGTACAACACGCAGTACAGCCCACAGTACAACACGGAGTACAGCCCACAGTACAACACGCAGTACAACCCAGAAGCCACAGCACAGCCCACAGCCCACAGTACAACACGCAGTACAGCCCACAGTACAACACGCAGTACAGCCCACAGTACAACACGCAGTACAACCCAGAAGCCACAGCACAGCCCACAGCCCACAGTACAACACGCAGTACCGCCTACAGTACAACACGCAGTACAGCCCAGAAGCCACAGCACAGCCCACAGCTCACAGCAAGCCCGTGAGCCACAGCACATCCTGCAGCCCAGCACGTTTTACACGTGGCCCAACTGTGGTGACACAGCGGAGTGCAGCAGGCAGTACCTTGTCTACTCCTGAGCACCTCCACCTGCTCCTGTGATGGCAACAGTAAAACACGAGCAAGCAATTGTCACTTCGAATGAGCTCTGTGCATCTCAACAATGGCAGCAGTGAGCCGCTGACATTGATGTTAGAAAAAAAAATTGACATTCCCTTGTTTACTCAGGAGAACCTCACCGAGTCTCAAGACGATGGGGCAGGAAACCACAGCACCCGGGAAAAATCCACCCAGCATACGAGATGTTAACTACCTTGCCTGGTATACACGAGGTCATAGATTCGATCTCAACCCTGACGCATGTATATTTGGAGAATGCATGTTCTCCCCATGGTCGCGTGGATTGTTCTCTGGGGTCCTCCGCTTTTCCCTCCACACTTAAAATCAACACTCGTTTCGAGTATCTGGATGCTGCAAATGTCCACGTGATAATCTGCTTCATTGAGCTATCATTTGAGGCCAGGTCGCTTCTGAAAAACAGCGATGTAGCTCAGCAGGCCCTACCTGCTAAAATAAAAATAGTTGAGTAGTTTAACACTCAAGAGTTCGGCTCAGATAGATTCAACCCACACACAAACGCACTGCATTGCATCTATGCGTGAACTGAACCCACTGCTGTACTGCCCTCCTATGGTCAGCTCCGAGCCCTGAGCCTGCAGCACCTGGTATGCACTGGTGGTCACCCACTGGAGGTCACCCATCCAAGCACTAATCAGGCTCGGATCCACTTAGCGTCTGAAATATGATACGAGAGTTGGCACATTCACAGCTATTTGCTCTGAGGTCCCTACAGTAGCAATACTGTGTGGAATTGAACAAGTAGGTTACCGCGGCCGGTATTAGGAATCATAATTGACTTTCAGGTTAGGTCACATAATGATCCAGCTTAAAGTTGTGGCACTAAAGACCCCTCCGTTACCTGACACAGCCAATTTAATTAAATTGTCATGAATGATCAAAATGGACAGTGCATACATTATCAATGCATATTTCGATTTTTATCCCACAAGTATGTGTGGTTAATGCGGACCCGATGTCTTGTAATGAGGTATCTATTTGATGTTTGAACATTTTAACGTACCTGTATTTATGCCAGAAAGGGTAACATCTTATTTTTTTATCATTCAATATCTTGATACGTGCCGGTAGGAATGGAAATAATTTCTCACCTGCGCCTTCTTCAGCTGCGTCTCGGTCGATCGCTTGTCCCGCCTCAGCTGCTTCAGCTCCTCGTGCTGTTTAGAGTTTAACTCTGCACGTGGCAGGGGGTCATAGGGCAGTTGGCAGGAGTTAAGGGGAGGAGGAGGGGGAGACAGGATGACGTGAGCCACAGTGATACAACGTTAGGTACCCACTGTGATACGAACTGAGGTACCCACCACGATATAAACCCCGAGGTTCCCACGTGGGGAGGGTGTGTGGGGTGAGCGGGCCATTTCCACGACGGTACAACACGGGGGTGCGGTGCGTGAGCGATGCCCCACATAACCACGATACCTGACAGACGCTTCATCTTCTCTTCAGATTTTTTCTCCCTGCGTGGACACGAGCGGAGCGATCAAACGATTCGTGTCTGTGTTCGTTTCTACGCACGTACATACGCATGTTGAACTTCTTCCGCACCGTACGTAGCCAACCGTGCTTATCGGAGGTGCGGGCGAGGAACAACAAAAATCAGTTCTAATGAAATTAGTGGAACAACACTCGACAGTACCACACGTGGCACAACCTCGCCGCCGTTGCTTGCAGACATCCCTGCACTAGTTTTGGTTCTCAGGTTGTCAGAAAAATGATGGACACCTTCCTTTCAATAACCCAGCAGTTGTTATTTGTTTTTCTCTTCAGCGGGCGGTTCGACAAGTGTGGCAACCTCATGTTCGTAATAATAATAATAATAATGATTTGCTCTTGAGATAGTACCCTTTATGCCAGGGCTTCTCGGAGCTCTTCAAGCAAGTACATTTAAACAAATTAACTATAGTTTTATATAAAATACGTGCATCAAGCTGAACGAACCATCGCCATCCCAGCGCGGCACCACGGCACTTCGATAAGAACCTCTCCCTTATTAGGCCAAGGTGGACACATTATTTCTATGAGAGTCACAGTCCTAATTGCTTGTCATGCTACCCCCAAGTAAAAAGCCACTTCATGACAATACAAACTAAGCAACACATTTAATGAAAGTATCCCAAAATGTACATCCGATGTCGTGGAGCTGCCCAAGGGGAAACCCGCCTTAATGTCCCTGCGTCTCACCGGATCTGCATCGCCTTTAGATCCAGGCCCAGCTGCTCGGCCTCTCGGGCTTTCACTTGAAAAATCCTCAGGGAGCTCTGCGGTGACACGCAACGGCAGCAACAACAGCAGCAGCACACGCAGTCTCATCACGCAGCAAGAAGCACAGCATGCCCCCGACGAGCAATGGCACGAGCACATGTGGCTTGGCGATGGGTCTGCGGTCACGTGACCTGGAGGCCGGTGGCAGATCCAAGGGCGGGGGAGATGGAGGCAATGGCTCCCCCTTGGCCGACGTGTTTTTGAGCTGGCCACGGTGCCCGATATATCGCTCCACGTGCTGACGGAGCGTTCTCCCGTAAGACGTGGAGCGAAGTTATCGGACGTCGTGCCAAATAACACGCAGCGCGACCCGAAAACACGTCACAGAGCTCATCTAAAAAAAAAAAATCCACGACATGCAACGGCTGGGGGGGGAGGGCATCTGCCACTTTTGCCCTCCCACCCCTTCCCCAAACTGCCTGCTACCTTCTTCTCCTCCAGCTCCTCGGTGAGCTTGAGCAGCAAGTGTGGGTGCTTGTCGCGAGAGGCCATGCGAGTCTGCAGCTCCAGCAGCTGCTGCCTCAGCTCCCCACTCTCCCTGCAAGCGTCGCACCCACAGCATCTCTTTACGATCCTTTACGCCCTGAACACCTTTTTGCACGCAAATCGCGAGCGACAGTGCCGCATTAACCGTGTACGGCGGGCGGTTAGGTAACAAAACTCTGAAAAAACGTTTTTTTGTAATCACAAAGCACGAGAGTGATATCCGTGCCAACAGCTTACCTCTCCAGCTGCTGCAGTTGTGAGGCCGAGTTAAGGAGCCACACGGCAGTAGACGGGACTCTCCCCGACACACAGGGCACACAGACCTTCCCTCCGTGCACTCAGACCCAACTCCCCCATCCGCACACTTCACTCACTCCCACCGCGAGTCTGAGACACCAACTCCAACTACCTTTAATGCAGGCAATAGTAATCGCCACTGTGAGGTGGCCAGGAGATGACAGTACAGGATCGGATACTTGTTGTTGGTGTGTGGACATTTCCTGGGCTCTTCAGCTTCCTCCCAAATGAAGCCAAAAACACATTCATGGAATCGGCCTTTTAATCACAATGTAGCAGGACCCTCCTGAAAAAGTCTTGAAACTTAGTGAGGCTCCCGCTGAGTAAATGGCATCATTATTATTATCAGCACGCGGTTGCACGTCAGTCTCCACGGCAGCAATCGCGGCCCAGACAAGTAAAACGCTTCCCCGCACCGCAGCACGGACACTGGGCGAACACAACTGCCGTGCCTGTGCTGCGAACCGCACACAAAAGGATATCGTCGCACTTGCTGTGATACTGCTCAATGATGGCGCTGTGAACACAAACAACAAGGGGTCAACGAGACAGCAGAAGCACCCTACCCCACCGCCCCCCCCCCGCCCCCCAACTCTGGCATCCCCATCCTTCAGGAAGCCCGAGCTTCTGAAACCATCGCGCGCGCGGGGGTCTCGTTAGCGCGCCGCGTCACGCGTCCCAAGTGCGCGGTGTCCATGTCATGCGCAGCGTGCGTCCCGCCGAGCTGCAATGCGGTGGCGACGCAGTGTGGGCACAGACGCACTGCGAGTCCAGGATCTTCTGCTTGAGCGTCAGGCACGTCAGCATGTACTCGTTGAGTTTCTGCGAGAGGCACATAAACGGGCGGCGGTCAAAACACCAGAGAGGCACCAAACCCTGTACCCCGGGAAATCAAGCGCGGGTCTCGAAGGAGAGAGGTTACAACAGGGGTGCAGCTCCACTGAGAAAAGGTCGGGCAGGTGAGGCAGTTGTGCTCCCAGCTTCTTGGGACAGGATATAAAAGCAGTGCCCTCTCAACAACAGCAATAATAATGCCCTTTAATTGTCCAGAAAAACCTCACTACATTTAAATTCCGTTTTGGCTTGCAGCAGGAAAATCGGAGAAAACCCACCGCGGGATGACTATGCACCGTTGTCATCAATAATGTAATATATATTTAGCTTTGTTCATGCTAATTACGTCTCGTAACACTGTAGAAATTTCAACGCGCAGTTTTCATGTGGAAACCCGAGAAACCACAGGCAAGTGGAAGGGAAGGCTGTCGGAAACAATTGCCCATGCTCTGCCGTTCTACACTGGGATGTTGATCCACGACTGACATATTCATAACGATACTCAGCTATACAGTAGTGACCACCTTGCCTGACAGGACACCTGTTTCAGAAACCCAAGCAGTCTGACTGACCCTAGCTATAACTGTAACAAAAAAGTGCAAAGGTAAGAAGATATTGTCAAAATCTAATTAAAACACTATCCTTCCATCGATGGGTTCCATGCCCGCTTGAGTCATCGCGACATTGGGGAAATTATCCTGATGAAGTCTACGATGTCTTGGCTGCAGTCGAAAGACACTCGCACATCAGGCGCATGGGTCCCCAACCTCTTGTCACGAGTGTTCACGTTTTCGGTCGCCCTTTGTGAAACGAACGCGTTAATACGATAAACCTTCCAACGTGTGCGTTTGCAACACGGGCGGAGCGGCGGGGTAATGGTGAGCGCACTATTGTGTAAAAAAATAAAATAAAAACCCTGGAGACTCGAGTTCGATTCGTGGTCACGACAAAGTCTTGTGGTAATATCGGAACAGGTCCTCATGTGTGACTCGTGCAGCCGGCTATGGCTGCAGGGTTTGGTGTTACATGTTGCTTATGTCGTTTATTGTGAAAATTCGGTCACAGTTCCTATGATCACTGTTACATTGCTTTTATGGCTTTATTTTGGTGATTTCGAAGACGTTTTTTGGTTTGGGCATGTTTGTTTGTTGTAGTACGGAGTTACACTGATGGCCTTAATCTAAGTTGTCTTGTGGTTGTTGTTGTTGTTGTTTGACTTGCATCCCACTGGGATTTTTGCACACAGCGTTGGTGTACACGGTGTTTTTTCAGGAATATTTTGCAGTTTTTTTCCTGGATTTTCTGTTTGCACAGTCACATAGTCACTTTAAGATGTTTTCTTGGTCGTGTTTTTGTTTTTTGTTTGTTGCGGTTGCACCCGATTCAAGAGCCGAATGGCTCACAGGGCTATACCAAATAAATGAAACTGAAAACTGAAACCCCCCCCACCCACACATCCCCAAGCCACAGCGTGGTGAAGTATGGTCAAATAACCCATGAGCCAAAGGCATGGGGGGAGAAGAACTTCATCCAGAAGTGGACTGACAAATGACTTTATATAATAATCTAAAACACATGACCACGTTCTTTACCGTTCGCAGATTCACGACTCAACACGCTCGTCAACAACACTGTGGCCTTAAAATAAATGTAATAGTGGACATATCGGGCAATGGTCCTTTTTCGCAGCAGAATGCCAAATCTACCTCTCTGGCCTTTCGATGCTGTTGAAGGACCATTGCCTGAAACGTCACCGATTGTATTTTCTCTTCAGGCCTCGCAAGTGTCCCTGACGAGTGTGCCGAGACGCTTTGTGAACCGAGCTTTTGAACACCGTTAACAATTTGCGAAGTAATTTGACCAAATTAATATTGCAAATCCATGAGGAGTTTGTGCGAGAATGGATGTTTGCCCGTGGTTCCGGTCAGTTCTGTGAGACTTTGAAGCCCGCTTGGGCTTCGAGGAGGAAGAGGAGATGGAAAATTTGCTAATTCATGAGGAGTTTGTGCGAGAATGGATGTTTTCCCGTGGTTCCGGTCAGTTCTATGAGACTTTGAAGCCCGCTTGGGTTGCGAGGAGGAAGAGGAAATGGAAAATTTGCTCATTCATGAGGAGTTTGTGCGAGAATGGATGTTTGCCCGTGGTTCCGGTCAGTTCTGTGAGACTTTGAAGCCCGCTTGGGCTTCGAGGAGGAAGAGGAGATGGAAAATTTGCTAATTCATGAGGAGTTTGTGCGAGAATGGATGTTTTCCCGTGGTTCCGGTCAGTTCTATGAGACTTTGAAGCCCGCTTGGGTTGCGAGGAGGAAGAGGAGATGGAAAATTTGCTAATTCATGAGGAGTTTGTGCGAGAATGGATGTTTTCCCGTGGTTCCGGTCAGTTCTGTGAGACTTTGAAGCCCGCTTGGGCTGTGAGGAGGAAGAGGAGATGGAAAATTTGCTCATTCATGAGGAGTTTGTGCGAGAATGGATGTTTGCCCGTGGTTCCGGTCAGTTCTGTGAGACTTTGAAGCCCGCTTGGGCTGCGAGGAGTAAGAGGAGATGGAAAATTTGCTCATTCATGAGGAGTTTGCGCGAGAATGGATGTTTGCCCGTGGTTCCGGTCAGTTCTGTGAGACTTTGAAGCCCGCTTGGGCTGCGAGGAGTAAGAGGAGATGGAAAATTTGCTAATTCATGAGGAGTTTGTGCGAGAATGAATGTTTGCCCGTGGTTCCGGTCAGTCCTGTGAGACTTTGAAGCCCGCTTGGGCTGCGAGGAGGAAGAGGAGATGGAAAATTTGCTCATTCATGAGGAGTTTGTGCGAGAATGGAAATTTGCCCGTGGTTCCGGTCAGTTCTGTGAGACTTTGAAGCCCGCTGCGAGGAGGAGGGTGACGACGATGAAACGAGGAGTAACAGCAAGTGGGTCCGTGCGGCCCGTCTGTGTGGACTTGCTGGGGGGGGGGGGGGAAGTTATCCCCTCGCATAACGCGTGTGGTGGAGTTCCTCGGGCCACTAAACACGATCAAGATAGCGAAACAAAGTCGAGTTTCGGCAAACATCTCCTCAAAAAAGCTGAACACGTCGTCGGCTTTCGCGAGCAACATTGTTCACGAGAGGTTTATTTTTTTTTGGGGGGGGGCTCAGATCGCGTAAATATGAACGCATCGTTAACATGCGTCGGGTGGTGGCGGGGTTAACGACGCATTTATATGTACGCGATATAACCCCCAGAAAAAAACGATTATGGATCTCCTAAAAAATTTTTACCGTTAAGAGATTCAAAGCGCTTGCAAATGACGACCCTCACATTTACCCCTCTGTTTAAAGACCGAAACAGAAGGAGGATTTCTCCACGAATCTGGTTGCCGCCTGATGATGCCGGTTTGTAATTAGTGGCGAAACGTCGTACTCGAGATTGTAAACGTGCTAGTGGATTTAACTCTCCAACACACCGGTGTGCTGTACCAGTAATGGATTGGACACGTTCTGTTTACGTGACAACCCTTACTAATTGATTGCGTCAGGTGGCGGGTTTAACGACGTAATTATATTTAAGCGATCTAACCCAAAACACCTTTATTATGAGTAACATTTCGTCGCGGAAGTCTGCTCGCTACTACTCCTTACTAACGTGTTTAAAACCGACTATTTACATCGTCGGTAAAAAAAGAAATTCCTCAGGCGAGAGGCGGTGGCCATCTTTGTAAGGGAAGGACCTCGCCGTCTCCATGGCGCCCGGTGACGTCACTCGCCACTGGCACGCGCGGCCTTCCCCGCCTAATACCCCCTTACCAACATGGCCGCGCGCGGGGCGTCCTCTCACTCTGACGGGCCTATGCGGCCTCGACCGGGCCTCGCCGCGTCTCTCCTCCCTCCACCCCCCATCCCTTCGCCCACGGTACCTCCTGCAGGAGCCCGCAGCCGCCGCAGACGTCCGAGGCGGGCGGGTCCTCGGCGCCCTCCCTGGGTCTGCGGTCCTCGGGCATCATGGCAGCCCTCCCGCTGCCGCGGCCGAGGCGACGTTCAAAGGCGGGCACAGTCGGGGTGAGTCTGCCCGGAGGCTCCGCCGCGCTCTCGCATTGCTACCACTGGACGCCCTGAGGGCATGAACTATAAACTGTCGGGGTTGTCGAGCGCAGCGTCCGTAGCGCGTCTGCCCCGAGGGCGTTTATCAAAGGCGCTGTTTGTTGTTCCGGGGGTTTATTGGAGCGCGCGATTCAACGTACGAATTAAAACCGCCACGGAATCGATTCGGTCGGTATTCGATTTCAGGAATCGATCTTGCTCACCGTGTTAACAGAATAACCGATTGTGTTTTTTACTATTTGGTTCTATTGGGTAAAGTCACGTAGGTAAAAAATAAAATAACAAAAATCACGACGTTTCGGCCACAACACAAGCGGCCTTCATCAGGTGAAGGGACGAGACTGTCTGGAGGACAGCGCTGGAGTGATTTTTGTTATTTTAGTTTTTACCTACGTGACTTTACCCAATAGAACCAAAGAGTATGGATCCTAGCAGTCACGAAAGCTTTAAATCTAGAATTGTGGGGGTTTTTTTATTAAGCAAACAACTTTTGAATATATCATTAGACCTCTTTTGCCAGTACCAAAATATAAGAATAGGGGTTTTTCCCCTTTTTACTGGCAAAGAAAGCCGTCCCTTGGTGTGGACCAATCAGTTTCAAGGACAATGCCACATATATTATCATAATATGTTTTTTTTTAATATTCTTGGTTCTTTCGGTAAAAATAATATTATTTTATTGTTTCCCTTCTACGTGGTGACTTTACCGAAAGGACCAAGAATATGAATCACTGCAGTCACGAAAGCTTTAAATCAAAAGTATGTTTTTGTTTGCATTTTGACTGCAGGTATTGTGGTTAATGCAGTAACATAGATCCTTGTTAAAAGGTTTAAGTTTTGTTGCCAGTAAAAAGGGGAAAACCCCTATTATTATAACTTTTGAATAGTTTTTGCATGATAACTCATTGCACCTAACTCGTAGGAATAGAAAATAATTTATTTTTACACTCAAAATCAGAATCTTTATTTTTACTGCAGGAGGAATCCGACGAACTATAAAGCTCTTTTTTTAAAACAGATATCCAGTCGGTGCACGGGGTCAGAAAGTTACAACCGCAAACAAGACGCAAAAACACGACAGGATATGAAATGTCAGTAAATCACAATACTGTGGGTCCGTCCATAAATGACGTCACGCGATTTTGGACGATTTTTGACCCCCCCCCCTTCGTCACACGGCGTCACAAAGTCAGACCCCCCTCAAATATGACGTCACAAAGCTCTGCCCCCCCCCCCTCCAAAAAAAATAAAACATGCTTCAAATCGGTTTAAACTATTGTCATTTAGTGCGTATTTAATGTGGTGCTGCACTCTGATGTTGTAGGAGAAAACATTTTAAAAAGTATTTAATTAAGTAGAACGTGTTGTCTATATTTATTTAAAGTTGCGCATTTTGATATGACGTCACATTTATCAACCCCCCCCCCTCGTCACACATCGTCACAAATGTCTGACCCCCCCCCAGGTGCGTGACGTCATTTATGGATGGCCCCTGTATTACACCACACACATTGATTTTCGTGTGACCTGCTATAATGCTCTGACACGTGCATTGTTATTGTACTGTCCGCCTTTTGGCGTGATTCTCTGGTCTGTCACTGGTGGTGAGACTAGGCCATAAGGGGCCGTCCATAAATGACGTCACGCACCTGGGGGGGGGGTCAGACATTTGTGACGATGTGTGACGAGGGGGGAGGGGTTTGAGGAATGTGACGTCACATCAAAATGCGCAACTTTAAATAAATATAGACAACACGTTCTACTTAATTAAATAGACTTTTTAAAATGTTTTCTCCTACAACATCAGAGTGCAGCGCCACATTAAATACGCACTACAATGACAATAGTTTAAAGCGATTTGAAGCATGGTTTATTTTCAAAATGGAAATATGGTTTTGGGGGGGGGGCAGACCTTTCTGACGTCATATTTGAGGGGGGTCTGACTTTTTGTAACGAGGGGGGGAGTCAAAAATCGTCCAAAATCGCGTGACGTCATTTATGGACGGCCCCTAAAGAACAAGGCTGTCCTCTGGTGTAGGACAATCAGACAATGCCATTATTATCAGAGCATGTTTGTTTGAATGTTCACCACAACTACCATGTGTGGTTACTTGATGCCTTGCAAAGGTATCTATTTGGTTATTTCGGTAAAGTCACGAGGTAGAAAAATTAAATGAAAATAAAAATATCACAAGCGGTCGTCCTCAGGCTGAAAAAAAAATAATCCAGCAGTTCCACCTTTTTCGATTTAAAGATTTCGTGACTGCAGGGATTCATATTATTGGTTCTTTCGATAGTCACGTAGAAGGTAAATATTAAATTAATAAAAATAAAACATAATAAAATAAAATTCTCACGACGTGTTCAGCCACAACGCAAGCTGCCGTCCTCAGGTGAAGAACAGAGCTAATTGCGTTGTTTTATTTTTTTATTTTTTTTATTTCCCTTCTACATGACTTTAACGAAAGAACCAAGCATACAGTTAGTTCCACCTTCTTGTTTTCTACATCTAGCAGTTCCACTGCTAGATTTTTTTTTCCACTGCTGGATATTTTTTTTCCGCCTGAGGACGACCGCTTGTGTTACGATCGAAACGTCGCGATATTTTATTATTTTTGGTTTCAGTTTATTTTTCTACCTACGTGACTTTACCGAAAGAACCACAGAGTATGGATTTCTGCAGTCACGAGAGCGTCAAATCAAGATTGATATATATTTGGTGTTTGAACATCTTAACATCTAAATCTTGACTTAAAGCTTTCGTGACTGCAGGAATTCATATTCTTTGGGTCTTTCGGTAAAGTCACGTAGATAGGTTCAAAGAAAATAACAACAAAAAAACTACGACTTTTCGATCGCAGCACAATCGGTCATCAGGAAGAAAAGACGAACGCTTGTGTTGCGATGGAAACGCATTTTTTATTTTGATTTGAACCTATCTACGTGACTTTGCCTAAAGACCCAAGGAATATCTTAACACCTGTTTTATTGCCAGAAAGGGTAAAACCTATTCGTATTTTTCATACATTTGTAACGACTCCGACGACAAGTTATAAGAAGAGCCACTTTTATTAAAGATGTCCACAATACGGAAGCCTACTATAGATTTATACGATGAGGGACCCTAGGCTTCGTCTTCCTGCTTGTATCTTCCTCCGAGTGTCCCCACTCCACTTATATAACCCTCAGCCCCCCTTTCTCGAACCTCCTTGTTTTCTACCTTGAGCCAGTCCGTCCTTTAATGGATCATTTTTGTTTTCCCGTTCAACCCCTATTCTGCAATCCCTTTAAAGTCTGCCTCCCGACCAATCACCGTGGAGGCCTCTTTCCTCCAATCAGAGGCCGTTGTTTATTTTTAAATTGCGGTTAGGCTGCATATGCCTTGGGGTAATCTTTCGGTCATTCCACATTGATGATGATTTTAGTACCCATACCTCACAAATTATTTGTTGCTGCTGCTGCTGCTCCGTTGCCATCGGTGCAGAACGACAAAACCGGCGAGTTACAATCAAGACAAAAGTGGAAATTCTAAATGAGAAAAATCGGACGAAACATTTAACCGGTAATTCATATTCTTAGTTTTTTCGGTAAAGTCACGTTGAAGAGAAACAACAAAATAACAAAATATATATAAAACAATAAAAAATTCTCACGACGTTTCGACCATAACTCAAACGGTCATCATCAGGTGTGTCGGTTTGCATAAATTTATTTTGAAAGCGGCATATTTATTTATTTATTTATATAAAAAAATGACGTTTGCGTCACGCGCAACGATTGGCTGTTTGCCAGGACTAGTCCATCTATTTTTTGAAAAGAGGAGGGGGGAGACGAAATTTGTTTTTATGTATGCTGTCTGAAAGGCACTGTAAGCGTGAACAATCAATCAAGAACTGAAATGATTTATCAAATCTTTCCAATGATTGCTAAGATAGAATCCATCTTCTCGGTTGAAATTGTCTCTGTGTTTGTATATGTGGATAGCCTCATGAACGAATCTCTCATGGAAGCCAGATGGCTTACAAAGAACCTCCGTCTTGGAAAAGTCAATGGCATGTGAGCCTACTGAATTAGAACAATGATCTGCTACGGCCGAGGTGTTGGTCCTACCGTGTTTAAGGTCTGCTTTATGTTCACGAATGCGGTCCGAGATATGGCGTTTGGTTTCTCCAATGTAACTACTACCACAGAGGCAACTTAGTTTGTAGACACCAGGGTATTGTATGTCCGGAATCACATCTTTTACAGACGGAACCAGATCACGGATTTTATGTAATGTGTTGAAACGGACCTGGATCTTGTGTTTATTCAAGATTTTGGAGATCTTTTTTGTGATCCCAGCAATGTAGGGTAAAGTGATGGTTTTGAAAGGCTCCTCAAGAGGGTTCTTCTTCATGGTTTGAGTGATAGCTTTGCGGATTGTATAGTCGGAGTAACCATTAGCCCTAAGAGCCTGGTGTACGTGCTTGAGTTCACTGCTTATGTGTTCCTGGTCGGATATGCATTGGGCTCTATGATACAGAGTCTTGATGAGAGAATTCTTCTGTGATGGATGGTGGTGGGATCCGGTTTCAGATAAGCATCCGTATGGGTAGCTTTCCTGTAGACAGAGTGGCTCATTGAACCATCAGGTCTCTTTTTAATTAGGACATCCAAAAAAGGTATCTTGCCATCTATTTCGACTTCCATGGTAAATCTGATGGCTGGGTGTATGGAATTGATGTGGTCGAAGAATTGGTCTAGAGCAGGCCGGCCATGTGGCCAGATGACAAAAGTGTCATCCACGTACCTCTTCCACAAGGTTGGGCGCAGAGTGGCAGTCTGGATGGCGTCAGTCTCAAATTTCTCCATGAAAATGTTAGCTATAACTGGAGAAAGGGGGGAGCCCATTGGGGTGCCCTCAGTTTGTTTGTAGAAAGTTCCATTCCAAGTGAAGTATGTATTGGTTAAACAGTGTCTCACCAGGGGGGGTACCTCAGCGTTTAGTCCTTGATGAACCAAGTCTTCAATGATTGCAATGGTGTCAGGTACAGGAACCTTGGTGAACAAGGAAACTACATCAAAACTGACAAGCAGGTCGTCTGGGGACAGGGAAATACCCTTGATTGTTGATACCAGGTGAGTAGAATTTTGTACCGCAGAGGTGGTCTTTCCAGTGAAAGGACGCAGGATTTCAGACAAAAAACGAGCTAGTTTGTAGGTGGGGGAGCTGATAGTAGAGACTATGGGACGAAGAGGTGTATCAACTTTATGTAT